TCAAATCAATCAGCTTTATCTGAGTGTAATCCCTGCTTTCGGAGGTACTAAACACAACAGGGGGTGAGGTGAGGTGAAATTGTGTTTAACGTCGCGTCCAAGATTATTGCACGTGCATGCACGTGTGTGTGGCTGCTTGTACTAGTCCGGACTGATGCCGATTTATAGTGCTAGCTCACTGAGAACCATGCCGCAGTTTAACATGAATAAACCACTCAGAGCCAACCAGTCCTTGTTTAGCCCCTTAATGCTAAGCGCCAGACAGGGTAACAACAAGTACCATCTTTTTACGTCTTTTGGTATGACGCGGCCTCTCTCCGGGCTGTGAAGCCCATTTCTGGTGTCCCCCGCCGTGATATTGCTGGAATATTGCTAAAAGCGGCGTAAAACCATACTCACTCACTCACTCTCTCCGGGCGGACGCTCTACCACTAGACCACGGAGGCGGTCAAACACAACAGGAAAAGAATATGGTTACTCATAGTCGGATATTGATGAAGATCATAACGATATAGTTCCACTTCATGCACATGACACCTTAAACAGGATTTGGTTTCTTTGCTTGTTAAACGCCGCACTCAGCAATATTTCTTTAAACATATTTTATTGCACACATGCACATACACACACAGACGGGCGCGCACATATACTCGCGTATACATTTATATTTGGTGTTATACAATGGTACATTTGTTACAGATATTTAATGTATTTATAATACGACATTAGTTAATAAAATGGTAGACTTTTTAAATTTTAAGTAAAGGGTGGGAACTATAGAATATTACTTAGCTGTGATAATTACATGGAATGTTATTGTTTTCCAAATCAAAGTTATGTCGAATACAAAAACTAATAGAAAAATAAAAACTAGGACTTTTTGTACTGAAACAAGCATGTATTAAATGTGCAAGTCACATGTCAAACAAGATACAACATAGGATTTAGAAGTAGCTAATGATAAATAATTCTTGTTACATTAAGATAAATTTAAACTCTGTTTGTTTCCACTATAAATTGATTGACATATCTAAAAGTACAATTATTTTGTTCTGCGGATAGAATTTTGTTACCAAAAAATTGTTTAAATTGGGCTCAGCCCCTATATTCGTAATGTTGATAAACAAAGATTATCCTTATGAAAAGCAGTTTCGCATGGGGAAGCGCAAGAGCAAGAAATAGTGTCTGACAAATTCACCCTAAATAAATCGACAGTAACAGTTCTAACAGCGTCAAGCTGTATTAATTCAAGCTTATTTTTGTTGTAGGCAGGCCAGACCTTAAACAGGAGCCGACAACATGCATTATTATCAGCTTCTGAAATACTTGTAAAATTAAAGTTTAAAAATGTTAAGGAAATCTAAAATGCTGAAATTTGCGTTTGCCATTTTACATTTAATACCTATTACCCCAATATCCCTTACAAGCTGTACATGTGTTAGTGAAACTGAAGCAGGGGCAATCAATCTATTGTTACTTCTGCCACATACTATCCTGAGTATAGTTAAGGAAGTAATGGCCTAACAAGGTCAAAGACTGACCATATCGGGTGGTCTAATGGTAGAGCGTCCGCCCGGAGAGCGGAAGGTCCGGGGTTCAATCCCCAGCCGCGTCATACCAAAAGACGTTAAAAGATGGTACTTGTTGTTACCCTGTCTGGCGCTCGGCTTTAAGGGGCTAAAACAAGGACTGGTCGGCTCGGAGTCAGTATACTGTGTCTGAGTGGGGTATTCATGTTAAAGTGCGGCATGGTATCTCAGTGTGCTAGCACTATAAATCGGCATCAGTCCGGACTAGTACAAGCAGCCACACACACATGCATGCATGCACGTCGCTACATAAGTGCAATAATCTTGGACGCGACGTTAAACCCCATTTCACCTCACTTCACCTTTATTACCGGACACTGGTAGAGGTCGACCAAGAGTGTGACCGTGTGTCCCGAGAGTCTAGTCCCGTGAGTCGACCGCCACCCCGACCGTCCCTCCTTTTCATATATCAGCACAATTATAAAGTGTTATAGGCGGTGGCCCAGTCGTCTAAGGCGCCGCGATTCGCTGTGCAGAGTCGCGTCCCTTGGGCACGCCAGAAACCTATGATTGTGGGTTCGAATCCCGGTTCGCCCCAATTATGTTTCCAGGTTTGTCAGCACCATACCCGTGCTCGTGGGTTTCACCGAAGTGGTAAACGTCTTAGACCTGCATCACTTCGGGCTTTCCTCTCACATTAAGCTGACACACTGTGATATAACTGGAAAAATGTTAAAAGCGGCGTTAAACCCAACTCACTCACTATAAAGGGTTATACATTATCATGAATGCATTTACAGAAGTACGTATTGCATTCTGATTGGACAATATATGCAATGAATATTATACAATTACATTTTGAATGGACATGAGTAAATTGACTTGACCTGATTGACCTTTATGCTTATCTATCTATAATGGAGCCGAGACTTGACATGCATGACAGGTAGCATGTCCCTTGGGGCGTCAATCAGCAATCCTTAATTACAAAACACGGACACTGTACCAAAGCACGGACAGCCAAGCTGTGACCCTTAGTTATTTACTATAGTAAACTATGTTTATAACGAACACGCTTATAACGAACTGGCGGATGTAACGAACTGGGTTTTTTTTGTCCAAGCCATTTGCTGTATATATGGTGTATATATGTTTATAACGAACTACGGTTACAAAGAACTAAAATTAGTGGTCCCTTTGAGTTCGTTATAACCGTAGTTTACTGTAGTACATTATACCTTTAAATCAGGTTTACTTTACTTTTAACTTCTAACTTTATATTTTTTGGTCCCTTCCTGTTGACAGTATGTATATCAACGGAAAAAACTAGATGTACTTCATGTAAGGCACACGTGTCTAGGGGGCACGGGTGGCCCAGTCGTCTAAGGCGCCGCGATTCGCTGTGCAGAGTTGCGTCCCTTGGGCACGCCAGAAACCTATGATTGTTGGTTCGAATCCCGGTTCGCCCCGATTATGTTTCTAGGTTTGTCAGCACCATACCCGTGCTCGTGGGTTTCACCGAAGTGGTAAACGTCTGAGACCTGCATCACTTCGGGCCCTCCTCCCATATTAAGCTGACACGCCGCGATATAACTGGAATACTGTTAAAAGCGGCGTTGAACCTAACTCACTCACTCACTCACACGTGTCTATCATAAAACATTTTATAAGCTTTACTGAGTCCTTAATGATGTAGCCTTGATCAAACAACGTTTAAGCATGAGTCGCTTGACGCTCTTCGAAACCTTCAAAGAAAGCGCATGCTCGAATGTACCTCAAAAGTTGTGAAATGTAGACATGAAAGGCTTGGGATGCTCGCATATTGCTCAACATATAGGGAAGGTTGGTTTTTGGAAAGCTGAAGTCATTTTTTTCATATCATACGGGCTTGTGCAGTGGGGAGATTTTTGACACTCTAAATCTTTACGCATAGATCTAAATATGCAATTGACAATGCGGTTCCACTGATCTCGTATAGTGAGTGAGTATGGTTTTACGCCGCTTTTAGCAATATTCCAGCAATATCAGTGCGGGGGACACCAGAAATGGGCTTCACACATTGTACCCATGTCGGGAATCGAACCCGGGTCTTCGGCGTGACGAGGGAACGCTTTAACCACTAGGTTACCCCGTCGCCCCTAGTTACAAGTGAAAGGGAATGATATGCCTGGCAGGAGTGTGCTGAGTAAGGATACGATATATGCATAAACAACATCTTTATGGTGGACGTTTCTTTACACCGTTATCAAGCAAGTCCGTCCATATATCTTATCCACATTTAGTACTCCAGCTTCTAAATGCCGCTCAAAGAAGACACGCGAATGCTACCATGTTCGTTGTTAGTTTGATTGTGTGTTGTTTAACGCGGCACTCAGCAATATTCCAGCTATATGACGGCGGTCATTCCTGTAATTTCACAAATGGTTATGGGGCGGTCGGGTAGCCTAGTGGTTAAAGGGTTCGCTCGTCACGCCGAAGACCCGGGTTCGATTCCCGACATGGGTACAATGCGTGAAGCCCATTTCTGGTGTCCCCCGCACTGATATTGCTGGAATATTGCTAAAAGCGGCGTAAACGTCATACTCACTCACTCACAAATGGTTATCTCAAGGTCACATGTATGTTCCAGCTACTTCTCAGTTATCTATCGGCTATCTCAGATTTATTCTACTCACCTTATTTTTCACAACTATTTTAACATATATATCATATATACAACATATATATTATATGTACAACATATATATCATATATGTAACATATATATCATATATACAACTTATATATCATTATGGTAGCACGATCCGATAAATTTGCAAATGAGGTCACCCAAAGACCTCACCTGACAGGAAGTATTATTTTTAGTTTCCCGTACAAAGCCTGACCTGCCTTATAAGTTCAATACTTGTTTACTGACGTGTGAGGGCTTCTGTAAGCAAACGTAGCTGCAGAGTATTTGGCGTCATTTGGTAAATGGACAGTTCACTCATGCGCTGTATTCATTCAGAGATTTCTTTTCTAAAGTTACTTCTTTGTATGAAAGAACGTCCTAAAGAATTTATCAAGAAGGACATTATATATGAAGAGACGATTACCCTTGTGTGTTTCCTGTCTTAAATATTAGTAATACTTTAATATGTGCTCGTCAAGGCTGACATAATGCTATTTGTATTCCTTATAAAGTTATATATGATATTTAGATACACTCGGATAATGTTCTCTATTTAAATGCAGTCTGTGGAAGGCAGATTGCTCGTTTGAATGTCATATTGTCATCATTGAAACTACCAACACTGTGGCGCGATGAGAAAGCATGAACATATATTTTTCTAACATCAAATATACTTTTGGAGGACCTTCAGATGAGAAATGGAGTATCCCGGTAAACGTGATCCGTATTGTGCTTGTTTCCTTGTGGTATGCATAAACACGTTAGGCTGTTGTTACCTCCCCTTTAAACATGTGTTCAGGTTCAGGGATTTAAAGATGTAAACATTCTGTGTGCGATCATGAGTGGTCATTGAAAGCGGTTATCAGTACACCAAACAAGGTTACTTAATATAGCTGGCGCGTGGCACCTGTAATATTCTCATGTACGCCGATTACTTGCGTTTACTAAGGTGGAACATAGCAGCGCGAGTGAATAGATCAATTTGGAACACGAGCCGATATGCTGACAGGATGTGATTGTGACAGCTCCAGACTCAGTACAGAACTAACTGACTCCGGCATATGTCTGATGAATCTTTCGAGAAGATACATATTAAATAAAACATTCACACTATGCCCAAACCAGAACTAGCTGGCTAATTTATCAATTGTCAAATAGCTAATATGTCGATATAAAATAATATTAATGTAGCGTGCAATAGCTAGGCTTATAAAGTCTATGTGACAAATCAGTCAGTGAGTCGCTCCAAAACATATTTGGGCCTTATGTCAGCTTTAATGTACCGGTAATCAGTTTAAACATCTGTTATCCTAAAAAATGCATGTTACTTGTCAGCATGGCCAGTAAGGAAAATTACACCATGTACACAGTCATGTAGTCCTGCACCATGACCGTGGAATATATTTATTTTATGACAAAAAAATCTAGAAATGCATACAAAAGCAAGTCTAGCCAGCTCAAGCTAACTCTGTTCTGAAATCAGAATAGGGTCAAGAAGGATATTGTGTAGTAAAGATTTCAGAGACTTAATGTTAATCTACCAGTCATGATTTTATGTCAAATAATCAAATGAAGCCAATATGTATTCCTGAATCTCTACATGTGCCTTGCACTAACTCAACAACTATGCAACACAATGATTGAGATTGTAATGTGTGTACCATGCATTTGCAAGATTTTATTATTTGAAAATAAACTGAAACAGTTCATGTTTACTCTAAAAATGTGTGTCATGTGACTTTAAAATAATGAGGCCTCAGATAAGCCCCTTTTCTTTGAATATGAAGATAATGAGTGAGTTAGGTTTTACGCCACTTTTAGCAATATTCCAGCAATATCACGGCAGGGGACACCAGAAATGAGCTTCACACATTGTACCCATGTCGGGAATCGAACCCGGGTCTTCGGCGTGACGAGTGAACGCTTAACCACTAGGCTACCCGACCGCCCCTTGAAGATAATGAAGACTCAGATAATGAGAGCGAACTGTTACTTTTGAGAAGCTCCCATGATTGTAAAATACATTAGTCAACCAGTTGCATATGGTTGCTCAAAGACATCTTTATCATGTTCATCGTTACACACACAGGTACTGTGTGACAACCAGGGTACAGACTCATGAGACAGTGTGATATAAATTCTGTTTTATGATATGAGTTTTTGCTTCATCTGCAGATAACAATGCAAGCTCTCCCACGCAAGGCATGTCACTGGAACACCTGGTGTCGCAGACAATGGTTTCATCGAACAGTGAACAAACTCCAAGATACCATTCCACAACGTACAAACCCTCTCCAAATTCAAATGCTCTCTGAGACTTTACATAAACAAATTTTCAAAGAAACAGAACTTGCTGAAACCGTAAGTAAAAAATTAAAGTCTGTAGAGAATCATCTCCAAAAACATGGTTTATGGAACCGTGCAACCACAGTTCTAAATGATGTGGACTTAAAACTGCCACCACTTCAAGGCAGTTCCATTGAGGAACATTTCTTCAAGATAGCTGAACAGCAAATAGCTGAGTATAAGGCTATGGCGGAGAGCCTGTGCAGCTCGGAAACGCCGCCACTGCCTGAGGAGTGGGTCTACAGCAAGGGCTGGACAAAGTATTTCCCAGATGGATCCACGACGGCAGTGCCACACCCGGAGGAAGGAGCCCTTGTGTTTGATATTGAGTGTCTCGTGACTGAAGGACAGTTCCCCACCATGGCAACCGCTGTTTCAGATAAATACTGGTCGGTAATATGTTTCTAAGCTTTGTTTCTTTGTTTCTTTGTTTAATGCCGCACTCAACAATATTCCAGCTATATGACAGTGGTCTGTAAATAATTGAGTGCTGGACCAGATAATCGAGTGATTGACATCATGATCATCGGATCCGTGAAGATTCCGGGGTAGAATTGGTCTTCAGCAACCCATGCTTGCCATAAAAGGTGACTATGCTTGTCGTAAAAGGCGACTAACGGGATCGGGTGGTCAGGCTCGCTGACTTGGTTGATGCATGTCTTTGATCCCAATTGCGTGGATCGATGCTCATGATATTAATCACTGGATTGTCTTGTCCAGACTCGATTATTTACAGACCGCCGTCATATAGCTGGAATACTGCTGAGTGCGGCGTAAAACAACAAACCAAACCAAAAACCAAACCATGATCATCGATCTACACAATTAGGATACCATAACATACATCAACCAAGTCAGCGAGCCTGACCACCCAATCCGGTTAGTCATCTCTTATGAGAAGCATTGTCGCCTTTTACATTTACATTTGTTTGTTGTTTAAGATGGCACTCAGCAATATTTCATCTATATGACGGCTGTCCGTAAATAGTTGAGTCTCGACCAGACAATCCAGTGATTGTCATCATGAGTCGCCTTTTACAGCATGCTTGGGTTGGCGAAGACCTATTCTAACCCGGATCTTCACGGGTCCGTTTCTAAGCAGAAAATAACATAAAGTTTTTGATTTACCTTGAATTTTAAGTAGCATTTTAGAAGCTGTAATATCAAGTTGGTTCTTTTTATAGTTTCAAAGCCCAGATGCTTGTACCGTTTCAAAGTCTTCCAATTTCTCCATGAACATGGTGAAACTCCTTGTCATAGCCCTGATGCGAATAGGGGATCGCTTCATTTTAATACGGGGCGGTCGGGTAGCCTAGTGGTTAAAGCGTTCGCTCGTCACGCCGAAAACCCGGGTTCGATTCCCGACATGGGTACAATGTGTGAAGCCCATTTCTGGTGTCCCCCGCCGTGATATTGCTGGAATATTGCTAAAAGCGGCGTAAAGCCATACTCACTCACTCACTCACTCACTCATTTTAATACTGTACATTGCTATCGCAGCAACTGTTAAGGACCCTGGACCCTCTTAACTTTCAAACTCTTTTCCTGGATTTATTTTCCCTCCCGTCAAGATTTTAGCATCATGGTATTTGCCTTGATGGCAAAATGTTGTGCTTCTAATATATTATATTTTCACCATGTGAATATCTAATTATATTATGGAATATTAATTAAGTATATTTTTCTGTGCAGTTTTCTAACCAGGCAGATTGCTTGTTACGGCCATGGTTATATATTTACTGATTTGTACATGTGCTTCATGATACAATGTCCAGAATATTATGTTTCAAACCTCTGGCAAATGCTGTCAGTTACAAATAAAACAAGGCATGGAATTGTTGATAACCCCTACATATCTTATTCTTGAATGCCTTAACTTTTTCCTGTCCTTGAATTTGAATCCAGGTTCGTCCCAATTATGCTTCTAGGTTTGATGGCACCATACCCTTGCTCATGGGTGTCACTGAAGTAGTACATACATGCATCACTTAGGGATTTCCTCCAACATTAAATGGGGCGGTCGAGTAGCCTAGTGGTTAAAGCGTTCACTTGACCTGGGTTCACTTCCCAACATTGGTACAATGTGTGAAGCCCATTTCTGGTGTCCCCTGCCATATGATATTGCTGAAATATTGATAAAAGAGGCGTAAAACCATACTCACGCCCACATTAAATGGAGCGGACGAGTAGCCTAGTGGTTAAAGCATTCACTTGCCACGCCGGAAGCCTGGGTTCACTTCACAACATTGGTACATCTGCTGTCCCCTGCCATGATATTGCTGAAATATTGCCCTAAGCAGCGTAAACCATACTCGCTCACTACCACATTAAATTGAAATGCCGTGATATAACTGGAATACTATTAAAAGCTTTAAACGCTTTAAACCCAACTCACTCACTCACTCACTCACTCACTCACTCACTCACCCATCCCCCACTCACCCACCCACCAACTCACCCACCCACTCACTCACTCACCCACTTACTCACTTACCCACTCACTCACTTACCATGACAATTCCTAATGGCAATACAAAATGCAATAACTAGTAAATCAAAAGATATATCAAATTCTATCAAGATTCACAGTAGTTCACATTTGGTTCATACATCATTATTTACAATGACAGGTTACCAATATGTGCTCTGTTCACATGCTTTCAATATTCCTTTCACATGTTTTCTTCTAACTCTGTGATCAGGTACTCGTGGGTCAGTGATTATGTTGTTGAAGACAAGTTCCGCTGGTCTGACAAGCCGACTTTGGCGGACTTGATCCCGCTGGAGACAAAGCGAGGCTCCAATGCTCCCCCTGGTGGCCAGTGGCAGAAACGTCTCATCATCGGTCACAATGTGGGTTTTGACAGATCCTTCGTGAAAGAGGAATATTATATACAGGTAAGTACAAGCAGGGCTGCGGAGGGGGCTGAATAAAACACATCTGTGATGTCATTCCATTGTTTAAACGTTCCATTATTTTTCAGGAATGGAGAGTTGTTTGTCAATTACACACTATCTTGAACCATTTTCAATTAGTTTGCATTATGCAAGGGCGACTCACTCAGAATAAATACAGACTACAAAGAGTCCATTTATATTTTTCAATATTTTCTACAAGAGAATGTTTTGTCAGTCTAAAAATAGGGATGTGTTTTATGTAGGGGATAACCTCATAACTCACCGGGGGCGGTCGGGTAGCCTAGTGGTTAAAGCGTTCGCTCGTCGTGCCAAAAAGACCCGGGTTCGATTCACGACATGGAGACAATGTGTGAAGCCCATTTCTGGTGTCCCCCGCCGTGATATTGCTGGAATATTGCTAAAAGCGGCGTAAAACCATACTCACTCACTCACTCATAACTCGCCAATCCTTAAAAATAATTGGCCTCTGTCCCTGCAGGGCTTCGGCTATGATATTTTTATGGAATGGAGAGTAACCCAGACATACCCCTCTACAGAAATACCGGTTCTTGCTGTCACTGTGTACTTATCCAAATATTAATGCTAAAAATATACCACAAATTTTGCCAAGACACATTTGGGTCTGTAGATTTGAGGATTTTCGTCACAGACTTTTGATGAACATGGATTAGACAGAATCTATGTTGTTTGCTCCTTGTCGTTATTTATTTTCTCCTGTCAGTGACCTTATTGTTTCGGGTAAGTTATATTTTCAGACCTTTCAAATGTCTATAAAAGCTGTCCCATTTCAGTCCGATGAAAGGTTTGACGTTATACTCTTGTTAACCTAGTTTTACAGAATTCTGTAGCTATTTACCCTATTATTTCTGTTATTCTGTTACTCTTTGTTTTCTTAGATTCTGATAATGTAGAATTTTTAAAAATGATAGTTAACGTTTTCCCATGATGTATGTTTTGTATGTAACTGCCTTCATCCCCTTCCTCGACTTCCTTCCTCTCTTCATTCCCAGGCCAAACCAATACGGTTTCTAGACACGATGTCGATGCACATCGCGATCTGCGGCCTGACCAACTTTCAGCGGATCCTGTACCAGGCGAGCGGCGGGAGAAGCATGAGGAAGGAGGTCCTGGAACACCAGGAGAAGCATCAGAAATGGCACAGTGATACAGTGAGTTGGGGGATCACTACAACTGGCACAGTGACACCGTGAGCTGGGGTTGGGGTATCACTAGAAGTGGCACACTGACACTGTGAGTTGGGGGATCACTAGAACTGGCACAGTGACACCGTGATTTGGGGTTGGGGGATCACTAGAAGTGGCACATTGACACTGTGAGTTAAGATTGGGGGATCACTAGAAGTGGCACAGTGACAGTGTGAGTTAAGATTGGGGGATCACTAGAACTGGCACAGTGACACCATGAGTTCGGGTTGGGGGGTCACTAGAAGTGGCACAGTGACACTGTGATTTGGGGGATCAGTAGAAGTGGCTCATTGACACCGTGAGTTCGGGGATCACTAGAAGTGGCACAATGACACCGTGAGTTCAGGGATCACTAGAAGTGGCACAGTGACACTGTGAGTTGTGGGATCACTAGAAGTGGCACAATGACACTGTGAGTTGGGGGTGGAGGATCACTAGAAGTGGCACAATGACACTGTGAGTTGGGGGTGGAGGATTACTAGAAGTGGCACAATGACACTGTGAGTTGGGGGTGGAGGATCACTAGAAGTGGCACAATGACACTGTGAGTTGGGGGTGGAGGATCACTAGAAGTGGCACAATGACACTGTGAGTTGGGGGTGGAGGATCACTAGAAGTGGCACAGTGACACTGAGTTAGGGGATCACTAGAAGTGGCACAGTGACACTGTGAGTTGTGGGATCACTAGAAGTGGCACAATGACACTGTGAGTTGGGGGTGGAGGATCACTAGAAGTGGCACAATGACACTGTGAGTTGGGGGTGGAGGATTACTAGAAGTGGCACAGTGACACTGAGTTAGGGGATCACTAGAAGTGGCACAGTGACACTGTGAGTTGTGGGATCACTAGAAGTGGCACAATGACACTGTGAGTTGGGGGTTGAGGATCACTAGAAGTGGCACAATGACACTGTGAGTTGGGGGTGGAGGATCACTAGAAGTGGCACAGTGACACTGAGTTAGGGGATCACTAGAAGTGGCACAGTGACACTGTGAGTTGTGGGATCACTAGAAGTGGCACAATGACACTGTGAGTTGGGGGTTGAGGATTACTAGAAGTGGCACAGTGAGTTGGTGGTGGGGAATCACTAAAAGTGGCACAGTGACACTGTGAGTTGGGGGTGGAGGATCACTAGAAGTGGCACAGTGACACTGTGAGTTGCAGGATCACTAGAAGTGGCACAGTGACACTGTGAGTTGGGGGTTGAGGATTACTAGAAGTGGCACAGTGACACTGTGAGTTGGGGGATCACTAGAAGTGGCACAATAACACTGTGAGTTGGGGGTGGAGGATCACTAGAAGTGGCACAATGACACTGTGAGTTGGGGGTTGAGGATTACTAGAAGTGGCACAGTGAGTTGGTGGTGGGGAATCACTAAAAGTGGCACAGTGACACTGTGAGTTGGGGGTGGAGGATCACTAGAAGTGGCACAGTGACACTGTGAGTTGCAGGATCACTAGAAGTGGCACAGTGACACTGTGAGTTTGGGGATCACTAGAAGTGGCACAGTGACACTGAGTTGGGGGTGGAGGATCACTAGAAGTGGCACAGTGACAGTGTGAGTTGGGGGTGGAGGATCACTAGAAGTGGCACAGTGACACTGAGTTGGGGGTGAGGGGTCACTAGAAGTGGCACAGTGACACTGTATGGTGGGGAATGGGGGAGCACTAGAAGTGACACTGTGAGTTGGGGGTGGGGGATCAGTAGAAGTGGTACAGTGACACCGTGAGTTGGAGGATCACTAGAAGTGGCACAGTGACACTGTGAGTTGGGGGTGGAGGATCACTAGAAGTGGCACAGTGACAGTGTGAGTTGGGGATGGAGGATCACTAGAAGTGGCACAGTGACAGTGTGAGTAGGGCGTGGAGGATCACTAGAAGTGGCACAGTGAAAGTCACAAGATAGAAAAGGCACGGTGTATATTAGAGAAATAAGATCAATTTGTTGTAGTTTATAATTATAAAGTTTAATTGCTTTCATGGAAACACTTTTACAGAAGAACTTAGTTCTATCATCACTGAGCGTTAAAGTAATCACATGCCTCTTGACGTTTGTATTTTGGTTATGTCATACCAAAAGACAATAAAAGATGGTACTTGTTACCCTGTCTACCAGTTTTGGCATTCAGTGGATGAAACAAGGACTGGTCGGCTCAAGAGTCAGAATACTGTGTCTGAGTGGGGTACCCATGTTAAACTGCTGCATGATATATATATGGGCTAGCGGTACGTCAAGACTAGTACAAGCAGACATGCGTGCATCGATGCACGTACATGTAAGTGAACTTATCTTGAACACAGTGTTAAACCCTACTTCACCTCACCTTGAGTTGCTGTGATGGATGTATTCTGTGACACAGAGCGAGGACTGGAAGAGGATCAGTACCATGAACAACTTGAACGACGTGTACCAACTCCACTGCCAGGGGGCGCCACTGAAGAAAGCCACGCGGGAGGTGTTCATTGAGGGCAACATGCAGGACGTAAGGCATCAGTTCCAGGTAGGTGCGACACAAACACAAACAATGAGACTCTCGTACAACCATTGCTAGACTCGCTTTAAGTACCCTACTTAAGTACTGTACTCTCGTACAACCATTGCTAGACTCGCTTTAAGTACACTTTAATGTATTCCCCCTATTGTAAGAACCCCAAGGGGATCCTGGGTTAGAATAGGTCTCCAGCAATCTGTGATGGTCATAAGAGGCAACTTGATGGATAAGATGCATCTACCCGAGGCAAGGGAGTTAACTGACTATAAAAGTCCCTTTTCCACCCTTGCCGAAATAGGCTGGAATTATGGAGTTATATTTTGGCTGGACTAATGAGACATAGTCCAATCAAAATCGCGTAACCAAATCAACCTCTGTCTCGTAAACTGCCATGCAGATTTTGGTCGATTGCAGGATTTGCAAAGCATGTGTACCGCTAATTTGGCGTCAACAGATATTTTCCAAACCCTTTCATGTTTTTAATCAAGGTGCTAACCTGATTTGATGTACGGAGTAAGACCCATTTTATCACAATATAGAATTTGATTATCAATCAAATGTCTTAACGTCTTGACTTCGCTGCCATTTTGTTTGAAGCAAATGCAAGTGAAATGAGAGGTGGAATCAGATCAATAAGAGGGACATAGAAGGGACATAACTCATAATGACCACTAGTGGCGCTACGATCGAGTCGCTATGATCAAGGGTGGAAACTGGACTTTTACAGTGATTTGGTTGATTGCGTGCCCTCATTCCCCGATGTCATGTGTTGTTGCTCACAATACCAATCACTGGATTGTCTGGTCCAGACTTGATTATTTACAGGCCACAGTCACACAGCTGGAATGCTGAGAATGGCGTTAGACAACAGACAAACAGCATATTGTGAGAGGAATCGAATTGTGTGCCACAATCTGATTGGTTGAACTAAAAAGGAATTGGTTGCCAGTAAGCTAAGGTTCCAGAGTAGAATTGGTCCCTAGTCACGTATGGTTCCAGTGTACACTTGGTCCCCAGTAACTGATGGCTCCGAGGTAGAATTGGTCTCTGGTAACTTATGGTTCCAGTGTAGAATTGGTCTCTGGTAACGTATGGTTCAAGTGTAGAATTGGTCTCTGGAAACGTATGGTTCCAGTATAGAATTGGTGTCTGGTAACATATGGTTCCAGTGTAGAATTGGTCTCTGGTAACATATGGTTCCAGTATAGAATTGGTCTCTGGTAACATATGGTTCCAGTGTACACTTGGTCCCCAGTAACCTGTGGTTCCAGTATAGAATTGGTCTCTGGTAACATATATTTCCTGTATAGAATTGGTCTCTGGTAACATATATTTCCTGTATAGAATTGGTCTCTGGTAACATATGGTTCCAGTGTAGAATTGGTCTCTGGTAACATATGGTTCCAGTGTAGAATTGGTCTCTGGTAACATATGGTTCCAGTGTACACTTGGTCCTCAGTAACCTGTGGTTCCTGTATAGAATTGGTCTCTGGTAACATATGGTTCCAGTGTAGAATTGGTCTCTGGTAACCTGTGGTTCCAGTGTACACTTGGTCCCCAGTAACCTGTGGTTCCAGTGTAGAATTGGTCTCTGGTAACATATGGTTCCAGTGTAGAATTGGTCTCTGGTAACATATGGTTCCAGTGTAGAATTGGTCTCTGGTAACATATGGTTCCAGTGTAGAATTGGTCTCTGGTAACCTGTGGTTCCAGTGTACACTTGGTCCCCAGTAACCTGTGGTTCCAGTATAGAATTGGTGTCTGGTAACATATGGTTCCAGTGTAGAATTGGTCTCTGGTAACATATGGTTACCGTATTCGACGTAATAAGCGCCCTGACTGTTTATATACGACAGATATATTTTTCCAGAATTTAATTGCCCATAATTAAGGGTGCATATAACACACGAGTGTGTATTATATTCGAATAAATAAGTCTTGTGTACATTGATCAATCGGAAGGGGTGCTAATTGGGATTGTTCACTTGCCAATATATTAGCAAATATCGCCGTGGGGGCTTATTACGTCGAATACGATATTGCAAGAGTTGACTGAACTCCGCGGGGAAGGCTCTGTGACAGTCTAGCTGGTGTGTCTTCATTCCTCGACGCCTGGTCCTGATTTCTGTCACTGGATTGTCTGGCCTCAACTCGATTGTGTACCGTATTTACGGGCCAGTGTGTTGTAGCTGGGGTACTGCTGTATTTGTGTTCAGCAACTCATGTGTATCACATGTACAGGAGCTGATGATGTACTGTGCCAATGATGTGCTGGCGACCCAGGCCGTGTTCCGGAAACTCTGGCCACAGTACCTACAGAGGTGAGTCACAGGAATAGGGCTGGGACGGGTAACTCGGGTATTCGGGTTAGGTGGGTACTGAGTAAGACCCAGGTACCCACAGGACTTCCCAGACCTGTGGTTAGTCACTTTCTAATGTTATCGGTTGGTCAGACTCACTGACTTGGTTGATGCATGTTATTATATCCCAATTGCATAGATCGATGCTCATGATGTCAATCAGTGGATTGTCTGTTCCAGACTTGATTATTTACAGACCGCTGTCATATAGCTTGAATATGACTGAGTGCAGCGTTAAACAACAAACAAACAAACAAAGTGTGTCGGTTAAACCAAAGAAATAAATAACTAAGACCTGCATCAATTCGGGCCGTCCTCCCACATCAAGCGTACACGCCGTCATATAACCGAAATGTTGATCAAAGCAGCGTTAAACCAAACTAACTCAATAGTATCTCTAGATTGTTCTTAAATATTACACTACTCTTGTAAAAGTACATGTGCCAGATAGTCGAGCCTACATGTTATACAATGCTATATGAAGGTATTTGTTCTGAGCAGGTTCCCCCACCCTGTGACCCTGGCGGGGATGTTGGAGATGGGGACGGCGTACCTGCCGGTGAACACCAACTGGGAGCGGTACAAACAACAGTCGAACACCACGTACTCCGAGATGCAGCGTGAGCTGAAGAACCTGCTCATGACCCTGGCCAATGATGCCTGTGCCCTCTTGGAGAATGATGGGTGAGTTTATTAGCGAAGGGACGGGTAATTCGGGTACTCGGGTCGGGTGGCCAGGCTCACTGACTTCGTTGAATGCATGTCATCGTATCCCAATTGCGTAGATCAATGCTCATGATGTCAATCACTGGATTGTCTAGTCCAGACTCGATTATTTACAGACCGTCGTCAAAAAGCTGGAATATTGCATTAAACAACAAACCAACAACAACAACAACCTGGACCTGTGGTTTGTCATGTGATGTATTGTTTAATTACAAAAACTATCTAGAACTCCATGGTCACTACAAGTCACCAATGTTCGCATTTCTTTCTGACTATGCACGCATTCCTTCTGACTTTATATGTTTAAATAATGATAAGACTTCAGTCAACTTTAGTGTATGCATGACCAGCTCGTTATATACATGTATCTAATTACTTTTTGCCAGGGCTGCAGTCAAACTATTCCCACTCGGACATTTTGTACCTTTCTCTTGAGACCTACAGTGGGTACCTGGGTAGGGTCAGGTAATAGGGGGTTGGGTACCCAGGTAGTAAATTTTGACTCGTCCCAGCCCTAGAGCCCTAGTATATGCATACTCTGGAATTTGCAAAATGTGATTCCCACAAAATTTTATTCCCATATCTATGCTACTCAAAAGATGTTAAGAACGCCTAGTTAATAGTTAATCTGTCATGGCTGGAGGTATTACAACAAAGCCTTCCAAATGTAGATGTTCTTTTACTTCTTTTGAGTAGTATATTTGATTGTCCATACGTGTCCGTGTAATATTGCAGACTCAAGTCTAAAAACCTTATTCACCACCACAGGTACAAAGGAACAGAAAGTTGTGACGTGAATAATTGTCAGTAAGTCACAAATTTGGACAATTTTTGGAAAAAGAGCCATACCAATATGCTTTATTTACCCTGTGACAGTGGGAACACAATGTCTTCAATTGTGAAACTTTGCTATAAATTTTGATGGTCCTAGCCTGAGGTCACCCTTGGGATTGTGGGTTCAGAACAGATCCCCGGCAATTCATGCTGGTCGTAAGCGGAGACTCTATATTTGATTATGGATTGGGTGGTCTGGCTCGGTGATTGCATGTCAAGTCAGATCATTGCATATAGTATCAATAACAGGATTGTCTGGTCCACTCAACTACAGTTCACTTCACTATGGGTATGTCGTCCTCACGGTAGTCTAACGCTAACTAAATAACTGATGCCCCTTTCATCTTATATCTGTCCACAAACCTCACATTTCAGTCAGGGCCATACGTTGGTGTGTTCATGTGATTCGATCTTTATACATTGGGTGCGTTTTGGAGAACAGTTCTATAATTAAGTCTGACAGAACACCGTCATATAGCAGGAATATTATATAGGAGTAAATGGTTAAATAACATACCCAGTCTTTGTTCATTTCGTGAAATTAGACCAAGGAAGGTTAAGTTAGCTTGAAATGAAAGTGTTTCATGTGTTTCATGTTGAGATTGAGTGTCTGGTCGTGTTCCTAGGTACAAGGACGACCCGTGGCTCTGGGACCTGGACTGGACTGTCAAGGACTACAAGCTGAAGAAACTATCCACCAAGTCTAAACCCAAGAATCAGCTGGAAGAGAGTTCAGATAACACAGAGGAAGAACCACCTTTCAAGAATCCAAATGGAGTTGACATGTTGACAGCCAAAGATTGTATTATTCAGGTACACTTTACACAGTATTACACAGTAACAAGTCTCCATAACTCGAGACTGGCCATTGGAGACACGATGTCATGACTTGTTGAAAAGGGCTCAATATGGGGATTGGATGTCTTATAGGCTTGTTGAGAAGGACATAATATGTGGATCGGATGTCATATAGCCGTGTTGTGAAAGACATAATTAGGGGATCGGATGTCATATAGCCATGTTGTGAAAGACATAATTAGGGGATCGGATGTCATATAGCCATGTTGTGAAAGACATAATTAGGGGATCGGATGTCATATAGCCATGTTGTGAAAGACATAATTAGGGGATCGGATATCATATAGCCATGTTGTGAAAGACATAATTAGGGGATCGGATATCATATAGCCATGTTGTGAAAGACATAATATGGGGATTGGATGCCATATAGCCATGTTGTTAAAGACATAATATGGGGATTGGATGTCATATAGGCGTGTTGTGAAAGAAATAGTATGGGGATTGGATGTCATAGCCGTGTTGTGAAAGACATAATATGTGAATGTCATATAGGCATGTTGTGATAGACATAATATTGGGATAGGATGTCATATAGCTGTGTTGTGAAAGACATAATATGGGGATTGGATGTCATATAGCTGTGTTGTGATAGACATAATATGGGGATTGGATGTCATATAGCTGTGTTGTGAAAGACATAATTTTTAAGCTTATTATGGGGAGTTAATAAGGATTACCTCGGGTGAGTGAGTGAGTATGTTTTTTTCTGTGAATTTATCAATATTCCAGCACTATCACGGCGTGGGACACCAGAAATGGGCTTCACACATTGTACCCATGTTGGGAATCAAACCCAGGTCTTCGGCGTGACGAGCAAACAGTTTAACCTCCAGATTACCTAGGGACTGGTGCAGCTGTTGGTCAGGGGGTTCTTGTTGGAGCAGGAAGCTTAATACAGTGAATACGGTAATATGCATGTTATATGTCTCTCCTTGTTGAGTGTGATTTATCTTGTGTCTTCTTCTAGACAGAGGAAGAGCAAGAGGAGAGAGAGGCTCTGGTTGCCATGGTGATGTCCACAGCTGGCAGGGTTCCTAAAAACGAAACTTTCATGGCTGGGTATCCTGCGTAAGTACTTTGTGTGGAGAAGGTGAATTAACAGTGAACTTTTACCCATACTTGGAATAATGCAGGGTGTCACCTCACTTTTGGAGACAGGTCATGGAAAGCCCTGTGGGGATTTCGAGTTAGCGTTGGTCCCATAGGAGTTGGAGGATACGTAATGCATCGGTTGATCGACTTGATGAGCATAGAACGTTCCTCATAAGGTCAATCACTAGGGGATTATCTAGGATTACCACTGAACCCTCATCAGGCAAATTGGGGAAAATGTTGTTTTTGTTCAAAATTGGAAAAGATTTTATGTTTAGATGTATTTTAACATTGTATTTAATGCAGAAATGTAAATGAAAGCCGCTTCTTTTTTATTGTTCCTGTTATCAGTGAAATACAAGTCACCTCAACATCGGCATAACATTAGTTGTGACTTTATTAACCTGAATTGGAAACACTATTTCCAATTTGGGATTTGTAACTGACGTTTGCTGCAGACATAGGGCTGAATATCGTCCTCTGAGCAGGTCTAGATAAATCTCTGTCTCTGGATTTTCTGGTCCAGACTCAATTATTTACTGGCTACCTACATATAACTGAAATATTGCCGATTGCGATAAGAAAACTTGTGACTCGGTGCATATCTTTATTGATCGCAACGCACTTCAACAAGAAAATAAACAATTTCTGATACAGTACCTTAGACATGTTTCAAGGAACTGATTTAAAAAACTGTGATGCAGCAAAAAGGAGTATTTGGCATAAAAATTACACAAATACTCAGGATCCTTCTTTATGAGTAACCCTGGATTTTGTGTACATTAGGGCTGGGATGGGTAACTCGGTTACCCGGGTCGGGTGGGTACTGAGTAGGACCCGGGTACCCACAGGACTTCCCGGACCCGTGGTTACTCACATGATATATTGTTTAATGACAAACATTATATAGAACTCAATGTGGTTACACTACAAGTCACTAACGTTGGCATTTCTGTCTGACTATGCACACATCCGTCTGACTTTAATATGTTTGAACAATGATAAAACTTCAGGGTATGAATGACCAGATCATTTAATATGTGTATCTAAACATATTTTGCCAGGGCTATGGTCAAACAATTCCCAAACGGACATTTTGTACCCATCTCTTGAGACCTACAGCGGGTACCCGGGTAGGGTAGGGTAATAGGGGGTTGGGTACCCGGGTACTAAATTTTGACTCGTCCCTGTGTGTGTACACGCTTCCAGTGGTAACTTAGAGTGGCAATACAGTTCAACTGTCATCATTCCATAATGATCATCTGTAAGCTGCACTTGTATTCAGAAGAAGCACACCTGATGAGCCACAGTTGAACCAATCAACTTAAATCGAAAGGTTGCACGGGAATCATGCACGCTAACACCGTGATTCCCATGCACCCTTTCGAGTTGAGTTGATTGGTTCAACTGTGTCATATGGCCCTGTGACGCAGGGGTAGCATTATGCAGATGGCTGTTACAATGAATGCTCGTTCCACCCGTGACGAACAGGTCTGGTTGTTGATGAAATATAGTGATAGCTAAATAGACAGATTTTTTATTCATGCACCGATTGTCTTTAAATGTAATATCCAGTTATGTATGACTGTTTAATAATCTCATACCAACTTTGACTGGAGTAGGTCCAATAGTTTTTCAGATATTGTAGTAAACGTCAGTACCTTAAATTACCTTCCAGACTATAACATCGCATGGGACAATAACAGCCACACTCATTTAGAGGCATCTATCTCCATGTCTAGAATTGTAGAACAAGTTTTCAGATCTGAAGTCTTGCCACCATCTTCCATTCACTCACTGTAGATGTTACATTTGCCTCCTCCAGCTGGTACCGGGACCTGTGTCCCCGCCCTAAGGCTGAGAACTGGTACCCCGGCCCCTCCCTGATCAGCACCCAGGTACGGGTCACCCCCAAGCTGCTCCGCCTCACCTGGGACGGCTACCCCGTCCACTACAATGACCAGCACGGGTGGGGTTACTTGGTTCCCGGGGAGACGGAGTCTGAGATGGATCGGGATTTGGCCAGTCAGGATGACGAAGAGGATTCGGACAAGGAGGAGAAACGGTTTCCAATACAGTAAGGATTCTGGCTGTTTCCACGCCATTTTTTATGTTTTTTCCTCCATAAGAGGGGCTCAGGTGGCCCAGTCGTCTAAGGCGCTGTGATTTGCTGTGCAGAGTTGTGTCCCTTAGGCACGCCAGAAACCTATGATTGTGGGTTCGAATCCCGGCTCGCCCCAATTATGTTTCTAGGTTTGTCAGCACCATACCCGTGCTCGTGGGTTTCACCAAAGTGGTAAACGTCTGAGACCTGCATCTTTTCGGGCTTTCCTCCCACATTAAGCTGACACGCTGTGATATAATAACTGGAATAATGTTAAAAGCGGTGTTAAACCCAACTCACTCACTCACTCACTCACTCACTCACTCACTCACTCACTCACTCACTCACTCACTCCATAAGCGCCAAAAGAAATTGAAGTCTGTAATAATTCCGTTCATTCAGGTCCTGTTTGTGCATCACCCTTTGGAAGTTGGTTGAATGTACATGCATAGTCCAAGTAGTTGCTGTTCCCTTACGCTATGTGAAGTACAGTGTAGCCATCACCCTCGACCCCCCATCCTAGCACACCCTGGACTTGCCAGCCCCTGGGCTCCAGTCAATCCCTTGTCTCTCTAACCCCATGTCTCTATCATGCATCGATCCAGACTCAACACCTGGACTCTCTCTCTCTCTCTCTCTCTCTCTCTCTCTCTCTCCTCTTTCTCATTCTCTCTCTCTCTCTTCACTCTCTCTCTCTCTCAACCTCTCTCAACCTCTCTCTCAACCTCTCTCTCAACCTCTCTCAACCTCAACCTCTAAACCTCTCAACCTCTCAACCTCTAAACCACCAGTCAACAATCTTGAGGTCCACATCCCTCAGACTCAACAAGCCCCCAGATTCAATTTCCCTGAACTCCCAAACATCTAGACTCTGTCACAGTCTGGATCCCCACCCCCAGACAGCTGATCCTCTAACCATGTTACCACTAAGACATGTTCACACACAGCCACCACTGCTATCAATCCCCATGTCTGTGTACTTCAGTTCCCTGCATGCGTTCCTTGCTCACACCAAGCCGGAGCTGTACGGACCCGACTACGAGAAGATCAAGCTGGCAGAGGACCCGCTAGGGAGAGGATTCGATGTCAAGTCCATGGAGCTGGCAGAGTTGAGACGACACTGGGCCTTAGTCAACGAGACAAAGCCTCGCAAGGTGAGACAGTTTATATACTACCCTAAGGAAGTTAAGGAATACCTGATTTGCATATGCAAGGTGAGACGGTTGATGTACTACTCAAAAGAAGTTAAGGAAAACCATATTGTTGCATGTGACTATGGTTAATCTATCTTGGCTGGAGGTATTGCAAAACACAGCCTTCTAATTGTGGGTGATCTTTAACCAGTATTGAATTGTATATATACATTGTGACACATAGCTTTGCAAAGTGAGACTTGATTTCGGGTCGAGGATGGCGTGGGTCGTTGCTCATCATATCAATCTCTGGTTCGTCTGGTCCAGACTGGATTATTTACAGGATACCATAGCTGGAATATATTGCTGAGTGCAACAGTAAACAGCAAACAAAACATATGTCTTACCTCTCATGGGAAGGTAGACAATCAGATGGAGGAAGATAGAAAAACTTCCTCAGTTTCAGCAGTGGCTAGTCAGTGGTGTGTGTTTCATTCCTCACATGGTGTAGATGGTTAGCCTTATTCCCGAGGAAAGGGCGTTAACTGACTATAAAAGTCCAGTTTCCACCCTTGCCGAACTAGGCTGGAATTCCGGAGTTACAATTTGGCTGGCCTAACAAGTCTGCGCATAATCCAATTAAAATCATGTAAAGAACTAGACATCCAGTTCGTAAACAACATGGATTTCAACATACAGATTTTCAGTCGACTGCAGGATTTGCAAAGCATGTGTACCGTCAATGGGACTTTGACAGATATTTTCCAAATATTTTCATATTTGGCATCAAATTGCTCAAGTGATATCATGCAATTCACAAGGTATTTTATTACAATATTTATCTTGAATATCAATCAGATCGTCTTGACTGGGTACCACCATTTTGTTTGAAGCAAATGCAAGTGATATGATAGGTGAAATCCTATTGGTCACTGTAATCAACTCGTAATAGCCACTGGTGGTGCTTCGATCAAGTCACAAAATATCACCCTAGTTCGGCAAGGATGGAAACTGGACTTTTACATGTAGTCAGTTAATGCCCTTGCCTCGGAAAGATGATGTTTAGCTTGAATCTGTTTTTTTAAGTTTGTCAAATATAATTATTCACCATATCTTAATGAAACCAGATTATTGATGCAAATTATTTCTTATATGACTGATAGCTCATGATAGGCTCTTGGTACAAGATGTTGATCTAGCAGCAACAACTCAGCGAGAACACTACTGAGATTGTTGTATCAACAATTAGATTGTCAGTACTCTAGCAGTAAGAACTCTTTTAAAGATAGTTTACAAACTTTCTAAATATGAATCTTTTCTTTTCTTTTGAAGCAGCTTTATTCAGATAAACTTGACATTTATATGATTTTTTTTTGGTTTTTTTGTTTAATGCCGCACTCAGCAATATTCCAGCTTTAAGATGTGGTCTGTAAATAATCAAGTCAAAGCGAAAAGGTGAGTGAGTGCCCAAACAGTGGCACCCGTCTAACCCTGGAAATGGTGGTACGGCAACATTGAATCAACCAATGCCTGCTCGATCCAATTCTGTCGCCTCATTATATAACCAAGTTTTGTTTATGAATACACAATGCCATGTAGAAAGTGGTCACATGTAACAAATGTTATATTTGGGATAACACTTTCTTAGTAAAGTACAGATTCTCGTACTTTTTTTGGTTGAGGCCCGTCCGGGATTGGAACCCACACTGCCAGAACCTAATCCCAGCACACAAAGTCAGGGATCCAACCAAGAATGAGAATCTGTATTTTACTTAGAAAGTGTTATCCCAAATATAACATTTGTTACAAGTTTTCTTTCTATATGACGGCAGTCTGTAAATAATCAAGTCTGGACCAGAAAATCCAGTGATTGACATCATGAGTATTGATCCACACAATTGGGATTGATGACATGCATCAACCAAGTCAGACAGCCTGACCACCCAATCCCGTTACTCGCCTCTAATGACAAGCATAGTCTTTTTACGGCAAGCATGAGTTGCTGAAGACCTTTTCTACCTGGATCTTCACGGGTCATATGAATTCAGTATTTGTTCAATATATAATCTTTATGAACGTTGGTCTTGTAGCCTTTCTCTGCCTCCCCTGGTGACGGACCCTTTGACATCAGTCTGACTGGCTGCGTGTTCTACAAGATACCACACAAGGTAGGTCTGACTGTGTTCTACAAGATTCCACATAATGAATTTCTGACCAGCTGTTTTAGACTCAGAAGCAATTGAAGTGCATGTAATTGTATTTCTTTTACAAAATAATGTCAATATTGTCATGGAAATGAGGACAGGTAGATTCCTGATTTGACATCTGACTTTCTAGCACACTTCCCTGCAGGGTAAACTGACTTATATATTCAGGGATGGGCAGGGTTTGCATTAGATTATTGTGCTGAATAATTTCACTGATTTCGGATTGTCAACAGTTAATATGGGGTGGTGGGGTAGCCTAGTGGTTAAAGCGTTTGGCCGTCACGCCGAAGACCCGGGTTCGATTGCCCTCATGTGAAGCCCATTTCTGGTGTCCCCGCTGTGATATGGCTGGAATATTGCTCAAAGCAGTGTAAAAGAGTACTCATTCACTCACTCTACTGTTAATGATTGAATAAGCCGTCTGTGAAGATATTTTCAGATATATTAATTTTTAAGAATTGATTTTAATTTCATTTTGCATTTATTGTGTTTAAACATAAAAGCCAGTGTGCATTCTTTGCATATGACACAGTGTGCACACCATGTTTTAGCTTTTACCTCCATAAAAGCAAAAGATATTGTAGTAATTTCTTTCGTTCGTCCTTGTCCTGTTTGTGCATTACACTTCTGAAGTTGGTTGAATGTGCATGCATTGTCAAAGTACTTGCCTTCTTCATGTGTCGTCTGCTCCAGGACGGCAACAGCAAGCGTGTGGGGAACCCTCTGGCCAAGGACTATCTGCTGCGTGTGGAGGACGGCACGCTGCGTACGGCCACAGGGGCGGACGCAGATCGGGTTTTGTCCCTGGGGAAAATGTGCTCCTACTGGAAGAACAATCAGCAGAGAATTGAGTGAGTGAAGCTGACGGAAACTTTAACATCTGCCCCCATTCCTGTTTTACAAATGATTTTCATGTTACAAATGTCTTAGATCGGACCCTGGTCCCCTTGCATCAAACCAGGCATCACCGATTATCCAGTGTATTTTATTTATTTGGTTGTAATTTAAAGCCTTATTCAGCAATGGTAGAGACAGAGGTCTGTAAAAATCATGTCAGACCAGAAAATTCAGTGATTGATATCATGAGCATCGATCTATGCAATTGGGATATGATGAAATGCTTCCACCAAATAGCCGAGCCCGAACACCCGATAACGGGTGGCTTGGTTGATGCATGCCATCATATCCCAGTTTCGTAGATCGATGCTCATGATATCAATCACTAAATTGTCTGGTCGAGACTCGATTATTTACAGACCGTCGTCATGTAGATGTAATATTGCTGAGTGGGGAGTTAAACAACAAACAAACAAACAAACAAACACTTCCATAACTGGGCTGCCATGGCAAGCAGGTCCAGGATATGTATCATAAGATGGAGATGTTGTAGCCAGGATGGTCGAGGATGGAAACCAGGAAGGTGGGGCACCACAGTGGATTATCTGTACCCTTCTGTAGGCTTAGACAAGTTAAATGTTTTTCTGAAAGATGACTGTTTAAAGTTTATGATTATACTGACACACAATGAATTTGGGAAATAATTTTCAGTGAACTGACAAAAAACAAAGAAACTGGTGTGTGGTAGTGAGGTCTGAAGGTTGGCAACATGGCAATAATGTTGGCTGAGTTTGAATCCACATTCACATTGTCATACCTGAACATAAGCTCCCCGTGACTCGTTACGTATCAACATCCACTATGTGTTTTCCAAGTATTTCGGTATATGTTCATTATTTGATTCCATGATTGTTCAACCGCCTCTATGGTCCAGTGGTAGAGCATCCGCCCAGAGAGGGGAAGGTCCGGGGTTCAGTCCTCGGCCACGTCATACCAACAGACGTTAAAAGGTGGTACTTGTTGTTACAGGGGCTAAAACAAGGACTGGTAGGCCCGGAGTCAGTATACTGTGTCTGAGTGGGGTATTCATGTTAAACTGCGGCATGGTATCTCAGTAGCTAGCACTATAAATCAGCATCAGTCCGGACTAGTACAAGCACCCACACACACACACATGGATGCATGTCGTTATATAAGTGCAATAATCTTGGACGTTAAACCCAATTTCCCCTCACCTCACCACCATGATTGTTTGTTCATTGTTTGATGTTTTAGAGGTCAGATGTCAGTGTGGATGAAGAAAGGAGAACTCCACAAAAGCATTACAAGGTAAAGTAGATACATCAACACATTACCGATGGAAGTGCTTCATCCCGAGGCAAGCGTGTCCACTAGCCTATTAATCAAAGCCTTGTTTCTACCTTTGCCACATGAAGGCCACTTTTATGGATCGACCCTGGCGCCACCTCACTTAGATCACGAGTTGTGCCCCTTGTAATGAACATGCGATATCCAATTAGATCGCTGTTCTTATCTTGAATAGCTTCACAAAGATGGCGACTACCATAGGCGACGACATTCGCAGTTTCATCCCTGACACAAAAACAATCGTTGGGGGCTTAAAGATGAAAAAAACGTGTCAACAAAGACAGGCAGCGATAAATAAGGTGTACCAGTCGTGGATGATGATTTTGTGAAATGTTCTCTGATTACACTAAGGGGCGGTCGGGTAGCCTAGTGGTTAAAGCATTCGCTCATCACGCCGAAGACCCAGGTTCGATTCTCAACATGGGTACAATGTGTGAAGACCATTTCTGGTGTCCCCCCGCCGTGATATTGCTGGAATATTGCTAAAAGCGGCGTATAACCACACTCACTCACTCTGATTGCACTATCGATATGTGCGATAGTCCAATCATATTGACCACAGGAAAGTGGGCTTAATGTGGCAAGGGTGGACACAAGACTTTGATAAAAAGGATAATGGACGCTCTTGCCTCGACGATGCTGGAAGTCATAAACACATGAACACAATGCACAGATCAAAGGGAGGTAGCTACAAACCACTGTATCTACAAGACTAGCTTGTCTGTGTGTATGTAGACATGACGAGATACTCTGTGTTTGCAGCCAGGAGGACTATGAGGAGGATGGTTTGTACGGCGCAGTGGTGCCAAGGATTGTCCCAGCAGGAACCATCACACGCAGGGCTGTCGAACAAACATGGCTGACTGCCAGCAATGCCTACGTAAGTCAAGTCTCATGCTTCAAGGACGGTCGGGTAGCCTAGTGGTTAAAGCATTCACTCGTCACCGAAGACCCGGGTTTGATTCCCAACATGGGTAAAATGTGTGAAGCCCATTTCTGGTGTCTCCAGCTGTGATATTGCTGGAATATTGCTAAAAGCGACTTTAAACCATACTCACTCACTCACTCATGCTTCAAGCAAAGTGTTGTTCTTGTACATGTTTCCAAAATCTTATTTCTGAAACTTTTAAAAATTTGATACAGAAAATTATGTGTTGTGAAACATCAGATGGACTTCCTAGCAGGGTGTAATGTGAGTTTGTGTTTCTGCAGCCTGATCGCATCGGCAGTGAGTTGAAGGCCATGGTCCAAGTTCCTCCAGGCTACCATTTTGTGGGAGCAGACGTGGACTCCCAGGAACTCTGGATAGCCTCCATTATTGGTGACGCCACCTTTCAGAAAATACATGGTACTGATTCCCTTTCCACATTACCTCTCCTACATGTATCTATTTCACACGCTATATGCCCTCCCGACCATCCCTGCATCACAGCCCCTCTAGCCTGTCAGCTCTAAGAAAGAGAATGATGTGGCGGGGGTTGTCAAGTGATCATGTCGTGTAGGTCGCTATGCACAGGATGTGAGTGACCCATTTGCTTGGGTGGTGACCATGGTGATGCTAGGATGTGTCCGGGTGATTTGTTTTTGGAAGCTGAAAAACCTTGTTCGATCTCATTTCCACATGGGATTGAAGGAAGAAGTACGAAATGCATAGTCTAGTGTGAGATGGGATAAGTATGTAACTATTCAATTTACAATAAATGTGAAGACAAAGATTGTTCTGGAACTTGGTTAATAAGGCTACTATTGTCATGAAAAAGGTCTTGATTTTATATTTGAGCATCTAACAAGGAGATAATAATGGTACATTTTTAGTTGTAAGCACCAGCATATTTCTTTACTTTAATAAATATTAAGGGCATGGTTTTCAGTACGGAAGCAAGGGCCATTTGGATATTTTGTTTTTTTTGGTTGAAATTTCAAGATACTAGTTGAAATTTCAAGATACTGATTTGAAATTTCAAGATAATAAGTTGAAATTTCAAGATAATAAGTTGAAATTTTAAGTTATAATCTTAAAATGTCAACTTATTATCTTGAAATTTCAAGATCATTATCTTGAAATTTCAACTTATAATGTATCTTGAACTTTAAGCCTAGTATATTGAAATATCAACATATCATCTTGAAATTTCAAGTTAGTATCTTCAAATTTCAAGAAAAAAATGAAAAACAAAAGGCCCTCAAAGGCTTCCATACTTCTGTAAAAGATGGACCAAAGAAATACACCACTGTTGCAGGCTGCACCGCGCTGGGCTGGATGACCCTGCAGGGTAACAAGGCCGACAAGACGGACCTCCACAGCAAGACCGCAGAGACTGTCAGCATCAGCAGAGACCACGCCAAGGTAGGGTTGAGGTGATGGGGTAGGTCACTAGTAAGGAAGGGGGACCTCCACAGCAAGACCGCGGAGACTGTCAGCATCAGCAGAGACCACGCCAAGGTAGGGTTGAGGTGATGGGGTAGGTCACTAGTAAGGAAGGGGGACCTCCACAGCAAGACCGCGGAGACTGTCAGCATCAGCAGAGACCACGCCAAGGTAGGGTAGAGGTGATGGGGTAGGTCACTAGTAAGGAAGGGGGACCTCCACAGCAAGACCGCGAAAACTGTCAGCATCAGCAGAGACCACGCCAAGGTAGGGTAGAGGTGATAGGGGTAGGTCAGTAGTAAGGTAGGGGGAAGTCCACAGCAAGACCGCAGAGACTGTCAGCATCAGCAGAGACCACGCCAAGGTAGGGTAGAGGTGATGGGGGCAGGTCAGTAGTAAGGAAGGGGGAAGTCCACAGCAAGACCGCAGAGACTGTCAGCATCAGCAGAGACCACACCAAGGTAGGGTAGAGGTGATGGGGTAGGTCAGTAGTAAGGTAGGGGGAAGTCCACAGCAAGACCGCAGAGACTGTCAGCATCAGCAGAGACCACGCCAAGGTAGAGTAGAGGTGATGGGGTAGGTCAGTAGTAAGGAAGGGGGAAGTCCACAGCAAGACCGCGGAGACTGTCAGCATCAGCAGAGACCATGCCAAGGTAGGGTAGAGGTGATGGGGGCAGGTCAGTAGTAAGGTAGGGGGAAGTCCACAGCAAGACCGCGGAGACTGTCAGCATCAGCAGAGACCATGCCAAGGTAGGGTAGAGGTGATGGGGGCAGGTCAGTAGTAAGGTAGGGGGAGGTCCACAGCAAGACCGCGGAGACTGTCAGCATCAGCAGAGACCATGCCAAGGTAGGGTAGAGGTGATAGGGGTAGGTCACTAGTAAGGAAGGGGGACCTCCACAGCAAGACCGCGGAGACTGTCAGCATCAGCAGAGACCACGCCAAGGTAGAGTAGAGGTGATAGGGGTAGGTCAATAGTAAGGTAGGGGGAGGTCCACAGCAAGACCGCAGAGACTGTCAGCATCAGCAGAGACCACGCCAAGGTAGAGTAGAGGTGATAGGGGTAGGTCAATAGTAAGGTAGGGGGAGGTCCACAGCAAGGTAGGGTAGAGTTGATGGGGTAGGTCAGTAGTAAGGTAGGGGGAAGTCCACAGCAAGGTAGGATAGGGTTAGGTTGAGGTGATGCCAGGGTAGGGATAGATCCACACACAGCGATGTTGATTTTTTTCAAAATGAAGCTATTGTAGCCATTGTGTTTATCATAATACCATACATAGAACTGAATATTGTCACAAGCTTTAACATGTTTTTGTATTGTCCCCTTGCAGTTCAGTACCCTTATTGTCTCTCTTCTGGTCAGTTGATCTTGTCCAGCCCTCCGAGGCACCAGTTGATCGGCCTCATTAAATTTCTGACCATGCAAGTTGTTTGTTCTTATACCAAGGTTCCGTCCGTCCGTCTGAAAACTTTGTCCGCGCGATTTCTCTTAAACTATTCAGTGGATTCATCTCAAACTTAGTACATATAATCTGTCATATGGAGGGGTGCAGTCAAAAGAAAAAATTGCTTTTATTAATTTTCCATTTTTTTATGAATTTTTCAAACCCTAACCCTATCCATTATTTATTTTGAAACTACTGACACACTAGGCGGGTCGGGGGTATTAGTGAGCCAAGCTCACTTTTGCCCTTGTTTTAATTTGAAAACAGATGGTAATCACTAGGGGCCAAATCTTGTGAAAAAAAGGTTCATGGGGTAGAAACTTGTATGTAAATTACCATTCAGCAGCCATTGAAACATGAACGGGAGCTTTGTCATCGTACCCCGATGGTGTGCATCGTGGCTCACTTCGATCACATGGTTTCCTGCAGGTGATGAACTATGGCCGCATCTATGGGGCGGGGCAGAGGTTTGCTGAGAGACTCCTGGTGCAGTTCAACCCCCGCCTCACCCCCGAGGAGGCAAAGCAGAAGGCTAAGAAGATGTACATGGCCACCAAGGGCAAGAGAAGGTCTGTACAATCTGTGTCGGGTCTGTGGTTGTTCCGGGGTAGCGTTAGACCCCAGTAAGTTTTGCTTGTTGTGAAAGACAAGTAAATGAATCGGATGGTCAGGCTCTGATACTTGATTGGCTGAATAAAAAAATGTGCCACTTTATTGCACATAGTGACAATGTAGATTGGCTGATGGTGTCATCGTGGTCCGATGGCATGGATCGTTGTTCATTCCGTGTCTGTCTGTTTCTGTTGCCTGGTCTAGACTTGATTATTTACTGTCCAAACTGTTGTACCTGCAGTGTTGCTGACTGCGGGTTACACTGTCACTTAGCCATTGCATGTAGGGAACAAACAGTGTTCTTGACTTTTAAGTGTATGCAGATGAACTTCACACAATAACCTTCCTATAATGACAAGTAATTTACGTAAGGTTTTCTCTTCAAAATGTTTTGCTTCGAAGGAACAGCAAATCTGCATTTTTCATAAATAATATTTTACGGGTCGAGCATTAATTCTCTGTAACATTCGTGAAAAGACACACATACATACAACTATCAAAACAAATAATGTCAATCACCGCATAGTCTGGTCAAGACAGCCCTTCGCTAAGCTTAAATATAATGTTGTACGTCAGTCTAGGTCTGGAAGAGACATGCATGGTCTGTTCATTCTGACTTCTTTCATATAACGTAATTTATTGCTTATTGCATAGGGGTATTACTTACGAAATTACTTGTGGTTTGGGGTACGAAATTACATTCTTGGACACAGCTTACGTTGCTATAGTTAAAGATTTATCTCCCTTGTTTATTTCAGCCAATCAGGACTGTGGGTTGGAGGAACGTAAGTTGTTAGCCGCCCTAAGAAATTTTATCCTCTAGTCTTAGATTTGGGGAGGGCTACACATCTGAGATCTGCATCACTTTGAGGTTTCCTCCCAGATCAATCATACACGCCGTGATATAACTGGAATACTGTTCAAAGATGCGTTATGCCCAACTCACTCACTCCCTCAGATTTTGAGATTAAAGCCATCAAAACAGTGTGAATTTATCAAGCAAACTTTGTCTTCATAATTTAATAGTCTGTTAAGTTTCATCTTTTGTGTGCAAAATAATGCATGTACTGGTATGTTGCACAAATAATAACCTTTCAGGCAAATGATAAATTAACAATACAGATATCGTGACAGGCTGTAGTTAATCAACATTTACGTAGATCATTCTTGCATCACTTGCCCCGATGTATTTGTTATATCTGGGCTATATTTTTCTTGTTGAAGTGAGAGCCATATGTTCAACGGCCTTGAGAAGATAGCAAGGTCAGAGGAACCATTGACTCCAGTTCTGGGATGTCGAATCAGCAGAGCTTTGGAGCCGGAGCATGTTCTTGACGATGTAAGACTTCCCTAAAGCCTTATCTTCTTCACAATGACAATGTGTGAAGCCTATTTCTGGTGTCCCTGCTGTGATATTGCTGGAATATTGCTAAAAGCAGCTAAAAACCCTACTCACTCAATTCTTCACAATGAGAATCAGTTTCATTTCACTAGTACTCTAAGTACCAATACCAGTACCTCATGAAACAGTTGTCATTATTTGACTATTTCACTGATTTAAAAAAGTTACAAGCACTAAAAGGTAGTAATATGTGGACCGTGGGGATTCTGAGTAATATATGTCACCATCAACCTTACTTGTCATAAGAGGAGGCTAAATAAATCAGTGGTCAGGTTTGGTGACTTGGTCGATGACATGTCATCATTTGTTTGTTTGTTTGTCGATGTGTATAGCTATATTAGATATTCTGTCGATGTGTATAGCTATATTAGATATTCTGTCAATGTGTATAGCTATGTTAGATATTCTGTTGATGTGTATAGCTATGTTAGATATTCTGTCAATGTGTATAGCTATGTTAGATATTCTGTCAATGTGTATGGCTATAATAAATATTCTGTTGATGGGTATAGCTATAATAAATATTCTGTTGATGGGTATAGCTATATTAGATATTCTGTCCATGGGTATAGCTATATTAGATATTCTGTCGATGTGTATAGCTATATTAGATATTCTGTCAATGTGTATAGCTATGTTAGATATTCTGTTGATGTGTATAGCTATGTTAGATATTCTGTCAATGTGTATAGCTATGTTAGATATTCTGTCAATGTGTATGGCCATAATAAATATTCTGTTGATGGGTATAGCTATAATAAATATTCTGTCCATGTGTATAGCTATATTAGATATTCTGTCCATGGGTATAGCTATATTAGATATTCTGTCGATGTGTATAGCTATATTAGATATTCTGTCAATGTGTATAGCTATGTTAGATATTCTGTTGATGTGTATAGCTATGTTAGATATTCTGTCAATGTGTATAGCTATGTTAGATATTCTGTCAATGTGTATGGCTATAATAAATATTCTGTTGATGGGTATAGCTATAATAAATATTCTGTCCATGTGTATAGCTATATTAGATATTCTGTCCATGGGTATAGCTATGTTAGATATTCTGTCAATGTGTATAGCTATACATGTATTAGATATTCTGTCGATGTGTATGGCTATAATAAATATTCTGTTGATGTGTATAGCTATAATAGATATTCTGTCGATGTGTATAGCTATGTTAGATATTCTGTCAATGTGTATAGCTATGTTAGATATTCTGTCAATGTGTATAGCTATGTTAGATATTCTGTCGATGTGTATGGCTATAATAAATATTCTGTTGATGGGTATAGCTATAATAAATATTCTGTCCATGTGTATAGCTATAATAGATATTCTGTCGATGTGTATAGCTATGTTAGATATTCTGTCAATGTGTATAGCTATGTTAGATATTCTGTCAATGTGTATAGCTATATTAGATATTCTGTCGATGTGTATGGCTATAATTCATATTTTGTCAATGTGTTTCAGTTCATGACAAGCCGAGTGAACTGGGTCGTCCAGAGTTCCGCCGTGGATTATCTCCACCTGATGTTGGTCAGCATGCGCTGGTTGTTGGAGACATTCTCCATCAGGGGGCGCTTCTGTATCAGTATCCACGATGAGGTCCGTTACTTGGTGAGAAGTGAAGATCGGTACCGAGCTGCCCTGGCTCTGCAGATCACCAATCTGTGGACTCGGTCAATGTTTGCATCTAGGCTCGGGATGAAAGATCTGCCACAGGTAGAAAACAAGTAAACATAGCATCATATAATTCCTGCAAATACATTATAATATATATTATTGTGAAGAGAGAGTGAGTGAGTGAGTATAGTCAGCAATATTCCAGCAATATCACGGCGGGGGACACCAGAAATGGGCTTCATACCTTGTACCATGTGGGGAATCGAACCCAGGTCTTCGGCGTGACGAGCAAACGCTTTAACCACTAGGCTACCCGACCGCCCCTCATTGGGACGAACACTATTGCCTGTATTATGTTTGTTTGTTTGTTCTAAGATTTGTTTGTTTGTTGTTTAACGCCACACTCGGCAATATTCCAGCTATATGACGGCAGTCTGTAAACATTGTATCTGGACCAGACAATCCAGTGATTGACATCAGGAGCATCAATCTATCCATTTGGGATACAATGACATGCATCAAGCCAAGTCAGTGTGCCTGACCACCAGATCATGTTAGTCGCCTCTTACGACAAGCATGGGTTGCTGAAGTACCTATTCTAACCCGGAATCTTCTAGGGACGTCTGTATAAGGATTACATAGTACCACGTTTTCAGATTTTTGATACATAAATGTAAAGTTTGCCTGTTCCTGATTTCACTAGGCCTTTAAGTTTTATTTCCTTGGATTATATATCAACCAGCAGAAGTGGATTTAATTTCTATTTTCTATTGGCAAAGACCACTCGCATTTTTCGCATTTAATTCACACTCGCGTTAATTTCACGTTTTACAGTACTCGTTAATCTGACATAATCATATGCAACCAACTATGCATGTCAGATTAACAGGACTTGACTGTATGTGGACAACAAAATACCTCACATTACAACATGGAGCCACAACTCCAGAAGCGTTTTTTCCGGTGTAGGAGAAAACTGTAAGTTTACCAATATCTATTTATTCCAGTTTATTTCTTCCAGATATTATTGTAAATTACAATCCTGTTTCAGTCAGTTGCCTTCTTCAGTAGTGTAGACATTGACACCTGCCTGAGGAAGGAGGTTGTGATGGACTGCAAAACCCCCTCAAACCCCCATGGTCTGGCCAGGGGCTATGGTATTCCACAAGGTAGGGATACACAGATTCATACAGGCCAGAAAACCTTTGAATGGCAGTCCTGCCTTGAAACGGTCGTAAATTTGAATCAGCATTTATAATGCCTTAAACTTTGATTAGGTGCCTGGAAAAGGCCTTTAGTTTGTTAACAATGGTTAACCTTGCTGTTACATAAATATGTTACAATTCTTTTTTTCTCTAATAATACATGAATAAATTATATAGTTAATGACTAGTTCATAGCTTGGTGGATAAATGATATTGAAACACTGTTGTAAGGACTTGATTATTTTTTTTGAAAAATTGAAAATAAACAAAATGCAAGTGATTCCGTGGCATTTGATTGGCTCACCATATATATATTTCCATAAACCAAGAAGACATAAGGCCACGCCCACTTACGGTCTACTGTTTCTTGATTTGTTGACAATAGAATGGGAGGGGCTTGTGTTGCATTATTGCACTGACCAATGTCACTGATTTCGTACTGTTGTGTAAAGGATTAAAAAAGGAGTTGTGAAGTTGTTATTATTGACATATTTATTTATAAGAATTTTCTTCCATATGATTTTTTCTTGATGGAAGCATAAACGTATGCCCACAGGTTAAAAGCCAAAAAACTGTTGAAATCCATGTTTATTTGCAAGTGGAACCAATAAGTATGTCCTAATGTATCTATTTGAAATCAGATTTATTTTAATTTAATTTAATTTAATTCAACGATTTAAAATTTTAATATTTTTTCACTGACATATTTGCAGGTGCTGCTCTGGATATTTATGAAATACTCCAGATAACAAATGGGACGCTGTGTGCCAAGTCCCAGAATAAGACAGCACTAGATGGCGTTAAAGAGAACTGAGTTTGTCAATGTCAAGGTCACATTGTACGAAGGCTTTATGACTGAATCATCTGTAAGTGAAACCAAGACAGTGTATTAGTTGGTGGGCATTACCACCACCGCGTGTGTGAGTGAGTGAGTGAGTTGGGTTTAATGCTGCTTCGAACACTGTCAGTTATCAGATATATCCTGGCGGGTTACCTTATGAAGGAAGTCCAAAGTGATGGAGGTTGTTGGTTTGTTGTTTAACGCCGCACTCAGCAATGTTCCAGCTATATGACGGCAGTCTGTAAAATAATCGAGTCTGGACCAGACAATCCAGTGATTGATATCAGGAGCATCGATCCACACAATTGGGATCGATGGCATGCATCAACCAAGTCAGCGAGCCTGACCACCGGATCCCGTTAGTCGCCTTTTACGACAAGCATAGTCGCCTTTTACGGCAAGCATGGGTTGCTGAAGACCTATTCTACCCTGGAATCTTCATGGGTCTGATGGATGTTGTAGATGTTTACCACTTTGGTGAAACCTGTGAAGATCCGAGATTAAATTGGTCTTCAACTCGGGTTAGCTTGGTATGGAACTTCCTTGATGCATGTCATTGTATCGAGTCTGGACCGGACAATCCAGTGATTGACATCATGAGCATCGATCCACGCAATTGGGATCGATGACATGTATAAACCAAGTCAGCGAGCCTGACCATCCGATCCCGTTAGTCGCCTTTTACGACAAGCATAGTCACCTTTTACGGCAAGCATGGGTTGCTGAAGACCTATTCTACCCTGGAATCTTCACGAGTTATTGCCATTAGGAATTGTCATGGTGAGTGAGTGAGTGGGTGAGTGAGTGAGTGAGACGGGTTGAACTCCGCTTTTAACAGTATTCCAGTTCACGGCATGTCAGCTTAATGTGGGAGGAAAGCCCGAAGTGATGCATGTCTCAGACGTATCCCACTTCTGTGCAACCCACGAGCACGGGTATGGTGCTGACAAACCTACAAACATAATCGGGGCGAACCGGGATTCAAACCCCCATTCATAGTTTTCTGGCGTGCCCAAGGGATGCAACTCTGCACAGCAAATCGCGGCGCCTCAGATGACTAGGCCACCCTTGCCCCCAGAAAACCTGTGTGGACCTAAGTTCCAATTGTTCTTCAACTCGGGTTAGCTTGGTATTGAACTTGCTTAATGCATGTCATTGTATCCCAAATGCATATATCAGTGCTCATGATGTCAGTCAATGAACTGTCTGGTTCGGACTCTATTAATTACAGAGCTCCCTCATATTGCTGGAATATTAGTAAGTGAGATTTATAAAAACAAAATGGTAAGTGTCCAGAAACAGTGTTGCCAACCAAAATGTATCTGTAATACTTTTCGAAATTTCCAAAACCCAACTCACTCACTCACTCTGCAACTGAACCACATGAATGGTTGCAGGAATATGGCAGGAGAAATATTTTTGTTTGTATCAGAAGATAAGGCTTTAACCTCCAGATGGCATTTATTCTTGCAACAGTTGTTTTCTTGTTGATCACTGAAACAGTCTACATTTGATTTTGTTTTGTTGTTTGCTATGTTCAAAATAAATACTGACTAAATGGAAATATGTCGTGTTATGAAAAGAGTTCAGCGCCCCCTGAAGTACACAACTGTTGCGCGAAGATGAATGTAATTGGAAAAATCGTTTTGGTAATGGCACCAACAGTCACTCGAAGGAGAGCTGGATGCCCCATAGACGAGGGTCATCAGGATTTTGTTAAATGGCATTTGGAGATTTCCTTGGCACGAAGAGGATGGAGAACAAAGAAGCCACAACTCATCCTATCTGGTACCCATTCATTGCTGGGTGAACAGAGGCACATTTCGAACAAAGTCACATGCCCAAGGGAGTTGCTTCCCTTGTCTGATGTAGAGTTGCTTCCCTTGTCTGCTGGCTCATATCCAAGTTTCCCCTGATAGAGTGTCAGAGGGTCATGGTTTGATCCATAGTCATGTCATTGACGTTACGAGATGATGCGTGTTGTACCCTGCCTAGCAGTCGCCATCAAGAGGACTGGTCGGGTCACTCAGAATACTGAGGGGTGTCTCAGTGGGCTAGCACTGTAAATCCGTCATTAGTCTGGACTAGTACAAACAGCCACACACATCACTAATTTAGTGCAATAATCTTGGAACACATGTTAAAACTCACCTCACCCAGTTTTCCTTGGTGATTATTATTGATGATAGTGATATGTCAGCAATATGCCTATGTGGTTCCAATCTCATTAAAATCAGATCTAAGTTCTTGCAAAGTTCTAAACAAAGATCTGAGGACATCCCATGACGGGTCACATCAGAACGACCTTTTGCGAACTTTGACCCACCACTGAAATGACTAACTAGAAGTCGACATCAGCCAATTAGAAAGCAGCTTTCTCGAGCTTTACGGCACTCGTTTCAACCTGGCAACTTCCATTTCAGACTACGCTTGAAAAATATGTTGACACAGTTCTCGATTAAAATTTTGAAAACTGAACAAACGAACATTCCGGAATGTCTAATATATGGTTGCGATTGTATGGCAGTGCTTCCCACGTACTGTGCAACACCTCCTCCGTTCAAATGTTTATCCCACGGAAGTGAGAGATAGACGATACGTTTGACGGAATCAGTCGTACGGGCCATAACTGTCGTTCGGAATACCCCGTATTAACGTTTTCGAGGTTGCATGATTAGAAAACAAATCACGTTCATGATCTGGTAAGCGACGCTTTGATTGGTCGGATGAAAGGTCGTTCTGGCATGACCCGTAATGGGATATCCTCGGATCTTTGTTTAGCGATTTCGAGGACTAAGATCTGATTTGAATGAGCTTGATGTGTTTCAAACACAATGTAGTTTTGGCAGTGTCCAGTGTGTGTTGGGGTATGAAGGCGCCACTATGGCTGTGCAGCAAGGTTGGGAGGGTTACTCGGGTACTCGGGTTGGGTGAGTCCTGAATAGGACCCGGGTACCCACAGGACTACCCGGACGCGTGGTAAGTCACGTGATATATTCTTTAATGACAAGAACTCCATGGTTACACTATAAGTCACTTATGTTCCAATTTCTTTCCGACAATGCCCCCATTTCTTCTGAATTGTATATGTATGGATAAAGATAAAACTTCATGCAGAAAACTTCAGTGTATGCATGACCAGATCATTTTATACGTGTATCTAAATACATTTTGCCAGGGCTATGGTCAAACTTTTTAAAATCGGACAGTTTGTACCTATCTCTAAATATCTACAGCGGGTACCCGGGTAGGGTCGGGTAATAGGGTGGTGGGAACCCGAGTAGTAAATGTGGACCCGTCCCAGCCCTACTGTGCAGAGTTGCTTCAGAGGCATGCCAGAATTCTATGTTCGTGGGTTCGAATCCCAGACTTGCGAGGTGTTACAATCGTTGTAATACCTCCTGCGAGGTGTAACCACAATTTCAAAAACTCCATATCGAGTTACACAAACAGCCAGTAGGTTTATAACTTAGGTCTTACTATTATTATTTTTTAAATGTGATCATTGCCTTGATTTGGTGTCATTTATTTTAAACCACGTTCCAGCAAATCTAAATTCATTTCACTCGCTTATGCATGAAGTATCATTGTCTGTCAAGGTCGTTGACATACATCTATTCCAGGAAAGAAATGAGAAACATTGGGAAGCACAGGGTTCAAATGTTTATTGAGGCTTTTAGAGATTGAATTTTTTTAGAAGGGTCTGGAAGCTGAAAAAGAAAGGGTTGAGTTAATTATGAATGTACAACTATAAGAGGAAGGGAAGACGGAGCGTCTCATACGTTAACGTCTTAACACTTACGAAGGGCAGTCTAGATTATTATGTTAACATCTAACACGTACGAAACGCACTCCAGATTGTTACGTTTACGTGTAAAACTTACGAAGGGCAGACCAAGGGACAGGCCATCTTGAGGACGTCCGCCTTGACGATGAGAGGGCACTCTTTCTCGCAGAGCTGCTCAGTCGTGTCGGAACCAAGGGTATTTACCAAGAGAGACATAATGTGCTTGAGCTCGTTTGTATCTAGAATGTTAGCTGAAGAGAGAAACATCCGATTCGATTAAGTAAAAAGCAACCTTCACAGAATACCTGTCAGGTAAGAAGAAAGACAAAATGATTCAGCCTTGTACACGAATTACCATCTTCCCATGGCAAGAGAGTTAACTGACTATAAAAGTCCAGTTTCCAACCTTGCCGAACTAGGCTGGTATTATATGGAGTTTTGGCTGGACTAGCGAGTGTGGATAGTCCAATCAAAATCGCGCAACGAAATCGAAATCATGTTCGTAAACTGTCGGTCGATTGCAGGATTTGCAAAGCATGTGCACCGCCATCTCGTTGTCAACCGATATTTTCCAAATCTTTCATGTTTTTAATCAAGGTGCTCACATGATTTGATGCATTTCGCGTTGTAAGGCCCGTTTTATCACAATATATATCGTGATTATCGATCAGATCGTCTTGACTGGGCGCCGCCATTTTGTTTAAAGCAAATGCAGGGGATACGAGAGGTGGAATCTGATTGGTCCATAGGAGAGGCATAGAAGGGACATAACTCGTGATAGCTATTGGTGCCGCTAGGATCGAGCCAAGGTATTCCGGCCTAGATCGGCAAGGTCGGAAACTGGACTTTTAAAGTCAGTTAACTCTCTTGCCTCGGGAAGATGACGAATTACTTGCATTCGAATATTGTGCCATTTACAATATACGACATTGTTTTGAATTTATGACAGTCATTCAGTTGCCAGTTGTGTATGTTGGATATTGTTGAAAGATAACGTGGTAGTGTTTTAATGACGATGGGGGTCAGTACCACCGACCCATGAGGATCCGGGGTAGAATAGGTCTTCAGCAACCCATGCTTGCCGTTAAAGGCGGCTACGCTTGTCGTAAGAGGCGACTAACGGGATCGGGCTCGCTGACTTGGTTGATGCATGTCATCTTTTGCCAATAGCGTAGATCGATGCTCATGATGTCAATCAGTCGATTGTCTGGTCCAGTCTCGATTATTTACATACCGCCGTCATATTGCTGGAATATTGCTGCTGAGTGCGGCGTTAAACAACAAACAAACAAAATTAAAAAATGACCCGGGTAGATTACAGAAATGCCACAACGAAAGTATCGGTCCTGAATCAGTATCATCATGGAGGGAAAAAGGAGGACAAAGGCATTCCTAAGTTTGTTTGTTTGTTTGTTTGTTTCTGGTGTAACGACGCAATCACCAATATTCCTGTTATATAACGGCGACCTGTACATAATCGAATCTGGGCCCCATTCCACAAAGCGATCGTAGTGCTAAGACGATCTTAGCATAGGCTTACGATAGTCGTAGCGCTAAGATCGTTTTGTTGAACGGGCCCCTGGGCCAGACTGCACAGTGGTTGAATTTGTGAGAAACAATCCACGCCATCGGGGTTCGATGACACGCAATCTACCAAGTCACCGAGTCTGACCACCCGATCCATTAGTCGCCATTTATACGACCAGCGTAAGGTATGGGGGACATTTCTAATACGGAATCACCCCAGGTGTTCATGGGTTTCGGGTGAAAAAGGGGGGTCACGCACCGAAAATCATCTTTTTCTCTAGTGGCTTGGAGAAGGCCAGAGGCAGCAGGACAAGGAGCATAAACACGGCCTTCATTGTTCTGTGAGCTGTGAAATAAAAACAAAACATTGATATTCATCACATTTCATTTCGGTGAGTATGGTTTTACGCCGCTTTTAGCAATATTTCAGCAATATCACGGCGAGGGACACCAGAAATGGGCTTCAGATATTGTATCCATGTGGGGAATCGAACCTAGGTCTTCGGCGTGACGAGCGAACGCTTTAACCACTAGGCTACCCCAACGCCCGGTCGCTTTAAAGAGGAAATTGTACGCACAGATGTTGTTTGCTTAAAATGGATATATTCATGTTCATGTGGTTACAGATCATTGCGAAAGCGCAACCCATAGTTTAAATGGAGTACAATAAAACGGCGATTGATTAAGATGTTTAGGAAAGGCACTAAGTCACATATGTACTTATCATGACGCGGATCACGCCTTACTTAATTGGTTATACATCTTCCATCACACCGCATGATCATTGGGCGGGAGATGACAAACCACAAAATGCATCCCTTTTCCCCAGACATGAATGAATGAGTGAGTATGATTTTACGCCGCTTTTAGCAATATTGCATACGTGGCAGCTTACATAATGAGGAAGGAATGCCCAAATTGAAGTAAGTCTCAGACGTTTACCTCTTTGGTAAAACCAACGCGCACGTGCATGGTGATGACAAACCTTGAAAAATAATTGGGGTGAACCAGGATTCGAACCTCCGACATAGTTTTCTTGCGTGCCCAAGGGTCTCATACATGGCCCCATTTAACTCGGTGCTCATATAATTCCCCTTTTTAATGAGATCATTGATTTATTACCAAAAAAGAATTCGCGCTACAGATACAGTATACTGCAAAAGGACCCCAAAGTAGTTCTTTTTTCTGCTACAACTTTCGTACGTGGATTCAAAATCCTTAATTAGAGATGAGAAAATTAACAAGTTTAATATCGATTTCTAAATATGAAGAACTGACCATCATTTGTTATAACACCCATTTAGTACCCCATACATACGATATACTTCTATAAACCTTTTGCCGTACAACATGGAGGCTATTATGAAAGACCGAGATATATATACTATGTATCTGGCAGCATATGTTGTTACAATGTGGTGTTTATTGCTACATGAAATAAAAAGAAGTATGTATAAATGGAATATTTTACATCTTGGTTCCTATACGAATTGGCATTAAACGCTTGTGATTAATATGCCAAATTACGCGCACGAATATCAGAAATTGTAAGCTATAGAGCTATAGTGAGAAGTTTTTTAGTCTTACCTGTTGTCCGTACAAATGAGGTACTGCTGTACTGTCGTGCCACGGTATATCTATCAGCAGAGCCAGCTGATAAGGGTCCGCACCCCAAAATAAACCTGTTTGATTTCTCCATTTCTAGGTGTGGTGCCAGATAAAGTACGTTCCTACTAACCTTCCTTTCACTTGCAATATGCGACTTATGTTTGATTTTTTGAAAATTGTGCCATAATCTAATAACAGTAAACTGATAATGTTCGGCTCCGATATAAACTGCCGGGCAAAGAAAGTATACAATTGAAAGCTGGATTTGACCTAAAAATTGCTAACGTGATCAAAACGGTACAAGGCTGGAATCAGTCGCCGATGCACTGCAAACGTATGGCCCTGAACACAACTATAATACACGTATCAAATATGTCACCATCGAATAACCATTTTGTTTGTTCGTTTTTAGCCACCATCAAACAAGGTGAGGTGAAATGGGGTTTAACGTCGCGTCCAAGATTATTGCACTTATATAGCGACGTGCATGTACGTGTGTGTGTTTGTGTGGCTGCTTGTACCAGTCCGGACTGATGCCGATTTATAGTGCTAGCTCACTGAGATACAATGCTGCAGTTTAACAAGAATACCCCACGCAGACACAGTATACTTCGAGCCGACCAGTCCTTGTTTTAGCCCCTTAATGCCGAGCGCCAGACAGGGTAACAACGAGTACCATCTTTTAACGTCTTTTGGTATGACGCGGCAGGAGATCGAACCCCGGACCTTCCGCTCTCCGGGCGGACGCTCACCATGAAACAAGAGTGTATATGTTTTTGGCCCGACAATTCATTTTTAATGGCGGCAGGGGGTAGTAACATTGCCAATAGAAATGATGACTCGAATGGGTTCCAGAAAATACCACAATGATAGCATCAGTTCTGAAGCATTAGCTTTGTGGACGACAATAATATTGGTATTTTCTTATAGCAAAAACAACATGAATGTTATGCGAAAGTAAACACCTACCACAAACCTGCAGCGACTGAAAGAATAAAATTATTATGTTCTGAACAGTGAAGTTATGACCTCTTTGATAGGCATTTAGAAGTTGGAGTACTAATTAAGGATAAGAATTTATGGATGAACAACTTCTTTATTACAATTAAGAGCGACGTTTCGGTGTAGGTTCAAACACCGCTATCAAGCAAGTGATAACGGTGTTAGAAACTACACCGAAACGTCGCTCTTAATTGTAATAAAGAAGTTGTTCATCCATAAACTCTTATCCTTACTTAGTGAAATTATGGTCGTTAATCACGTGAAACGAATGCTTATTTTTTACACATCAGAAACTTCCTCAGGTCTATTTAAAATAAATGCTCTTTTTATGGCAAAATGCAAATTTTGTTGGTAAATATTTAACGTGTACGCCAGAAAAAAACAATCCGTCTCGATTATCTGCCGAAACAGATTCCATTGGGTGTAAAAGGCAAAGTAACGGTGAAATTATTTTAATGGATCATTAAAAATCAGTGATGACACCAGGTGTTCGCGAAAAGGGTAGGCATGTCCTGCCCTGGCTTTACGTTAGGTAGCGCAGTACATTAACTGAGACTAACAGCTTGAATCAATGAGTCAACAGCGTAATGTGTTGCTATATTTTTCCGCCATTTCGTAACTTAGCAAGGTTTGACTGTATATTTTCGGTTCATCGCATGAGGTATGAATGAAAATACCGACGTACAGATTGTAATATATGAACCGCGTAGAGTTTGACTTCGAAAAACAAAGACTTAGTAAAGCGCTCGTCCATGACGTCATTGGCTCTGTGACGTCTCGCACAGTAAGGCATGACGTCATTTACTCTGTGTAAAATCCATTATGACGTAATAGCTATAGCAACACAGTTCACAGTTATCTGAACCGTTTTCATTTAGGCGAAAGCTAACCCTACTTGAATAACCATCGGTATGAAATAGTAACATTTCACAATGAGTACAGGGAATCCGGAACTGACGAAAGAAACGCACAACAATAGTGCACTGGAGCAGGAGGATGGGAGCGAGGATTTTCATGATTCTATCACGAATGATTCCGCCAATGATTCCCCCGAGAGTCTTGTCAAAGCACAGTCACAAAACGTGGAAGATTCGGTGGAACCAGAACCGGATCAAGAGGAGCAGTTTTATGACGTAACTACTGGTTTAGAACATTGCAAAATTGATGATGTGCCACCACAAGATAAAGCTGAATGCTCTGGAAATCCACTTGAGGATTCTTCTCTAACGGATGATGACATTGAAGTAATATGTGAGTATATGTCTCCTGATGTGGCCACAGATTTCAAAGCTGACATTGAAGCAGTGGCAAATGCAATGAAAACTAAAACAGAAGATGATTATAAAATTGACGACATTGAAAGCGCTCCTAAGCAACAAACACCAGAGGCTGCACCTGAGTCAGACCAAATTCAAAATGGCGACGTTAATTTACAAATACCACCACCCATCATGTTTTGGCCTCCAGAATGTTATATTTCACCGTCAGAGATGCCTCGGAATTGCCCGATACCAGACCCAAACTACTTTAATCCCTCCTTGATGTTTCAACAACCTCCTCCAGATCAGGTCTTTCCGCCACATATGTTGGAATCGCAAGTCCTCCAAGAACAGGAATTGGCCAAAGCTAAAACATGTGAACAGATCGAAAGTGGCTACTTTCCCTATTCTTCTGGCGAACCTCAGTCTCCAGCGTGCTCAAGCTACACGCCGTCCTTACCCTACAGCCCATACCCGAATGCATTCAACGGACAATTCCCTGTGGGTGCGTTCGATGATATGAGTGGTTGTGATTATTCAGGAGAACCATCTCCCTTCGTCTACCCATCAATCTACGTGTCCACATCCGGTCTCATGACAGTCCTTCTGAAAAACGACACTTCTGTTGAGATGACAGCAGACAGAACCGTGCGCATCGTCAGCCACAGAAGTAAGATGGCCGTGGCGTCCAGTGCACGTGGCAATATGAGTGTTTTGTTCCACCCGTCTGTCAAGATATTTCAAGATGGAGGCACTACCAGCGTTCAGATCAATGATGTAAAGGCCAAAATGGCGACAGATGACATATGGTTCGCGAATGAACGCAGTTCCTTTAAATTCGATACCAACATGATTGAACCTGACACTACCACTTTCAGACAAATGTCAGAGGACGAGTCAGTGAATCTTCTTTTCTCGGCCGATACATTTGGCGAGAAACATGTCTCACAGTGTCTTGACGCGGCGTCTCAGGCGGAGTACGAAAATTTACCCAAGGGTGGAGTTCAAATCCGTATCAACAACGTCAAGATCACCCAAAGTGGACGTGGTGATGTGATCGTAGTCACGGGGCCGAAGTATCTGAAGATGTCGCCAAATGTGGGTATCATCCGAGTAAATACTCACTACATTGAGGTCGCAGTGGAGAAGGACTTGAGTACTCGAATTAGAAGAGGGGGGCACACTTTAACTGCAAGCGAGGGACAGGTGATGCTGTCTAATGGCAGGATCGAGGCGGGGTTTGATGAACACAGCCGCCTGAAGGTGTTGTCCCTACCTGGACGCTCCCCCCTCGAACTCGGGGAAAGGCGACCTCGGAAACACACAGGATCACCAAGACGAGCAACTGCCTTAGGTGGAATGTTCTAAGAGACATAATTTGTGGTTGACAGTTTACTTACGTTATATATTGGAGCTTTTTTATTCGTTTAAATAAGGAGCTACATGAGACTTGTCAGCTATAATGTTATTTATATGGAAATATATGTTTGAAATGCAAATTATTAAATTTAGAGTGAGATTCTATAAATGTTCTGTTAGCGCACAGGGATTTTAGCGCTACGACTACCATATGGTATCAAACCTATATACAGAAAGGGACCCTGGGGTCCGTTCCACAAAGCGATCATAGCGCTAAGGCGATCCTAACTCTACACTTTAACATATAGACATACGACTGTCGAAGCGCTACGATCGCTTTGTGGATCGGGGCCCTGGACCCACATGCACAATGAGACCTTTACGGTACACAGCAGTTGTAAGTCTATCTATACACGTTAGGTGTACTACGACGGCAGTTTCAGAAGCCGTCGTTTTAAAAGTGTCGTAAATCCTTGAATAAACGCCCGACGTTTTTTTATATTATTTTGCAAGGTCCCGTGGACAGTTAATACAGCGATGCTTACATATAATACAGGCGTTTATTATAAGGCAGAGGGTCCAGCGTTTTTTCAAGGATTTACGGTAACGATAGTTCGTAGCGCTTAGATCGATGTGTTCAAGTTAACGTTACATGTAGTACATGTGTTGAATGGTATACAATATTCAACGGAGATCGGACCGTTTAAACCATTCCGTTCTATAGCAAGCCATTATCATCAACATTTTGTACATAGGTTTCGGTGAAATGCAGTCTGCGAGTTACCATTGATACGGAGACCTTGATATGTGAGGTGTAAGGTTTATAAAGTTTGTTTTTGAAATTGAGCATTGCCTTGTTATTTTTGCAGCCATTACGTAAATATTTGATACTCCGTTATTCTTCGATATTTGGGTGATATGCTGGACATTTCTTTTGCATCCATGCTTTAATATGAACCCTTTATGTATATAGCTAACCCTAATCCGAGAAAACGACCAAACATATTTCATATGTAGGGTACTATTGATTTCAGACACAAAAGGAAAACAAGAATAGGAAAATATTCTTTCAAACTGAGACACAAACTCAATCAGTATAATTATGAATAAAGGGCCCAATAAAGACTCCGAACTAGACGGTTGTAACATCAACAAGTCAATAATGTTACAAGTCAATGATATAGTCCTACACGTAGTTTTTACTAGAGAATTTGTATAACAGAATGTGGAAAAACACTGTGATTTATCTTGCATGATAAACAAATTTGCTTTAAACTATAAGTGAGATAGATAATGTGATCACTTGTCAAGTTCGTTTTTTTATCTCTAGTGTGGGTAGAAACTGGAGCAGACACCGTTTTCATTACCATGAAATGTAAATATACTGCCTCAGGTTACCTAAACAAGTAAACAAACAAAGTGCTACAAAATATAACAATTAGAAATCAAGTTCACACAAGATTTTCAGTTTTTGATGTACATACTAGGGACATGGGAAACATATATCCCGGGGGTAGGGGTGGGGCTCATATTGGAAATAGAATCTCTTTGAAGAGACAATTAATGCGTAGGGAACTTATTTGTTCCCTTATATTTATATAAAATGTAAATAATCGTATTTAAACGATACGATTTCAGTTAAAAGGGTTTGGTACAAAACCATTCGGCGAACCCTTTTCTCTTGTACATAACTATTATCCGGCCATTGGTGGAACTTTTATTTATTGTTCGTTTGGTTGGTAAAAAAATGGTTGTTTGGTGGTTGACGACACTCAGCAATATTCCAACTACATGTACAGTAAACTACGGTTATAACGAACTAACGGATATAACGAACTAACTTTTTAGTCCCGAATATATGCTGTATATATGCTGTATATATGCTTATAACGAATTACGGTTATAACGAAATAAAATTAGAAGTCCCTTTGAGTTCGTTATAACCGTAGTTTACTGTATATGAAGGCTGTCTGTGAATGATCCACCATGTGATTGATATTATGCTCAATATCCAACGCCGTTGGGGTACATTGGCGAGCAATCAACCACGTCACTGTGCCTGACCACCCGATTAATTTAGTCGCCTCTTACGACCATGCTTGGGACTTCTGACCCGGAATCATGCACGCTTGGGACTTCTGACCAAAAGGCCAAAGATCAGTTGACAGATATTTACGTCTATAAATAATTTTGTTGACGTAGATGTTTATAGCCTAGATTCACTATTTATACGGGACACCGTGTGGGCGTTTCTCTAATAACCAAACTAAGATCTGTAGATTTAGGTAATTACTTTAATTTATGATTTAGAGAATATATTACAGTCTAAATTTCGAAAAAGAAAAGGTCCATATATTTCCAAGAGGGCCATTTGTCAGCATTATACCATGGATTCACTATCAGCTTTCCGCCCACACCACGTTGACTAGCCGTGATATAGTATAGGTGAAATACTGTTCAAAGCGCCTTACATGAACTCACTCATAGGACCCCACACGCTAAAAACCGGACAACCGGAAGTTGTGAATTCAAGATGTCTGCGCCCATGAAATAAACACATGCCTTCGGACTTCAGTCGGTAATACTACCAACAGTCGAAAAAAGCTCGGTTTAACAAAATGGGAAAGAAACAAAAGAATGATCCTCGATTAGTAAATAACAATGAAGACATTATTCAACCTATATCGGCTCGACCCAAGGTGGAATCAACCCCCTTTATCAACCCCGTGAGACAACGCAAGGACCAAAGGAAAGAAAAGAGGCAATTGAAAAAAGCAAAACGACTTGCATTTTCTCAAGGGAAAGAAGTAAGTCTGTTTATGAAAAAGTGTTCATGTCGTAAGTCCATTCAAGACATGTACCCGTAACCTTATCATTATGGGTCTAAATTAGGCTTCGCTATATATACATATGAGATAAGGCTTGTATTTCACAAGACAAGGTTCTCGTTGCCAAAATCCGCAGTTCGATCATCGGAGAGCTGGTAGCCTAGTAGCGTTGGATGTCGAGAACCTTGTTTAATATTTCATGTGGAAGCAGATCACAAGATCAGATCATAAATAAGATAAAAATTCTAATAAAATATACAAAACATTCACATATGATATATATCATGTATATATATTTATGTTAAGATGCTTCGGTAAAAGATCAAGGGCTCCGACTGTACTTTATCCTGCGATAAAATACGTTTTTTTAGGGATGTCATAATGGGCTGACGTCATGACACTGTTCAAATTACCTCCCATGTGATCTAATGTATCCATGGTAACTAATGTATCCATGATAACTTCGTTCTGTCATTGCTGTCAATCAAGATGGCGCATACACATCAATTATAGATTTGAAAATTTGTTTATCTTGTCGCATAATTGAATGTTATTCCCTAGGAAGAAATATGGCAAGATGATGTCTTACCTTCTCACGACATGCCTCCGGCTTACCCCAAACATATTCTAAACCACTGTCCGTGCCACAGCAACAACAAAGTTGTCCGAGGAAGACTGTCGTTGGCTGTGTCTGGACACAGGAATGAGCAATCCTTGAAAAGTTTAAAAACTACATGTATACCCCAGAGCTCCAGATAAGTTGCGTATCTGCATAAAATATGCATCAGAAATGCAGAAATACGCAGTGAAATAAAATTCAAGCGTATCACATACGCAACGAGCATTACAGATAAGCTACAAAAATAAAACTTGTGTGTATCATCAAAATATTATTAAGTAACCCTGCGTATTCGATTAGCAAATCAGCAACTTATTTTGAAATGTTAAACAGGGATTCCGTCAACCTTGCCAAACTCCACGATGACAGTTACATCACGATCATTTGCCATCACACTTTCTTGTGGAAGTATCGTGGTATTTTTGAGTCCTGTAAAGCTCTCGAACCCACACGACACCAGTTTGCAGGGACTAGATGAATAGTGTTTATAAATATTTAGCTTAAATACCCACATGTGTAAAAACTAGTGGGTAACAGAAATTTGAATACCCAGATAGAATTACTGATACCCAATGATTTTAAAATGCATGGGTAAAATACCCACAACACCAAAAGCTTATCTGGAGCTCTGATGCGCGTTGCTCAGTGTAGGTCATTTAGCAACATATACAGCATTCAAACAAAATGAATGCGGTTGCTCTTCCTCCGCCATCTTCATCCTATGGCAGCTATGACACACTATCATGCCCAATGGTTTGAGTGGGTGCAATTTTATCATGTAGTGCAACCAACTCAGTAAGCAGAGTTTTTGTTTGTTTGTTTGTTTGTTTGTTTGTTTGTTTGTTGTTTAACGCCTTACTCAGCAATATTCCAGCTATATGATGGCGTTCTGTAAATTATCAAGTCTGGACCAAACAATCAAGTGATTGACATCATGAGCATCGATCCACGCAATTGGGATACGATGATATGCATCAAACAAGTCAGCGAGTCTGACCACCAGATCCCGTTAGTCGCCTTTTACAACAAGCATAGTCGCCTTTTACGGCAAGCATGGGTTGCTGCAGACCTATTGTAGTCGGGATCTTCACAGGTTGCGACACCCAAGTAGTAAGCGCATAATTTCAGGACTTGCAGTTAAATCTGTCCTCTATAATTTTAGTGGTGGAAACAAAGTTGCAACGTTTACGATTGAAAACAGATGAACTTACAACATTACCAGTGATACCCTACACCGGCTATGTTTACAAGTTAACTCAGCACAACAACACACTTGTTGAATGTTTCGCGTAACGTGATTAAACTGAAGCAAATTTTTATAAAAGAAACTTACATGTAGTGAGTGAGTATGGTTGAGAATCTTGGTACAGATCTCAGTGGGTATGGATTGTCCATTTCCCATCACAACGTTTATTGATAATGGACAGGCAGCGATCGTGAAAAAACTCAACAGGTTCAAAAAGAAATGTGCGGTTACAAATCAGCATGTGTTTAGTGGTCGATTGTGACACAGGACCATGTCACTATTATTCTATGATAACAAACCCGCAGACGAGGTCGAACAACCCAAACTACTTGATGAATGACTGGTCAGAGTGGCGGTTCATGGTGTTACTGTAAAGATGACCAAAGTAAGAGTGAGTGAGTGAGTGAGTTGGGTTTTACACCGCTTTTAACATTATTCCAGTTATATCACTGCGTGTCGGCTTAATGTGGGAGGAAAGCCCGAAGTGATGCAGGTCTCAGACGTTTACCACTTCGGTGAAACCCACGAGCACGGGTATGGTGTTGACAAACCTAGAAACATAATCGGGGCAAACCGGGATTCTAATCCAATCATAGGTTTCTGGCATGCCCAAGGGACGCAACTCTGCACAGCGAATTGCGGCGCCTTAGACGACTAGGCAACCCGTGCCCCCACTGTAAGAATGAATTGTGTACTGGCTTGCTATTATGATTAGACTGGTTTTGTGTCATTGTAACTAGATCATGCTGATTATTTACTGTGTCTAATTTACCATGTTTACTATTTGTTTACAAACAGCTGTTATTTAGCTGTAGGACTGCCTACAGTGTTGTAAAATCCCAAATAACTCACAAAAGCCAATGAATTTATGATGAAGTCCCTGTTTCAGTTCCTGGAGTATTTTTTTCATAACATTGTGTCTGTTAAGGGCGTTGCAAGTTACCGGATTACCGGCTATAGTTCAGTGGTCTGACTGGTTTGGATTTCTGTGAACTGACTCTCATAGTTATTTTTATGTATACATATTCAAAGCTGCAGTAGCTTCAATTTGTTACCCTCTGACATCACAACCCTGTTTCATAAATGTGTTTGGCACTATTTGAAACTTTTCACAAGGAGACCCAGGTGGCAATAAGATTGGCTCAACCACATCCATGATTAGCTTACCGGGAGAACAATCTCATTAAAATCAGACCTTAGTTCTCGCTACCGCTAAACAAAGATCTGAAGACATCCCATTAGGGGTCACGTCAGAACGACCTTTCATCTGACCAATCAGTGCGTCGCTTACCAGATTATGAAAGTGACAGTCAGAATGTGATTTCTATTCATGCAATCTCAAAAACTTTAACATGGGATATTCCTAACGATAGTTATGGGTTTAACGACTGAATCCTTACAATCTAGACCATTTATTAGCCATTCCAGAATGTTTTTTGTTCAGGTTTCAAATTTGTAATCAAGAATTTGTCAAAATATGTCTTGAAGCGTAGTCGCCAATTTGAAATTTGTGCCGTAAAGCACGAGAAAGCTGCCTTCTGATTGGTCATTCCATTGGTCGGTCAAAGTTCGCGCAAGGTCGATCTGACGTGACCCGTAATGGGATGTCCTCAGATCTTTGTTTAGCGGTAGCGAGAACTAAGATCTGATTTTAATGAGATTGACCGGGAGAACCTTGTTATGTCAGTTAACCGGGTCGTTACCAATTACAAGTAACTGGTTCAGATATTCTTAACAGTGACACCCTCTGTTTTTGCCTGTTCACCCTCAGTCCAGCTTCGTTGTTACCATGGTTACCATACTCTTAACATTTGCTTAAAAAACAGACTGGATCTACACACTATTAGCAATTTTAAATATGACGATGTTGACAATGTGACATGGTTAAATTGCTGAGATTAAATATTTTATCCCTGGTCTTTCCGAACAAATATCTTTTTCAATAAAATGGTTATTGAAAGTCATAAACGTCACAATTATCTCCTATGTGTCTGATTTGCAGGCTAATCTGTTATACATTGTCAGATGCCAACCATATCCAGACAGGAAGTGGAGAAGAGGGCAGCTGCTGCATTGGAGAAGAAACAGGTGAAGAGGAGGGAGAAGAGGGCACGGGCCATCAAGAGGAAGATTGAGACCCGGAGGCAAGGCAAGGAGGAGATACAGGTAGGTGTGCCGGAAACAGAACCCTGTTCCTCCAAGCGACTGAAATCCATACTGTGATATAGATATTTGGTGTGTTTGTTTGTTGTTGAATCAGGAATCACGCATGTTGAGACGCCCAACGCTAACACCGTATTCGTGCGTGCGTGATTCCCGTGCACCCTTTCGAGTTGAGTTGATTGGTTCAACTGTGTCATATAGCCCTGTGATGTAAGGGTAGCATTATGCAGATGGCTGTTTCAATGAATGCTCGTTCCACCCGTGACGAACAGGTCTGATTGTTGATGAAATATAGTGATAGCTAAATAGACAGATTTTTTTATTCATGCACCGATTGTCTTTAAATGTAATATCCAGTTATGTATGACTGTTTAATAATCTCATACCAACTTTGACTGGAGTAGGTCCGATAGTTTTTCAGATATTGTAGTAAACATATTGTACCTTAAATTACCTTCCAGACTATTTGTTGTGATGTTGTTCAATCTTGCAATAGCTAGCTGCCTTAAACACGTTTAGGCCAATGTTTCAAACATTCTGATTCAGCACATGTTGTTTTGATTTGCAGGAGAAGAAGCTAGAACTACAAGCACAGAAACTAGCCATAGCTAAGGAGGAAAGAGAAATGAGGGATCTAGAAAAGAAACTAAAGATGAAGAAATCTCGGACATCGCTGCCACAATCCTTTGTGAATGATGGCTTGGACTGTATCCTTTCCCATGGCCTCAGATGGCCTCACTGCACAACATCTCACAAACATCTTAGGCTAAAAAAAATAATAGTCTTGGTTCTCGGGGACCGCCCGCATCATCATAACGTCTGCCGCGAGTTTCGTTTTTAGTTCCTTTTTAAAATTTAAAAAAAAAATCCTAATTCTTAGAAATGATGGTTCCAATATTGCATACAGTTTCTTCCTTTTACATGCTCACTGCTTTACTGCGCATCTCGAATTGTGGTCATGGCAGCAATAGGTGTTTGTATTCTTGTTTATGTAGGCAGGCCCTTTTCCCAGATTGATGGTACACAGCTGTTTACTTGGTTCCATACTAGTTTGAACAAGCAAAAGTAAAAAACACTGCTTGCCCGCACTATATTTTTATATATCTATATGACTTCAGTTGACCAATCGTCATTGAGATTATCTAAACTGCCCTTCTGCTAAGGCTAAAAAAAATAATAGTCTTGGTTCTCAGGCACTGCCCACATCATCATAAAGTTCATTGCACGTATCGTTTTTGTTTCCGTTTTCAATTTTTTTGTGCAATGTGTTTAAGTATTACGTTTTATATATTTAAAAAAAAATGAAAATAAAAACCAAACGTGCGGCAGACTTTATGATGATGCGGGTGGTGCCTGAGAACCAAGACTATTATTTTTTTAAGCCTATTATCGGAAAGTTATTCCAGACGAACATTCATCCCTCATGGGGAATATCAAGTGCTTCCCACCACTACTGTTATGTTCCTTCACATTTCCCAGACTTGTTTGAAGCCCTGGACTCCTTTGGTAAGAAGGGCGTAGGTGACCTTGACTCAGGTCAAGGGTCAGGGTCAGAGCTTGAGGATTTGGGTAAGTTCTTTAAAATAAAACCATAAATGAAATATGATACAGATGTTTTTTTGAGTTAGTGCTTACATATGGTTTTCTTTCTCAAAATATTTATTGTCCATAATCGTCACGATATGGCTGAAATATTGCTGATGTGACGTAAAGCATTAACTCACTCACTATACATAATAGTTGTTCCAATATTTACACGGTACTCTGTATATGGTGGGGCGGTCGGGTAGTCTAGTGGTTAAAGCGTTCGCTCTTCATGTCAAAGGCAAGGGTTCAATTCCTGACATGGGTACAATGTGTGAAGCCCATTTCTGGTGTCCCCCACAGTGATATTGCTGGAATATTGCTAAAAGTGGCGTCAAATCAAACTCACTCACTCACTCATGTATATGGTGGGTGGTGTAGTTGTTCGTTTGTTTTTTGGTTGCTGCACTCAGCAGTATTCCAGCTATTTGATGGCGGTCTGTAAATAGCTGACTCTGGACCAGGCGATCCAGTAATTGAGCACTGATCTACACAAGTGTATTAGAATGACATGCATCAACCAAGTCAGTGAGTTTGATCACCCAGTCCTGTTAGTCGACGCTTACAGTAAGCATGGGCTGTTGAAGCTGCCTGTGCCACTGTCATCTGTAGGTGCGTGCGTGCTTGTACTTGTCTTGTTTTAGTGCTAGCTCACTGAGATACCATGCCACAGTTTAACATGAATACCCCACACAGACACAGTATACTGACCCCGAGCAGACCAGTCCCTTAAATCCCTTAATCAAGTTAATGCCAAGCGCCAGGCAGGGTAACAACAAGTACCATCTTTTAACGTCATCTGTAACATCCCATGTTCCACTGTGAGTGATGTTATTATCCCCCCTTCCCCCAAGTGGAAAGGGGATATAGGTGCTGTTCCTTCATTCTTCCGTCCGTCCATCAGTCACGTTTCATTTCCGGAGCAGAACTCAAAAACCATGAGAGATATCTTAACCACACTTGGTACATTGATAGGTCTAGTGGTGTACTGGTGCCTTTTGATAGTTTGGGATTTAAAAACCCCAAAACATTTTGAGTTTCCATGGCAACAACCAGACATGTCATATTGGTGGGGGATATTGGTTGGTTGGTTGGTATTTCGAGTTTCCATGGCAACGACCAGACATGTCATATTGGTTGGTTGGTTGGTTTATCGATCGATTGATTGTATCCGGACCTTTACAGGGGTGGGGGGTGTCAGGGACAGCTACACAGGGCAGGAGATGACAGTTGATGTTCAAAGTTTTTTGTCTATATTGTTTGAGAGTAAACCATACTCATTAATGTTCATGAATGTAACGTTTTGGTCGTCTTATTTCTCCCAGATGAAGATATTCCCAGTGGTTCTGAAGATGAAGAATCTGGCGATGATGACCTGATTGATAACAGCGACATGGATGACGACAGTGATGACGGCTCTGACAATGATGGAAAAAATATTGAGGTTGTCATGAACGAAAATGAACCCAAACCAAAGTCTATTCTGAAGGCTAAATGTTTACAAGACCAGAGTGAAGCAAGGACGTTGACATGGCGAGAACGTGATGCTGATGACAGTGATAGTAGTGATGAAGACAGTGTACACAAGGTTCAAAATTCAAAAAGGAAAAATGATGAGGAATCAGATTCAGGTGATGAACAAATTAAAATTAGTAAAAGTTCAAAAAGGAAAATGTTAAAAATTGACGTTGATGACACAAAAGGTAAAATAGTCTTAAAGAAACAAAAAGACAATGTGGAAAAGTCTGAAGTACAAGCAAGAACATCTAAGAAAACTGAAAAAGTGAATTTCAATGAAAGTGAATCTGAAAGTGGTGGAGGTGACAGTGATGTGATCGATAGTGATGATGATGAAGACGATAATGTTGATGATGATGATGATGATCATGATGATGATGATAAAAAGGATGAAGATGCTGTCACATTACGGGAAGATATCTATGGACGATCTATCGACAAGGATGGCAATGTGGTTAAATCTGGTGGGTCGGGATCATACATCCCACCTGGTAAACGTGCCATGTTGGCAGGGGATTCTGGGAAGAGGAAGTTGATGCTGGAACGTCTCAAGAAACAACTGAAGGGGCTGATCAACAGGTGAGTAGATTTGGGATGATCTTCCTTAATTGAATAATAGGTTTATCACTGTTTTGTTTTAAAACCAAAGGTAAACGAAGACATTTTTATTTTTTGTTTGTTTGCATGGCTTTTTTGTCTAGAAAAGCAAAAGAATTGTGAATTTTACTAAACACTGTGCCATCCATTATCTGTCTGTCGTTTTATAAGTCATATGATTTATTTACAAGATCTCAAAACTGCTTGCAACCCATGCTTGCCAGAAGAGGCGACTAACAGGATCGGGTGGTCAGGCTCTCTGACTTGGTTGATGCATGTCATCGTATCCCAATTGCGTAGATCGATGCTCATGATGTCAATCACTGGATTGTCTGGTTTAGACTCGAATATTTACAGCCGCCGTCATATAGATGGAATATTGCTGAGTGCGGCATTAAACAACAAACAAACATAGAAACATAGAGTCGTTGATATGTTGAATTAATAGGTTGAGTTTGAAAGGGGTATATTTGATTCATACATTTTGTGAACATTTTCAGAGTTTTGTGTTTTGATTTTCAGAGCAAGCGAAGCAAATATCCAACCAATTAGCTCTCAGATAGAAGATATTTACATGTCCAACAGCAGAGCAGACGTCAATGAGCTCCTTACAGGGTTGTTACTGGAAGCTTGTGTTACTCCAATACTCACACCAGAGAGACTGTGTTTGGAGCTTGCGATGTTGGTGGCCATTCTACATGGCAATGTTGGTGTAGAAGTTGGTGAGTTTTATTAAATACATTTCAAAATTCAATAAGACAAGGTTATAACATTTCAATCTGCTAAAAAATACATCCTTAATTATCCACTTTTTATAGCTCAGTTCTGTTAAAATAAATACCCTGGAACATTACACCCTAGTTTCATATTGAGGCGAGTTTGAATGCACAACACTATTAATAGCCATCCAATCAATTTACACTTAGGTCTGAGAGAAATTCTCTGCGAAGTTGCTGATAAGAGAGTTATTAACGTCGTTTTACAGAGGAAGCTGTAGAAGAGAATAAGTCTGTGGTATTTTTCATAATAATAAGGATAAAGTACACTGGATAATCGAGGATGATAAATGTCAGACTCCTGGGCAGTGTAAGCATACACTGGTAAAACTGAACATGTAGATCATGTACAAGTGAAAATCTTATTTATTTTAGGGGCATGCTTCCTGCAACGCGTTGTACAACAGTTTGATGCCAGGTTCAAGGCCAGCGCTCACAGTGAGTCCAAGGAGATGGACAACATCATCATTCTGCTGGCATGTCTGTACAATTTCAAGGTGAGCAGTTCAATTTCTCTCTGCCTGTATCAAGGTGTCTACATGGGTCCAGGCTAGAATAGGTCCTTTCTCTCTGCCAGTATCAAGGTGTCCTCATGGGTCCAGGCTAGAATAGGTCCTCAATCTCTGCCAGTATCAAGGTGTCTACATGGGTCCAGGCTTGAATAGGTCCTTTCTCTCTGCCAGTATCAAGCTGTCCTCATGGGTCCAGGCTAGAATAGGTCCTCAGTCTCTGCTAGTATCAAGGTGTCCTCATGGGTCCAGGCTAGAATAGGTCCTCAATCTCTGCCAGTATCAACGTGTCCTCATGGGTCCAGGCTAGAATAGGTCCTCGATCTCTGCCAGTATCAACGTGTCCTCATGGGTCCAGGCTAGAATAGGTCCTCAATCTCTGCCAGTATCAAGGTGTCCTCATGGGTCCAGGCTAGAATAGGTCCAGGCTAGAATAGGTCCTCAATCTCTGCCAGTATCAAGGTGTCCTCATGGGTCCAGGCTAGAATGTGTCCTCATGGGTCCAGGCTAGAATAGGTTTGTTTTCGAGACGCAGAATATTTCAGGATTTATTTGTTTTAATTGGAAATAAAAACGAAACATGTGGCAGACTTTTTGGTGATGTGGGCGGTGCCTATGAACCAAGATGATTAGTTTTTTCAGCCTAATAAATATATATGCATAAACATGATAAAACAATTATCTTCCAGGTTATAATTTGCTGTTTGTTTAGGGGAATTGCCAGCACGTTTATAGTAACAACTTGATCTAATGTATCAAAAAAAAAGATGAGGGGTGATATATGTCCTTATGATTTAAAACACAGCCCAAATTGCAACATTGACTTACAACCGTCGTAGCTCAAAGGTTGATTGTGATACAGGGTCCTGGTCATGTGAGGTGTGATGCGAAAGCCTGGTGTCATTGTTTCAAAGTTGTGTTTCAAGTAAAGTTCAAGGATCTTGTCATTTTCAATCCTGAGTAGTGTTACCAGCAGGGCCCCATTCCAGTGATCTAGCCGTTTGCTAGGGTGTGTGTGTCATGTTTCAGATCCTCCAGAGCTCGCTGCTGTTTGATGTGGCGAGGAGGTTCATCACCAGGTTCCAGGAGAAGGATATAGAACTCCTCCTGCTTCTGTTGAAGAGTAAGTCAAGGCTTGGGATTATATATGACTCCAATCTCAGTTAAATCAGACTCTTTACTCTGATTTGATACCAACTCTGTCAAGATTTGACCAACCCTCCATATAAGGTCATGTCAGACATTGCTAATCAGCTAATCAGCATGGATGCTTCTAAAAACAACTGATCATGCTGATTGCCATGGCTTCTACACTCAAAAGGATGTATTATCGAGGGAACATTTGTGGTTGTTTTTTTAATCTATTCAAATCAAATGTTCAAATCTTGGATAGAAACTGCATTGTCAAATTACTGTGTTGGCAAATTAAGAATAAAGGGAGGTCGAATCATTTTAGAAACTGACCTCTGATTGGCTTTACAATCCAAGCATCTTTCATCTTGATTGGATGATCAAAGTTTGTTCGGGAGACCTGAGGTGATCTGTTCAGGGTTTGCCAGATCTTGACGTAAAAGTGTGGAAGATCAGTTGTTCTTAACATACTTCAAGCTCTGTCACACCACCTGATGTGGTATGTCTTCAAGAACTAAATGGTCTCGTCAACAGTTTCTGTGGGGGATGGTGGGTCTCAACTTAATGCTCAAAGTATAAGGATTTGGTTGATTGGTTTGTCTTTTAACGCCGCTCTCAGCAATATTCCAGCTATGTGACGTCCGTCTCTAAATAATCTAGTCTGGACCAGACAATCCAATGTTTGACATCATGAGCATCAATCTACGCAATTGGGATAAGATGACATGCATCAACCAAGTCAGCAAGCCTGAACACCAGATCCCCTTAGTCGCCTTTTACGACAAGCATAGTCGCCTCTTACAGGAAGCATGAAGACCTATTCTACCCCGATCTTCACGGGTCCAAAGTGTGAGGAATTTGTTCACCTTTCTGATGAGGTCATGATGCTTGTCCCTAGATGCTGGCTTCAGTTTGAGGAAGGAGGACCCGGCGGGTCTGAAGGACCTGATCCTGGAGATCCAGACAGCTGCCGGGTCACCCGACGCCTCCCAGGACAAGTCCCGCGTCCGCTTCATGCTGGACATCCTACTGGCCATCAAGAACAACAACATGAGGAAGATCCCCAACTACGACCCTGATCACCTGGAGCACCTGCGCAAACTCATCAGGAACTACATCAGAGGTGAGACATCTTTAAGTGGTGTTTGATAGGGCTGGGACAATACACCGACTGTGCGATCCGATATGTATCAGGATACCTTGCTCTTGATCCGATACATATCATGATATTTGCATGTACTCTTATCTGTGGAGTGTACACCATCTTTTTCATAGACAGGATGGCCAAATAACTGATGGTGCAGTGGTTAAAAATGTTAACATTTTCACAAGTAAATTTCACTACTAATTAGTGTTTAGTGTAACAGTTATAAAGAAAAAATCTAAGGTAAGGCTAAAAATAATAATAGTCTTGGTTCTCAGGCACTGCCTACATCATCATAAAGTTTATTGCACATGTTGTTTTTGTTTCCATTTTCAATTGCCTGTTCGCGGAGCTCTCTATACCAAGAGTATAACAAAGGTGTCACACACTGGGAAGAACATTAATACAGGGTATAACTCTGATTAACTCATGAAAATGTAAATTGGCAATATATTGCAATTCGTATTGGAATACAGGTTAAAGTATGGCCCCATTTCGCAATACAAAATCAAGGTCAATACACAGGCCAAATACTCAGTTTATCGGATTGGTTTATCATATTGATAACACTATTCATTATGTGATAACAATATATATCCTATAAATGAAGACACATTGAAGATACAATGATAATACTGTTGAACAGATGGAGGTCTGGGCAGCAACCAGCTCAACATAGGCCTAGAGGATCTGTTGAAAGCCGAGGAGAAGGGACGATGGTGGGTGGTTGGGTCGGCCTGGAGCGGCCGTGAGATGGAACACAATACCCAGGGTAAGTCTCAAGGATCTGTTGAAGGTCGAGGGGAAGGGACGATGGTGGGTGGTTGGGTCGGCCTGGAGCGGTGGTGAGATGGAACACAGCACCCAGGGTAAGTCTCAAGGATCTGTTGAAGGCCGAGGGGAAGGGACGATGGTGGGTGGTTGGGTCGGCCTGGAGCGGCCGTGAGATTGAACACAGCACCCAGGGTAAGTCTCAAGGATCTGTTGAAGGCAGAATGGAAGGGACGATGGTGGGTGTTTGGGTCGGCCTGGAGAGGCCGTGAGATGGAACACAGCACCCAGGGTAAGTCTTCAAGGATCTGTTGAAGGGTGGTGGTCAGTGGGCGGTGGTCGGTGTACCACTTTTCAAGCATAGTTGTACTACTTCCCAAGCACTGATTGAGTGGAGGATGCCATAATCAGTGAAAACACACAAACAAACAACCCCATTATACTTACGTATCCAGCCAGATTGTTACCAAATGATATAGTATTTCTGAAGAAATTAACTGAACAGTGTGTCTACCTATGCCAAGTGCTAGAGTAACAACAAAAAAACAGGTGTTGACTCTAGCACACACAGGAAAGAGTGACGTTTTTTCCCCGCCTTTTAGCACAGAAGAGCTGAAGAGCTACATGTGCTATTAGGGGAACAACATGTTTAGTTGACAGTGAAGAGGACTTCTGTTGAAAATCTGAAGATTTAGTTACAGTTTGTCTGCAGCCAAAATACAGGATTTATGGCTATGATGTAATAGAGGTAGAGGATTTGCAGGAATTATTTTTTATATTAAAAGATATTCCTTGCATCCAAAGAGAGCTACACATTTAGCGTCTGTCTGACTAACTGTCTTGAGTTCTTTTGAGTATCAATTATATGTTATTAATCATTAATGATCCTTGTGGAGAGTTCAGGGCTGAAGGTCCCTCCCTACTTCCTCACGCTTGGTGGAATATCTGACTTAGGGATGATTAGGTGATTAAAATGTGTAATGGAGTTGTGTGTCATCATACGCCAAGCACACAAATCACTGGTCATGCTGGTACTTACAGGCTTGTGTAATAAAGGTGTACTTAACTGACTGGTCTAAAGCCGTGGTGACTCTATCATGTCCACTTGTGCATCAGCTGATATCTATTTCATCTTCCGAGCAGCCTCCACGTCAACGTTCTCGGTGTCCAACGTGATGAATGAGGCCAGCTCCCAGTTGATGGAGCTGGCTCGCAAGCAGAGGATGAACACGGACATCAGGAAGACGATATTCTGCGTCATCATGACCAGCGAGGTAACCATTCGGTGTAGTCATTGTTTTAACATCTGCAGTGACAGCACATTGTTGCAAATACACTACTCAACTTTTGATAGGGATATTGTGAGTGTCCAGGGGTAGCCTAGAGGTTAAAGCGTTCACTCGTCATTGTTTTCAAATCTGCAATGGCAGAACATTGTTGTAAATACAGTCAAGTCTCGTTAATCTGACACTCGTTAATCTGACAATCGGCTTTATCCGACACTAATGATGGGAAACGATTAAATCAGTGCTATTTACACCTGTTAATCTGACAGTCTCCCACTCTGACTCCAACACACCTAATTTGTGTGCTTTACCGAATTACCGAAATCACTTATTAATCAGTCTTGTTAATCCGACACAGTGATCAGTGTACTTCGTTGTCATCTGCCCATGAGAACACAGCTGTGTTTTGATGCGAGACGAGTCGGCTGGTAGCTGCGTATTACGGCTGCAGAGATTAACTTGCTTAAAAATTATGAACAATTAGTGTTTGTATCGTTATCTAGCATGTAGTTTTCCGATTTTTCGATCACGAACGTTGATACTACTTAATTTCGTTTATCCGACATTCTCGTTAATCCGACATACTCATATGCAACCAATCATGTCGGATTAACGGGACTTGACTGCATACTTCTCATCTTTTGATAGGGATAGGGATATTCTGAGTGTCAGGCAGGTACTGGATGTGACTGATTGCTGGGAGAAGTGGTCATACAAATATCATTCAATATTGCCCTGAAACAGACTCATTTTCAGCATCATTACAAATAATATGTAGTTCATATAACTTTCCCTTAAGCTGAGACTGCCTCCGTGGTCTAGTGGTAGAGCATCCGCCCAGAGAGCGGAAGGTCTGGGGTTCAACACCCGTCTGTGTCATACCAAAAGACGTTAAAAGATGGTACTTGTTACCCTGTCTGGCGCTCAGCATTAAGGGGCTAAAACAAGGACTGGTCGGCTCGGAGTCAGTATACTGTGTCTGAGTGGGGTATTCATGTTAAACTACGGCATGGTATCTCAGTGGGCTAGCACTATAAATCGGCATCAGTCCGGACTAGTGCAAGCAGCCACACACACACGTGCATGCACGTCCCTATATAAGTGCAATAGTCTTGGACGCGATGTTAAACCCAATTTCACCTCATCACCTTCAATCTGATGTTTTAAGTTTTGTAACAGTATAAACAATCTCTCAGTATCCCACACTGAAGCACATGTAACACTTGTAGTGTCTCCTTGGGCAAGTGACTGTGTTCGAAATGTGCCTCTGTTCACTCAGCAGTGAATGGGTACCCGGTAGGATATGCTGGCAATGTAGTTGTTAACCTTCTAACGCCTAACAGGCAGCTTGGATTGTATACTCCCCAGGGAGCTGAGAATGGTTGTTGAGTGCACACTGATCCAGTGAATGGGGTAATAATACCGCTTTGAGCATGCCCCTGAGTGATGTGGAAATATGCGCAATATTATCCCTATCGGAACTTGAGTAGTATATTAGGACTTTGAAGGATAACAGCTTCTTTATTCCTTGTAACGGCATTTCAGGGCTACCTCTTGCCCCTTCATTGGGTGTATCATTACCTTGATTGTCTGGCGTTCTTTCTACAAAGCGATCGTAACGCTACGACTGTCGTAAGTCAATGTTAAAATATGGGAGTTACGATCACCTTAGCGCTATGATCGCTTGGTGAAACGGGGCTCTGAGTGTTACACATCTCATACCAAGCCCCATCGTCCCACTCTACCTGTACTCAATTGGCTTCTCTCCCAGTGACTTCGGGGGCACGGGTGGCCCAGTCATCTAAGGCGCTGCGATTTGCTGTGCAGAGTTGCTTCCCTTGGGCACGCCAGAAACCCATGATTGTGGGTTCGAATCCCGGTTCGCCCTGATTATGTTCCTAGGTTTGTCAGCATCATACCCGTGCTCGTGGGTTTCACCGAAGTGGTAAACGTCTGAGTCCTGCATCACTTCGGGCTTTCCTCCCGCATTAAGCTGACACACCGCGATATAACTGTAATACTGTTAAAAGCGGCATTAAACCCAACTCACTCACTTACTCATTATTCACCTGATGAAGGGGCAAGAAGTTGCCCTGAAACGTTACAAACAATAAAGAAGTTGTTATCCTTAAAAGTTTCATGTCTTCATGTCCTTTCAACATCTTAAAGCCTATCAGTACTAACATTGAAAGATTTACTCCCCGCTGTGAAGATCCAGGGTAGAACAGGTCTTCAGCAACCCATGCTTGTCGTAAGAGGCGACTAACGGGATCAGGTCGTCAGGCTCGCTGACTCGCATGTCATTGTATCCAAATTGCGTTGATAAGGCTCATGATATGAATCACTGGATTGTCTGATCCAGACTCGATTATTTACAGACCGCTGTCATCTAGCTAGAATATTGCTGAGTGCGTCGTTAAACAACAAACAAACAAATGTGTGGAAGTACTGTTCCCTTCATGAAGGTCATGTGACCATGTTTGACAAGTGAGCTGTTGAGACATACCGCGGTGGTTGCTGTTGTCAGGATTACATCGATGCGTTTGAGAAGTTGCTGAAGCTGGGCCTGAAGCACCAACAAGAAAGGGAGATAATCCATGTGATCCTGGACTGCTGTCTCCAGGAGAAGAAGTTCAACCCATTCTACGCCTTCCTTGCTCAGAAGTTCTGTGAGTTTGACAGGCGGTTCCAGGTCAGTTGTACACTCGTGTTTGCTGCATTAACCAGCGTCATTAATACCTAGGACCCCTTCGGCATCATGGCATCATTTAGAGTCTGGTTTGAATGACACAACGCTAAACATAGACTTCAAAATTAAACTGTCCTTTCATGATTGGAACAAGCAGATCATGAGTACTTACTAACCATGTTTTCGCAAAAGACGTTAAAGAACACCCAATTTTTTCATATGACTATAATTAATCTGTCATTGCTGGTAGGTATTGTGACACACAACAATCCAATTGTGGCTTATCTTTACTTGTAAAGAGTGGTATACATCGTTAGAAATTGGCACTAGTCCTGTAGTCCTTGCCAAACTGCACATTAGTTAAGGTATCATGAGGACTAGTAGAAATTTGCCGCTTTTAAGGATTTTACTATATGTTATCATTGTAGGGACTGGTGGACTAAAACTGTTAGTTTCTACCGCTGGTATGTGTTACTAATGGTGTGCTTGTATCCCCCTCCCAGATGACCGTGCAGTTCAACCTGTGGGACAGGTACAAGGAGATGGGGGGCGTGGCACAGCACAGCCGAGACAACCTCGCCGCTCTCATCTCACACCTCCTGCTCAAGAAGGGTCTCTCTCTGTCTGTCCTTAAGGTACAGAGTTATTAAACTGTGTGTTGTGTTGGAAACTGTTAACAGAGATTTTGACTTGGGGTGTATTGCAGGAGTCACTCTTATTTGAATGTAATCATGCATTTTAAAATGAGTGGTGTAGGAAAGATAGCACAGGAAAATAGTCAAATCTGCATTTGAAATTTCACATTGCGCAATATTTTTATTAATGGATCAATAATTACTTGTAAATTAACCAACTTTCAAAACTTTTGACATAAAGTTTTCTCATATTTAAATACGCACATATGAAAATGATATAGTTCAACCAGAGGTTTTGCCACAAATTTATGAATTAGGTGGAGGCCCTCCCTTTCAGTTCCAGGAAGAGGGAATTTCTTTTCATCTGGTGTATGAACTCCCAGAAAGGGGGAAAAGTCGTAGCTCAGGACATGGATGTGGGTTTTTTTATGTACAGCCATTCGTCTGCATGAAATCTCAAACGGAAAAGGGGCGGTCAGGTTGCCTAGTGCCTGATTCCCGACATGGGTACAATGTGTGAAGCCCATTTCTGGTGTCCCCCGCCGTGATATTGCTGGAATATTGCTAAAAGCGGCATAAAACCATACTCACTCACTCAAACGGAAAGACATCGTTTCTGGTCATGCGCAGATTGACACTTCCAAATATATTTCAGCAACTTCCTTGAATACATTCACTTTCATGTGCGTAGTAAACATAACAGTCGTGGGAATGACAGACATTGCTTACATTCTTGTAAGCCATATTATGTTATGTCATATGTGGGTATTTTAATATGAGAAAATTTTAAGTCAAAAGTTTTAGCTCCATGTTCCTTGGCTGTCTTCTGTGCCAGTAATCTGAAAACTCTGAGCCACTCAGATCACATGATGGTGGCAATCCAGCATGTCACAGCACCAATTTGAGAACTTGAGTCAAATCAGTGTACGCAACTGGTTCAAGTAAATAAGACTGGGATTTCACATAGAAGGCATGACCACGCATGCTCCTGAGCTTAGGGCGAAATATTTGGTTGATTTGTCACTGCTAGAATAAAAGGTGAAAAAGAAAATTTCAACATTGAAATATTGGCATCCAAGTTCCAGATAAACAGCATTATCAGTAAACACAAGGACTGTCAGTGTACTGTGTCTTGAGTGTGGTAGTCAGGTTAAGCTGCAGCATTTGTAGCTCAGTGAGCTAGCATTATAAAGTATTAGTCTGGGCTAGCACACATGCATACACACACACACACAGCTATATATATATATTACATACATATATATATATATATATATATATATATATATATATATATATATATATATATATACACAATAACCTCTACCGCGACATTCAACCCCAATATTTCGACTTGACCTCACCCCATTTCTCACCCTCATCAGGTTGTGGAGTTCGGCACCCTGGAGAAGCCGATGGTGAGGTTCCTGAAGTCACTGTTGATGTCGCTTCTCATGGCAGCAGACCAGGACGAGATGGTGGCAGTGTTTGAAAGAATCGCACCCCTCCACAAACTCAGCCATGTGCAGGAAGGACTCAAATTATTCATGCGGCACTTCCTTCTACGAGGGAAGGGGAAGGCGGACATTGAAGATCTAGAGGAACTCCCAAGTCGAATTAAGCTGGCAGAGAAGGCCCTGAGTCTGGGGCAGTCTAGTATGTTATTGTGATTCTCCAACAGAAAAATGTTGTAATTAAATATGTTGTTACAAATAATGAATGTCATTGTAAATTTGTGTTATTTGCATCCTTGATAGTCCCTGTGAGGATATTGCTTTTCTGTTTGTTGTTTAATGCCGCACTCAGCATATTCCAGCTATATGATGTCGGTCTGTAAATAATCAAGTCTGGACCAGACAATCCAGTGATCGATATTGTGAGCAAAAATCCATGCCATCAGGGTACAATAACACTCGATCAACCAAGTCACAGAGTCTGACCACCTGATCCTTTGAGTCACCTCTAACGACCAGCATAGTCACTTTTTACAACCAGCATAGTCACCTCTCATGATCATCATCCCAAGGCAAGAGAGTTAACTGACTATAAAAGTCCAGTTTCCACCCTTGCCGAACTAGGCTGGTATTATGGAGTTACATTTTGGCTGGACTAACAAGTCTATGCATAGTCCAATCAAAATCGCACAACAAAATCGAAATCCTGTTTGTAAACTGTCATGCAGATTACGATCGACTGCAGGATTTGCAAAGCATGTGCACTGCTAACATATTTTCGACAGATATTTTCTAAATCTTTTCATGTTTTTAATCAAGGTGCTTACTTTATTTGATGTACTTCGCAATGTAAGACTCATTTTATCACAATATAGATCTTGATTATCGAACAGATCGTCTTGACTGGGCACCGCCGTTTTGTTTGAAGCAAATGCAAGTGATACGAGAGGTGGAATCTGATTGGTCCGTAGGAGAGGCATAGAAGGGACATAACTTGAAATAACCACTGGTGGCGCTATGATCGAGCCCAGGAATTCCAGCCTAGTTCGGCAAGGGTGGAAACTGGACTTTTAAAGTCAGTTAACTCCCTTGCCTCGGGAAGATACTCACGATAGGCAGCTCATATGACAAGCAGTCACTTTTTATGACCAGCAGAGGTTGCTGGGGATCAGTTCTAATCTGGACTGCCACAGTTGTTTTATGTTTTATGTATTGTATTTAGAGTCACACGTACTGGAGTTTGTGAGCTGAATGTACGTGTACACGAAGAGACGAAAGATTGAGGGATGTACATGAATGTTCATCTGATGATATCCCTCCTGTCTCACGAGTGTCACATGTAACAAAATCATCGCCGAGTTCACACATTACAGAGACGTTTTGTTTGTTGTATAACGCCGCACTCAGCAATATTCCAGCTATATGATGGCACTCTGAAAATAATCGAGTCTGGACCAGACAATCCAGTGATTGACATCATGAGCATCGATCCACACAATTGCGAAACGATGGACATGCATCAGCCAGGCAGCGAGTCTGACCATCCAATCCCGTTAGTCGCCTAAAACGACAAGCATAGTCACCTTTTACAGCAAGCATGGGTTGCTAAAGACCTATTCTACCCCGGATCTTCATGGGTCCCACAGAGACGTACCTTGAGTGTAATGTACTACACAAACAAAAGAGAACACCCAATTTGTTCAGATTACTATAATTAGTCTGTCAAATCATAAATCAGGTGATCTCTTAACTTCTTTTGAGTACTATATTTTTGTGTGAAAATATTTGATCTTTCTTGTGACCACCTGCAGACCTCAGTATCATAAGTCAAAGAGGCTTAGTCTCTGCACTGTTGCTGCCTCCTGCCAGTCTCTTCTAGTTGCAGTAGTGAATGTCAATCCTTATCTTCTCGACCCGTGAAGATTCCGGGGTAGAATAGGTCTTCAGCAACCCATGCTTGCCGTAAAAGGCGACCATGCTTGTCGTAAAAGGCGACTAACGGGATCGGGTGGTCAGGCTCGCTGACTTGGTTGATGCATGTCATCGATCCCAATTGCGTGGATCGATGCTCATGATATTAATCACTGGATTGTCTGGTCCAGACTTGATTATTTACAGACCGCCGTCATACAGCTGGAATATTGCTGAGTGCGGCGTTAAACAACAAACCACTCAACCAACCTTATCTTCTCACAATAATGGATGGCACAGGTCACCAAAGTGAAAAACGTTTGAGACCAGCATCACATTGGGCTTTCCTCCTACATTGAGCCAACACGCTGTGATATAATGTCGTGCACTTCACAACAAAGACATGTATAGGTTTTATATTTTTAATCTTTGATAATTACTTAACATCTATCATGTATCATATATAATGGCTATAGTAATCGACATCACAGATGACAGAAATGGAATTGAAATGACTAAAAGTCAACGTTCATCACAACAACCTATACAAGTCACAGATGAGCCTTGTGGTGGCTCTGCTATACAGCCGACATATATCTCCCTCCTGTTTCCCTCCCGTCTGATGGGCAGAGTTACCTCCCTTCTCTAACATAACCTTACAAAGGGCTGTAGGGTTGCCAAGTGGTTGAAACGTGGGCTTAACACATTGAATGTCTGGGTTTGATTCCCAAATGGGTACAATGTGTGAAGACTATTGTTGGTATCCCCTGCTGAGATGTGAAATAATTCTGTAGGTGGCGGAAATTCCAATACTCTAAGTCTAGGCAGTTTCTCACAGCTGTGAAGGTTGCGGTCGGTGGTTCATAGGTTGGCTTAAGTTCGGTGTCCCCCGTTATGGCTGGAGTAGTTCTAACAGCAGCACAGACCCGAGCCACAACTGTGATATCTGCATATACTATAGTCTGAATCATACAATGGACTCTTTTAGCAGTAATTCTATGATTATGGAAATTATTTTGTCGCTTTTATTTGTTTGCACGTAAGTTGTTCCCATCAGTACGCCTCCAGGGCGGTTGGGTGGCCTAGTAGTTAAGCGTTTGCTTGTCACGCCAAAGACCCAGGTTTGCTTCCCGATGTGGGTACAATGTGTGAGGTCCATTTCTGGTGTCCTTCGCCGTGATATTGCTGGAATATTGCTTAAAGCGGCGTAAAACCATACTCACTCCCTCACTCACTCAGTACTCGTCCATAAGTGCGGGTTCCGTAGTGACTGGTGGAGGAGAGAAGAGACCTAGGCATCACATACTGTACACACTCAAGGCCTGGTCTACAGCATGACGAGGCACAGCTTGAACTGCTGTATTCTTAAACAATGAGTCACTTTACGAAACACCCCAGGTAAACCACTTGGCCACTTGACTGCCCATGTAAAACTATGATGCTAAGATAGTGAGTATGGTTCTACGCTGCTTTTAGCACTATTCAAGTAATATCACATCCGGGGACACCAGAATGGGCTTCACACATTGTACCCATGTGGGGAACCGAACCCAGATCTTAGGTGTGACGAGCGAACACTTTAACCACTAGGCTACCCCTCGCCTGATGTTAAGATAGAAACTGATATGATGTTAAAACAGTCACTGGTGTTACTTCATGATGTTAAACAATAACTGAGTTGTTGTAGAAATAACAAGTCACACCAAGCAAGGGTAACAACTGCCACTACATCAAGGCCCATCTGTGCAACATCACATACAATACGTATCACCATTGCATTTACCGCCCATGTTACCATGGTTACAATCATATCATTCCTCCTTCACGTACATGACTTCCTGTTTATCACTGACTTCAAGATCTTTGTTCACCACCCTGTAAATTTCAGCAGAGCGGCCATGTTTGAGAACACACTTCCTTACGAACACAACAGCTTGAGCAGAAAACTAGTCTACATGAAGTATATCAACTTCACTACTTTGCATACATTGTCCAATTAAGTGATAAATATATTATACAGGGAAGCAGTAATATTTAGCAGAACATATCGAAAATATTTTGCAAGTGGTATCAGATTTGAAATAAGAAATACACAAAAGCAAGCATGATGGACAACATAACAGCATTTATATAAGTATACAGAAAGATATGTAGATCGTCAATAGTAAACTTGCTAATGAGAGCATGTAAATTCGGCTGGCAAACACACGATTCATAAATTATCATAAGATCTTTGTTACAAGGCTTCCTAAAGGACGGCAAATTTAGCAGCAGCAGCAGACTTGTCAGCACCTATTTCACATAGCAAACATTGGCAGCTAAATGGCTGAATTACATGAAATGATGTTGCCACTACATCCAACATAAGGGACCAACTGTTATGTTCTGGGAAGGCGGCGCTGGGATTGAGTTGGAGACAGGATGTAGTTTGTCACTGCTTAAGACATACAATTTGTTTCTTTAATCTGAAAGGACGAGCAATGTTTCTAACAACACATTATTTGTAGCATAATCAAGAAACCCAGAAAACAATTTATTTAGTTTGGAATCAAATGAAACAAATTATTTATTTGAAAAAAACAACATGTCCCCATCCTCCCTCCAGAATATCCAATGCTTGGTCCCTCAGTCAATACTTTAACATGGGCTTACAGTGGTCGTAGTGATAAGATGATCGTAACTCCATACCTTAACATAGACTTACGAAGGTCGTAGTGCTAGGATCGGAATGGGACCTTGATAATCTTCATGCTAAGATTGCCCAATGCCTAGACATGTACTGACACTGATTACCAAATGTCTTAAATATTTGATTCTACCAAGTCCACCATGCTATTAAGAGAAAATATGCTGGAATCACAAAGATACATTTCTGTAGACTGAAATAAACAATATAAGTTTGTGCTCTTGCGTAAGTACTACATGGGACATGTAAACAATAGTTCCTAGATACATCTAGAAATGGACTAATGCTTGATAACTTACATTTTGGCACAATGGGTGTCCCCCCAATAAGCAGATAGGCTACCATGTTCATCATGGAGGTCATGCCTCACAGGTCTCCACAAGTATGTAGTGGCCCATAATTGTAAGATGATTATCCCCCTCCCCCTCCCCCTCCCCCTGCCCCTCCCCTTGCCTCCCTACCACCACCCGATCTCATCATTTCATTCTCCCCAGCTATCTAAGAAAATTGTTCCTATCTTACATGATGAAATACGCTGAAGTTCTATCAAACATTCATGCTGATGTGAATCGATTCCACCATCTTCCCAAGGCAAGGGAATTAACTGACAATAAAAGTCCAGTTTCCACCCTTGCCGAACTAGGCTGGAATTCCGGAGTTACATTTTGGCTGGACTAACGAGTCTATACTTTTTAGAGTCAGTTAACACCCTTGGATCAGGGAAGATGCATTTCTATAGACAGTTACAATACAGAGATGCCTTCCTTGTTTTTAAAACAACCCCCCACGTTTGTAAATTTTGAATGGAATTCTACTAATTAATGGATTGTGGCCTTACCATAATCAGTGTAATTAGTGCCCCTCCCCTAGTTACGTCAGCTCTAAATGTTAAGCTCCACCATCTAACCTTGAATCAATACACAGCTGAAGAGCTTTAGAGTTGACAGAGTTTAGTACTGCAAGTTTGATATCAGTCACCCAGCTATACAGGAACCTTGTCAATCCGGGTGGTACTTAATCATCAGGATTAATTAATTTCCGGATTATCGAATCATTAGTTATGTTCCTTTACTATAAATAGACGTCCTCAGTAACTGTCCACAAGACTGGTTTAACAGGGTTTCTGGGGTAACAGGGATTTTGGATTCACAGGGTCCGGACTGACAAGGTCTCATTGTAGTTGAAAGACTATAGGTTGACTTCTTTATTTCATTCATAATTTTTGATGGAGTAATGGTGTTTTGATAAACCATCACATACAGGATGAGGGAGGAGACATTTGTTTACTGGCCTTGAGCAGTTTGTGAGATCGTCATCCTGCGACGCCTTTCTTGATTAAATGCTGAAGCACTGATTACATTGATACAGCAGCAGAACCATTGAAATATTAATGCATGACAGAAAAAAAGATCAATTGCATTCTCGTCTTTATGCTTCTAACATTGTACACTGAAATACACGTAGTAGATTTGGACTCTCGATACGTAATTAGTGATTGGGAGCTTATGTCCAGCTATGACAACATGAAGGAGGATTCAAACTCAGATAACGCTATCACCCACCAATTTCTTTATTTTCTGTCAGATCACTGAAAATTATTTCCCCAATTCCACTATGCGTTTTCATAGTCTATTTCCATGACTTCCTGAATGTACACAGCAGCTGTGATTGTGCTGCCAAACCAAAAAGAAAAGGCATAAAAAGGCAAGATATCATTTGTAAATAGGATGATTTAGACCACAGAAAATAATCAGTTTATCAAACCAGATCCACTTTTCACTGCCTTAATGATTTCATAAGCAGGGGCAGGTTACTCTAGTTAGCAGTTGCAGAGTTACCTCCCTGTCCAGGACACTCAAACAATAATGATTCCACTATAAAATACCCTGCATAATCACTGACATTCCTTCAGTTGTAAAAGACCTGCACACCTGTGAACATTATTTTAAAACTCATACAAAAATTGGTCTAAAAGAATTTCAAAGTAATGTCCTACACTCTGATAGTAATTTGCTCGTTGTGGCTGCACCAGTTCTTTTCTTTAGTGGAAGAAAAGAGATAACTCTCCCAGATTATTGGATCATAAGCAATAACATATCCTGTACTTAGGACTGCAGACAAAGCCATCTTAGCGCTAAGATTATCGTAAGCCTATGTTAAAGTATGGGAGTTCCGATCATCTTATCGCTAAGATCGCTTTGTGCAAGTGGGCCCAGATTCTGACACACTCCACAACATAAGGACAATGCGTAACACAGACATAGCAATGCTCTATATACACAATGAGACATGAGATTACACAGCACATATTTCAGCCTATGTACAACTTCATACATCAACAAACACAACACTGACTTCTTGTTCGGTAAAAGTCATTTCATCAATATGATAAAACAGGCTAAATAAATTGGCAAGTAATATCCATAACCCTTTCATTTTGCATCTTCTTAACACAAACTATCACAGGACAAAATATATGTGTTAAGTAAATATGTGTTACATAAAAAAGTTAGCTTTACTTTGACATTCTAAAACATCTTTCTCGTACTCATGGCTTGTTATTTTCCAATTTTGAAGAAACATCTGAATCAGAGAAATCAAATTTGCCATGAATTAATGTTTATTAAAAATCAATGTCTACGATGTATTTAACATCATATCAGAGAGCAGAATGACAAAGTCTAGCTCGTTCCTACGGTTACCCTGCAGAGCTATGGACGTTTGTGAATGACAACTAAATATACCATATCCGAGAGAAGAATGATAAAGTCGAGCTTGTTCCTACGGTTACCTTGTGCAGCTATGTGAATGACATCTAAATATTGAATGATATTGATGATGATCTTGCGTAAATATTATGCAAATTCGTATCAGCTTAGATTATCTTTTGTTTATGAATGTTTGCATAGCATCTTCTAGTCTACCGGTAGTTTCTAGGTGACAACATATTGCATTTTGTAATATCAACAGTGTGGACTTAATTCTAAGCTAGAAGCAAACACACTTGACAATATGAAACACAGTGGATTAGCCAGTGTTTTCCAACTCCATTCTATGATAATATCACATCAATTGTTCTTAACTTGTCTTGTCTCGTCAGTACCATCTCAAATACAACTGGGACAATATACAGTTTACTGGGTGCAGCTTATATGGTGCTAATTGGCTCAAACTGCTTGTAACTCTTGCTTCACAGATCTTGCGTGCCTCTTCGATACATAGGGTTAGCTGTGTTAGGATTAGGGAAGGTTACCCCCCTCTCTATCCTTAGCTCTTGGATCCCGTTTCCGATCAAGCACCCCTTGACAATTATTAAAGTTAGGTATCCCTTTCTGATCAAGCACCCCTTTACAATCCTTAGGGTTAGTTGTGAGGTAGGGTATGGGTTAGCTATCTCTTTCAACAAACTAATCCGTACAATTTTTATCAAGTTTTGAGATTCGCAGAGAGAATGGATACAGCGCAAGTATACAAAGGTTAATGACTTTGTTAAAGAGAACTAATTACACCTGTCGTGGGAACACCTAGTAGTATACAGACTCTTCCCTTATCTTTGTGTTCAGGAAATCATCCTTTACAGGCATTCACAACTGACGGATCCATGCAGAGGGTGCACACCCCTATTTTTGTCAGGCACCCTACATGTGAACTGCACCCTCGTGACTTGGGTATTATATGCACCTCCAACTCTTTCAAAAACCTGGATCTGCCTCTGAACATTATTTAAAACTCAATGCTCAACTCAAACAAAATGATTATTTGGTTGTAGATCTAGGATCGAGAAGAAGTAAAACACTGGATAACCCAGGACACCATCATAGTCAATGATTCCAACTGTAAAACTAAATATTGCAATCTTCTCAAACCACAAAGTGGCCATATTTTGAAGAATGATGAAAAAATGTCAACTATCATTGTTCTACACTTACGTGCACAAAATGTAGATTAGCTCTGTAAATGAATTGGTTCCATGGTCCTAAAGTCTATGTGGAATTGCTACCTTACAATGCCAAATGGTAATCTAAGCTGGCTACACCCCATCAATGATACACTTTTGATCACCATAATGCTGCAGCAAATATCAACAGTTAATATCATCTAGTTAACACAGATTCTTCTTTGCAATTTGAAGCTAAGTATAAACACAAAAAGTATATTAATTTGAGATGATAGTCAAAACCATGACTCTATGCAAAGATGAAACTGGTAGAGTGAAACAGTTGAACATGCTGAAGCAGTCTGACACATAAACTAACCGGTACATGTCTGACAGATAAAAGTATAAAATGTTGATCCTTAACTCCAACATGAAACAGGTAAAACTGAACATCCAAGTATCTACCAATGTCCAGGTGGTCTTCCATGTCAGAACTTCATGGATTTGTATACACTACGTTCCTCACTCACCCGTGACTACAAACGTAGCTTTTGCTATCTTGAACAAATCAATCAAAGGTTGGTTCCAGCGAGGGTCAGCAGCAAGTGCTCAGAACAATGACGTTCCTCACTCATCCGTTGTGCAGAGTTGCGTCCCTTGTACAAGCCAGAAACCTATGGTCGTGGGTTCAAATCCAGCTTCGCCTTGATTATGTTTCTAGGTTTGTCTGCACCTTGGCAATGCTCGTTGGTTTCACCTAAGTGGTAAACGTCTGAGACCTGCATCACTTCGGGCTTTCCTCCAAAATTAAGCTGACATGCTGTGATATAACTGGATTACTGTTAAATGCGGCGTCAAACCCAACTCACACACTCACTCACTCACTCAGTCATTTCATTTGCTAGAGTCGAATCTAGTTACAGGTCTGATGGAAGAACGTAGTGTGTACAAGACCAATAGTGACAATGGTGGTCTTCTCAGCAACAAGAACTACCTCAGTGCTTGTTACGTCAAGACTACACACAGAGCAATCACAGTGGTAACTCATACATTTGAACACTGACATTCACTCTTGATCCATGGCCACTTTGTTGAAGGCTCTTGACACTATCCTTTTGTGACAAGAATGTCATTCCTGCTTTTACGACAAATGAGCATGTGTAACTGTTCAATAAATACCCAGATGACATCCAGCCCCATCAATACGGACCATAGCTCACTAGTGTGTATATACAGGGCCTCTTAAGGGTAGGTCTCCTACTGCTATGTACATTATGCAGAATGCTGGGAGTTGTATATAAATACATCTCTATGTACACCAGATGCTAGACGGACAGGTCCTCATTTTATATCCTCCACGTACGTTGATGGGAAGATCCCCACGGCCCCGTTCAGTTCTCCTTGCCACCAGCCGTCGGCCAGTTTCTCGTACACCGAGATTATGTCACCTGGGAACAGAGAGTGAAGAATGAGTGGTGTACGCCCCTACAGTGGTAGAAACTAACTGTTTTAGTCTACAAGTCCTTATAATGACAACATATAGCAAAACCCTTAAAAATGGCATTTTTCTACTAGTCCTTATGATACCTTAACTACTTGGCAGTTTGGCAAGGACTATAGGACTCGTGTCAATTTCTACCGCTGCACTATGGACAGCCATTAGGTGAACAAAAAAAGTTGAAATAAAGAACAAACATATACAAAAAAAAGTCAAATTGGTGTTCGTCGAAAATTGTTGTATAAAAAAATCTCGGACACTATTTAGCAGTGACACTCTTTCAACACATGTTCAAATCAGGTTAATATTTGCAGTTACATTTCCACCATCAGACAGGAAAATTAACATTTTACATTTTTTAGTAATATTATTGTCATGATAGTCTGAGGTTGGTTGGTTGGTTGTTTAACGCCGCACTCAGCAATATTCAAGATGTATAATATAATTGGGATCGATGACATGCATCAACCAAGTCGGCGAGCCTGACCACCCGATCCCGTTAGTCGCCTCTTACGACAAGCATAGTCGCCTGTTCCACCTGATCCACTGAGTCAACTCTTACGACCAGCATAGGTTACAGGGGACCACTTCTAGCCCAGAATCCTAACAGGGACACATGAGGGTATCAAAAGTGACATCTCACCTTGTTTGATTGAAATCTCATCTCCCTCAACAGCATCATAATCGTACACAGCTTTACATCTGCCGATCGGTGTGTTTGGAGGGAAATCGTCAAATTCATCATTACCTGAAATGAGAGGGGGATAGAATCAATAAATTTGAATTATTCTTGAAACTAAGCAATAGTCAAGAATTACAAGAATTAGTGTTGGAGCAAGTTTTAGAATTGCCATTTGTGAACAATATTATTCGACGTAATAAGCATCCCGCTCTTATAAGCGCCCACGGTGCTATTTGCTAACATATTGGCACATGAACAATCCCAATTAGCACCCCTTCCGATTGATCAATGCACACAAGACATATTTATCCATGTATAATATGCACTCGTGTGTTATATGCACCCTTAATAATGGGCAATTAAATTCTGGAAAATATATGTCATGAATAATACGCACACACTTTTCTTTTGTATCATTTCAGGCTGTCAGCATAAACCACAAAATTTCTTCCAACTCTTTTTATTTTCTCACCAAAATTATATTCTAATAAGTACCCTCTATTTCTAATTTTGAGAGCGCCCTGGGCGCTTATTACGTCGAATACGGTATTAGGGGCATGCAGCTAAATGTGCGAGGGAACCACGAAGTGATGCAGATCTCAGATGTTTACCACAGGGTTTACCCTGACTTACAAAAGTGAGGGTCCTGGGGACTCCCAATATTTAAAGGGGCACTGATCTAACGCAATTCCCCGGGACTGGTTGTTGCCTTTGTTATTGTTTTTTCCCAGTGAGTATCCGGATGTATAGCAGAAATCTAGACTAGTTCGTGACCTCTGCTGCGCCATTCGTAAGCGCATTAGTCGCTTTTATGGGTAGTAATAAGGGCGTATGGTCACATTTATGAACAAAATGAAATACAGTTTTCGAGATAATAAGGAAATGTAGGTATCTTTGTGGGTAGCATCGGTAATGGTGACGAAGTTTTGATAAGTCACTTGCTTGGTAATTTTGCGATTTTCGTTTACACTATTTTGACTTGCAACACAAAGTATATATTTCACCTGAGCATTGCTTTTTTTATAGTGTGTATTTTTTTTACTGTCAAATGTGTAACAAATTTATTAAACGTCTAAATATTCAGTTATTTTACAAAGTGACTGAAAAACATTTCCATCTGTATTATTATGATAACGAATTCCAAACATTTTTATGTTTAATGTCATCACCAAGAGACTGAAAATGTTACGTTGAGAAAAGTACATTTCTATGTTGTTTGGCTTCTAATCCTACATAATAATAATCTGTTGTGATGTTTGTAGGCCCTTTTGATCGTCTTAATCAATCTGGACATATTTTTTAGTCAAAATGACTGAAATATTTACGCATTTTATAAATTGCCTGAGAGAATCACATTTTACAAATTGACGGTAATATATACACGCTTACAAAGGAAAAGACCTGTGACAACAACGTCTTTCGCACATTGAAGAATTTCCCAACCAAGACGTAGAGAAACAAGAACGAATCGGTTCAAATGAAGGAAAACAAAATGCAAATATGATAATTACAACCTACCAAATTTATGTATATAAATTTTAGGCAGCGTCCTTGTTCGAGGAATGTATCCGTGAATATCCACACAAAGGAACAATATCCCACTCGTCTGCAGATGTACAAAGAAACTTATTCGATGTCACGCGTCTCAGTAACAATCAAACATTTTAAAAGATATATGTCGTTTCGGGATATTATAACCCGTGTTCGTTTCTCAACTGATCACTTGGATTGTTTCAGGTGTTTTACATAGGTGTCAAGTCTCAATGGTCGGCTGAGAAAGCCCACGTGACAACTATTTTCATAACGTTCACGGATCCTAAAAAATCCATCGAGTGATAGATAACAATGATCAATCAACGTATTATAAGTTAACCCTTTGAACAAAGTATGTTGTTTTTACATCGGCACTTCACGCCATGGTATGAGTGTATTCCCTTTGTTTTAGTAAACCTAGACATGTAAACACTCACTCTTGACATATCCACTGTGCAAGATAACAGTGATTAATCAATCAACGTATTTTCTGTTAATCCTTTGATGACTAGGAACGTTCCGTTGATTTACAAAAAAATAAATCAACTGATCATTCATCTCTTGCTGAGCTGCCACGTGCATATTACATAACACACATTTCACCTCACTTCAAACCTGGATTTAGATTGAATAATTACCCCATACACAATAAATGCCAAATGGGAACCTTTGTCAGGTAATCTAAGTGGTGCTACCACTAATTGTACCTGTAATAAATTCATTAACTGAGCATCAAGTGAATGACGACAAATACACAAGTGTAGGGTTATACCAAAAACGTGGATGACAACAAGGGAGTAGTAATCGTATTATCGACGCAAGCCGAAATCCGAAAATGCTTTCACTGCATGGATACTTTTTTTAGTATAAAACTATAACCATCTGGGGTATTTCCAAATGACGACATCCGATGAGCTCCGCTGTTCTTTTTGTCTGCTTGTTTAGGCTGAAGAAATTAATTAACATGCGCCCTTTGTCGAAATCTGTATAGATCACAGTTAACCAATCAGTGTTTATGCAAAAATGCGTAAAACAAATATTGCCTCCAGCCTCCAAGTTTATTTAGCTGTCCTTGCAGACGGTAGCCCAGTCTCTGGTCACGCTCAGTTGCGTTGCGTATCATCCGGGTACTCATGGGGAAAAAACAATAACAAAGGCAACAACCAGTCTGGGGAATTGCGTTAGATCAGTGCCCCTTTAATTTAAAGGGTCCTAGCTGGCAATAGCAGTGTTCGAAATACCTGCCTGCCCGACCGTCCGAGACGGTTGATTTCAACTCGGGCTGCCAGATTTTCAAATCCCCCTGCCCGACGGTCGGGTTATATTTCATATGTGACAATATTCTAAATATTTCCCGATGATAATCATTAATTCACATGTAAAGATGAATGATAAAATGTAACCAAAAAGAAACCCCGTTAGCTTATCCTGAGAAACATATGATTATAGTGGGCAGGCAGGTTTTGGTCAGGGCTGGCAAGTCTTTCAGCTAGCCAGTCCTGTGGTCTGGCTGAAATTATTGGGAGTTTCATACCCTGGCAATAGGAGGGGGCGAACCAGGATTCGAAACCTTCTATGCTTTCACTACATTCAAAATTGCTTTTCAATACACAGAGCTTTTCATTTGATAGCAATGTTACATATAATACATTAAAAACTCATAAATCATGATACAAAAAGGTGAAACACTTAAACAATTCCTGAATTGATGCAGGAGGCTGTGCTTGTGTTTTTAAACCTGCATCATGTGCAATGTCCCCTCAGACCACGTCTTTCAAAGTGTATTTATTGCTACCACGTTTTTAATCGTAGAATATGTGTTGTTTTAATGTTTGGCTAATTGTGTCAGCCATCGCCAACACCTGAAGGGATGGTGTAAATCCTGCTGGGGTCCATGCAGGTAGCAAAAGTACTGTAAGTCCCCATGGTCACTAGTGAGATGATCTATCTTCAGTTGCTGGCGATCTATAGCCTTTTTTTATATTGTATATAGGTATAGGGAAATCTTTTTATGGCTATATACTAGTTTTAAATAATATTCTGTGATCTTCTAGTTATTTTACTGTCCTTTGTTGACAGGCTTTTATTGTTTAATTGTATATATTATGTATAACTTTTGGTAGTCACGCTATGGCTGAAATACTGCCGATGTGACTAAAATTTTTAACTCACTCAAACTCACTCTATCAGGGTACAATGTTACACAATCAACCAAGCCTGACCACCCAATCCATTTAGCTGCCTCTCAAAACAAGCATAGGTTGCTGGGGACCTATTTCAACCTTGGATTTCAACAGGGTTGGATGATGGATGATGGATGATGGATGATGGATGATGGATGATGTGCCTACAAAGTTTCATCAAGAAATATTGACTGGTTTATGTGTTTATTCCATAAATGAAACCATCATTTGAAGTCCAACTTGTTGCCTTGGAAATGCAAAAAGCAGATATTTCAAACATTCTTGATTAAGGGTAAAAAAAATAATAGTCTTGGTTCTCAGGCACCGCACGCATCATAATAAAGTCTGCCATACGTTTCGTTTTTATTTTCATTTTTCATTTTATTTAAAAAGTCCTAATACTTAAAAACAATGTGATCCAATTTTGCATGCAGTTACTTCCCTTTACATGTGCACTGCTTTACTTCACATCTCAAGTTATGGTCATGGCGGCAAAATGAGCTTGTATACTTGTTAATGTAGGGAGGCCCTTTCCTAGGTTGATGGTACAGAACTGTTTATTTGGCTACATACTAGTTTGAACAAGCAACAACAAAAAAAACACCGCCCGCCCACACTATATTTTCAAAAACCATTCTTTTATCTTTTTAAGCCTTAATTAAAGGATGCAGGTCACCACTTGTCTGATGTGCATACAGAGTTTCACAAAGAAATGATAAAATGATAAACAGTTTATGACTTGTCTTCGTTAACAAAAATAAAAATTGCCCAAATTCCTAAATCGAAAAAGGCACCAGGCACTTTTAAAGTCAGTTTAATCCCTTGCCTCGGGAAGATGGTCTCGTGCCTAACAAAACTCAAACAAATGGTAATGCATACATACTCCAGCAATCTACGGTAGGAATTCTACCATTGCTTTGATAATGCTTTAACAACTCACCAAACTCATCATCGTCGTAGCTTGGATCGACGGTTGAGTAGTGGTCCCCGACAGAGCCGAGCGACGTGACGGAGCCAGCTGAGTATGTGTAGTCCGAGTTGCCATCCAGCGCCAGGTTCATCGGCAGCTTCAACAAACTGACCATGTGACCCTGGAACAAAACATGAGTTGGTCAGTTGGGCTTCATGCCAACTTGAACAGTAGGTCAGCTTGATGTGGGGAAGAAGGAAGTCGAGACGAAAACATGAACTCCTAACAAGGTTTCACATCCGTTCATTTTCTAGGTTGGTTGGTTGGTTGGTTGGTTTGTTGTTTTACGTTGCACTCAGCAATATTCCAGCTATATGACGGTGGTCTGTAAATAATCGAGTCTGGACCAGACAATCCAGTGATTGATATCATGAGCATCAATCCACACAAAATGGGATCGATGTTATACTGGGATACTATGACATGCATCAACCAAGTCAGCAAGCGTATTTTCATGTGTCTAACAATGTAGCAAGGTTTAAGAAAATCACACCTGTTTTTCCCTGGTGGTCTCAATATACTGAGAAAATTTATGAACTGGTGGGTCTCTCTTGTCCAGCTTGGCCAGGGACTTGGCTATCTTGTAGTGACTAGCTTCCAGGAAGTTGAGGGTGAAGGTGGTCTGCAATGTCAGGTACAACAGATGAACAGATTAGATGAGGCCCCGTGTCACAAAACTATATACCAGGTAAGCTACGACTGTGTTAAAGTATTGGGAGTTGTAGTCGGGGCTTTGTTGCCCTGGATCCCACACCACAAAACAACCTTACCGCTATGATGATCATATGCCTATGATAAAGTATTTGGAGTTACAATCATTTTAGCACTACAGCGATTGTAAGCCTATGTAAAAGTATTGGGAATAACAATCGTTTTAGCACTACAGCGATCGTAAGCCTATGTTAAAGTATTGGGAATTACAATCGTTTTAGCACTACAGCTATCGTAAGCCTATGGTTAAGTATTGGGAGTTACAATCGTTTTAGCACTAAGGCGATCGTAAGCCTATGTTAAAGTATTGGGAATTTCAATCGTTTTAGCACTACGGCAATCGTAAGCCTATGTTAAAGTATTGGGAGTTACAAGCGTCTTAGTGCTAAGATGGGGCCTAGGTCAATAGTTGCTATTTGTGCTTGAAATGTCAGAACCTTTGATCCACGAAGCTATCTCAGCTACAGCTAAGTTAAAGAATTGGAATTATGTCGTGCCACTGCGCTTGCTTCTTGGAATGGCGCCCAGGTCATACTATGTGTACATAGAATTTGGAAATGACAGTAAATGAATTAGCGATCCAACCATTCATCTCAAACTGTTTTAAGTTTTATGGGAAGCACTTTTGTTGTGTAAATATCTCTTAAAGGTAATATTTGTCCCCACATTCAATTATTTTCACAATTTCTACAAAGTTAATATGAGTTGCCTCCCTTACTCTTGTGTGCTACAGTCATTTAATGCAGAAAGATGTTCTAAATTCTGGAAATATTTTCACATCTTAATTATTAATATCAAACCTCATATCAGAATGTATTAGTAGTCATATAGTCCCTCACACGGATGATAAGTTTTTCATGTACCCATATCCTTGAAATTCCTTCACCTGTAGCAACAATGACAACAACCTACCTGTTCTAATCTCTGTTTCACATCTTCCTGAGCATCAGCATCAGCAAAATTCGGCTTGGACTTGTACACATCCACCAGCTTCTGTACACCTGGAAACAAACAGATCGTTATACCAAATTTGAGTGAGTGAGTTGGGTTTAACGCCGCTTCTAACAGTATTCCAGTTATATCATGGCGTGCCAGCTTCATGTGGGAGGAAAGCCTGAACTGATGCAGGTCTTAGACGTTTACCACTTCGGTGAAACCCACAAGCACGGGTATGGTGCTGACAAACCTTGAAACATAATCGGGGCGAACCAGGGTTCGAACACACAATCATAGGTTTCTGGCATGCCCAAGGGACGTAACTCTGCACAGCAAATTGAGGTGCCTTAGACGACTGGGCCACCCATGCCTCCTACTAAGCTTTGAAGTAATTATGAATAACAGCAGCATTAATGTTACAACAAGAATCTGATTCTAACTTAGGGTAACAAAAAGAGATACATTATTACTCAAATAAAGTGATTAGTGTGCACTCAAATTTCATTCTCAGCTCCCTGGGGTGTATATATGAGTATAAATATGTTCCTCTAAACATCTGTTCTGATCGAATCGATATACCAGGAGTTTTGTTCCTGTGGAATTTTTTCCCCAAGTATTACATTACCATTGTATCCTACCGGGTACCCATCAACTGCTGGGTAAACAGTGGCAGTGTTAGAAATTGGCACTAGTCCTATAGTCCTTACCAAACTGCCCAATAGTAAAGGTATCCTAAGGACTAGTTGAAATTGGCCCATTTTAAGGGTTTTGCTATATGCTATCATTTTAAGGACTAGTGGACAAAAACTGTTACTTTCTAACCCTGTGGGGCATATTTTGAACAAAGTCCCTAGCCTTAGGAGACACCACATGTCCTACAAAAGGATGAATTTGCAAATGGAAATAGCGTTTCACGTTTTTAGATATTCTCCCATGGTTTCATGACACATGTTCATCTACAGGACTAGGCCCCGTTCCACAACGTGATCCTTGTGCTAAGACAATCGTAACACAGACTTCCATGGGAGCTGGTGTTGTGTGACCTACCCTCCTTGCCCTTGCGGTCTCTCTCCAGCATCTGTTGTATGTAGAGCAGGTAGTTCTGAAGCGCGTTCCGCCGCCGCACAGCGTTCATGTTAAACTGAGTATCTTCAGCCTGGAAAACAACACGACATTGACTTATGTTTCTACTGATAATATTTGCTTCACAGCTTTACATAAAAAACACAAAATACCAGCTCAGTAAAAACGAAAGGAGACAACTCTAGGTGTATAACAATAAATATGGTCAATATACACAAAATCATAATTGACAGCATGTACAACCTTAAATTTGAAAAGAATCCAAAAAGTATTTTTCTAGTTGTAGGTCACACAAATGTTTCAGAAAAAAAATTCTAAGTATAAAAATGAAAAAAAAATAGCTGTATTTTTTCCGAAAATCCAAATATTGAAACAAACTTCACACTGCACCTCTCCTGTTGGTATAGAATCTGTACCCCCTATTGTAAAAGAATCCATGAAGTAGTTTTCAAGATATAAGTCGCCCAAATCATGCAAATGTTGAAGTAAATAATGTTCTAAGTTCACAACACAAAAAACATCATATTTTTTCAGAAAACACACATATCAAAATCAAACTTTGCACTGCACCTCTTCTATTACTTTGGAAACTGTTCCCTAAAAGTTAAAGATCGCACAGATGTTTGGTCGCAAAAATGGTTTACTAAAACATTTCTTAGTAAAGAAATGAAAAAAAAGCTGTACTTTTTCAGCAAATCCAAATATTGAAATCAAACTTTGCACTTCATCTCCTGTAGGTATAAAACGTGTTCACCAAGTTTGAAAATAATCTATTTAGAAGATTTCAAGTTATAGGTCACACACAAAAAATGTCCTCGGAAGGACAGATGGAATTCCTTGGAATAACTATATCCCCCTGCCCTTTTAGGTCGGGCGTATAATAATCGCTAAACCCCATCATCTGTGAGTGAGTGAGTGAGTTAATATTTAACGTCACATCGGCAATATTTCAGCCATATCGTGACGAGAAGTTAGACATTAATAATGCATATATTTAAACTTTATAAAAACCTGTCATCGAAGGACATCTCACCTGACTCGACATGGGAACACATTATGATGGTACTTACATAGCAGTCCATCAACACTTGCTCTGGCATCCTGGCACCCTTCACGCCTTTCTCCCGCACCACAATTTCAAGGTCATTCTGAAGGTCAACTGCCATCACACTCTCATTGAGGTGGTCTAATATCTGATGACAACAGAATCAATTTAACAATGTGTAACTTTTCGTGACAAGAAATTACTTAATGGACTTCTTTAACCCATGACATTTCATTGGGAGCGTGAATGATGTTTGTAGCAAAACCTGATCATTAAGCCTCATAACTAGATACAAGCTATTCATTTAAAAGATGCACTTTAGCAAAATAATGTAGTTTGTATAAGGCTACAAAAAAATAATAGTCTTGGTTCATAAACAACGCCCGCATCATCATTAAGTTCGCCGCAATTTTTTTTTTATTTCCATCTTAAAAAAAAACCCAAAATCCTTAAATATTACAAGTATAATGGTAGTCAAATACTGTATTCCAGTATTTTACTCATTAAGGAAGGCCCAGGTTGATTGTACACAATATTAATTTGGTTACACAACTGTTTATTTGGTTACATACTAGCATGACCACCCCCCCACCCACACTTTATTTTAAAAAGCCATTGCCTGAGAACTAATTATTTTATTTTTTGAAGCCATATGGGCATGAAAACCCTCAAGTATCTGCTGCAACACTCTGCATGAACTTACCCGTGTCAGTTTCGGAGGCAGCACAGATAAATGACTGTTGTACTTGTTGAGGTATTCCTGCATCGTCTTCACGCGATCTTCTTCTAAGTGTTGCATCTGGGTACTACCCTGGAGGAAGCAACAAACAGACAGACCAGTCATTAATGAGTCTTGGCCAGCCAAATCACCAAGAGCAAGTATGAGCAAAGATCAGCCAAATCATCCAATATATTCTCCGAGGAATCATGCCAGTCTTGCAGAAGACATGACTAATCCATTGTTTTCCTACCAGATCCTCACGCCGCTTCCCGGAATGATTCCTGGATGCGCTCTGAGCATGCTCAGGGGATTTAGTGCAATATGAATTGACATATTAGTAGTTGTAGTGGTAGTGGTAGTGGTAGTGGTAGTGGTAATGGTAATGGTCTTTAAATATTAAAGTAAAAAAATGTAGCAAAGAGGGTTTGGGTGATCCTGGCACAGTCAGGCTGGTCAGGCTCATCATCAGCTCAGGGCCCTTGCCCCCTCCCTCTACACGCAGCCCACCCAGCGAATTGGACCTCTCCCAGGTATTGTTGTTGTTGTTGTTGTTATTATTATTATTATTCCCAAGGTGCCAATGTCGTTACCTTGGAGACGGTGAACTCCCAGTCCTGTCTGGAGGTCTCCCCCTTGTAGCAGCACTCGGTGTACTCCTTGTCTGCCTTCCGCACCGCCGCCAGCGAGTTCTTACTCTTCTTCTCCATCTGGAACCAGAGATACCCTGTCATGTCAATCTGCCTCACCTGTCTCGCAGCGTGTTATTACTATATTAGGATAAACAAATAATAGTTTTGGTTCTACGGCACCGCCCGCATCATCATAAAGTCTGTTGCACGTTTCGTTTTTATATCCATTTTTTTTTTTTTTTAAAAGTCCTTAAATATTCCGTGTCTCGAACACACGACCCCAGCAGTGAAATGCTACAATACAATGGCCAAATATCATAACTGAACAGAAATTTCAGTACAGTGATAAAAAGACCAAAGACTTTGTATCTCTAACGACTAATGTTTGTTTCAAGGCGAGTTCATGGTGAGTTGATGTGATTTGCCGATCAGTTCATACACAATTTCGCGGAAATTAATGTAAACAAAATAGAATGAAATCTTGGATAAAAATAATATAATGGATTATAAACGTAAGTCCAGATACACAATGAACACTTTTATAGCCAGGTCATATACTAGTTTGAACAACCAAATAATCCCCCAAAACACCCACCAGCGGTAGAAACTAGCACTTTCAGTCCACTGGTCCTTATAATGAAAACTTATAGCAAAACCCTTAAAAATGGCAAATTTCTACTAGTCCTTATGTTAGCTTAACTATTGTGCAGTTTGGCAAGGACTACAGGACTAGTGCCAATTTCTAACGCTGCCTACACTATTTTTTCATGAGCCATTGCCTGAGAACGAATTCTTTTATTTTTTTAAGACTTACAAGTTGGTTCATACAAAACCCAAGCTTCAAAATTTAAGGACAAGGCAACTGCAAGACCAATGTGTGGTTTCAAACAGTTTTATTGGAACTTTCTTCTTGATATCATTGTCAGAATGGCTCTATTGCAATACACTATCAGCTGCAGTAACCATATCTAGCAGTAACCATATATAGCAAATGCAAGTGATATGAGAGATGGAATTTGATTGGTCAATAGGAGGGACATAGAAGGGACATAACTTGTTATAGCCTGGCGTTATGATCGAACCTGGAAATTGCAGTCTAGTTCAGCAAGGGTGGAAACCGGACTTTTATAGTCGGTTAGTGCCCTTGCCTCAGGAAGATGTGCAATATCTGACTGCATGAAAAGAGATCTGGGCCCTGTTTCAAAAAGCAATCTTAGTACAACGTTGATCATAAGCCAATGATAAAGTCTGGGAGTTACAACCAGCCTAGCACTAAGATCGTTTTGTGGAACAGGTTCCTGGACTGGTAATTGACTCACCTTTGCAATGTCTTTTGACTTCCCTGATTTGACCTCTGACTCCTCTACCTTCTCATATTCTTTAGCACATGACACAGCGTTCTTCTTGGCCTGTAGGGTGGAAACAAGGGTTGCCATGGTAACCAAGTGAGTGAGTGAATGTTGTTTTACAATATATCAGCGACTGACATACAAGCCAGGTCACACAAGTGAGTTGGATTTAATGCTGCTTTGAACAGTATTTCCGTTACATATTTGCAGGTCAGTTTTCTTGTGTGTATGCGGCTTCTTGTACTTCCCCGATTATATAGCACTAGCCCACACACCATGCCACAATTTAATATGGATACCCCTCCCAGACACAGGATACTGACTCCTAGCCAACCAGTCCTGGTTTTATCCCCTTAATGTCCAGGCAGGGAAACAACAACTACCACCTTTTAACGTCTGTTGGTATGACGCGGCCGGGGATCAAACCACCGACCTTCCACTCTCTGGGCAGACGCACTTTCCACTAGACCAAGCCAATCCCATTCTCTCCAGAATCCCTACATGGTCTCACAATCAAAATTAATCACCTTATACTCGTCCGCTCTTCTGTCTGTGAGATTCCTGAATGCTTTATCTACCATGGCCTCGATCTGAAACAGGGACCAGTCATTGTACATAATGACATAACGTAACATAATGTCATCTGAACATTGCCTGATGTAGCAACTGCTGTGACATTTTAAACTTGAAGAGCATCTGATTCTGATTGGCCTCGATCTAAAACAGAGACCATTCATTCATACACTGTCACATAATGTGACAACTGCTGCGACATTCACATCTACAGTATTATATAATGGCTGAAGAGATGTGACAGACTAACATACAATCTATGAAGTCTTTTATTACACAATACATTTCTCTCTTCTAAAATAATGGGGGTTTTTAATACTAATTTTCATGTGGAATACAGCTTACGAGATTTCTCGATTAAATAACCTCCATTGGTTTTGAAGAAAATATGCAGATACTGCACAGTTATGGTGCAAGACTGGAAATTGTTTGTTTGTTTGTTTGTTGTTTAATGCTGCACAAAGCGATATTCCAGCTATACGACGTTCTGTCTGTAAATAATGGAGTCTGGGCCAAACAATCCAATGATTGACACCATGATTATCAATCTACTCAATTGGGATATGATGACATGCATCATTCAATGATTGACATCATGATTATCGATTTACACAATTGGGATACGATGACATGCATCATCCAATGATTGACACCATGATTATCGATTTATTCAATTGGGATACGATGACATGCATCAACCAATGATTGACACCATGATTATCGATCTACTCAATTGGGATAGGATGACATGCATCATCCAATGATTGACACCATGATTATCGATCTACTCAATAGGGATACGATGACATGCATCAACCAATGATTGACACCATGATTATCGATCTACTCAATTGGGATACGATGACATGCATCAACCAATGATTGACACCATGATTATCGATCTACTCAATTGGGATACGATGCCATGCATCATCCAATGATTGACACCATGATTATCGATCTACTCAATTGGGATACAATGACATGCATCAACCAATGATTGACACCATGATTATCGATCTACTCAATTGGGATAGGATGACATGCATCAACCAATGATTGACACCATGATTATCGATCTACTCAATTGGGATACGATGACATGCATCAACCAATGATTGACACCATGATTATCGATCTACTCAATTGGGATAGGATGACATGCATCAACCAATGATTGACACCATGATTATAGATCTACACAATTGGGCTACGATGACATGCATCATCCAATGATTGACACCATGATTATCGATCTACTTAATTGGGATACGATGACATGCATCAACCAATGACTCACACCATGATTATCGATCTACTCAATTGGGATACAATGACATGCATCATCCAATGATTGACACCATGATTATCGATTTATTCAATTGGGATACGATGACATGCATCAACCAATGATTGACACCATGATTATCGATCTACTCAATTGGGATAGGATGACATGCATCATCCAATGATTGACACCATGATTATCGATCTACTCAATAGGGATACGATGACATGCATCAACCAATGATTGACACCATGATTATCGATCTACTCAATTGGGATACGATGACATGCATCAACCAATGATTGACACCATGATTATCGATCTACTCAATTGGGATAGGATGACATGCATCATCCAATGATTGATACCATGATAATCGATTTACACAATTGGGATACGATGACAAGCATCAACCAATGATTGACACCATGATTATCGATCTACTCAATTGGGATAGGATGACATGCATCATCCAATGATTGACACCATGATTATCGATCTACTCAATTGGGATACGATGACATGCATCAACCAATGATTGACACCATGATTATCGATCTACTCAATAGGGATACGATGACATGCATCAACCAATGATTGACACCATGATTATTGATCTACTCAATAGGGAAACGATGACATGCATCATCCAATGATTGACACCATGATTATCGATCTACTCAATTGGGATACGATGACATGCATCAACCAATGATTGACACCATTATTATCGATCTACTCAATTGGGATATGATGACATGCATCAACCAATGATTGACACCATGATTATCAATCTACTCAATTGGGATACGATGACATGCATCAACCAATGATTGACACCATGATTATCGATCTACTCAATTGGGATACGATTACATGCATCAACCAATGATTGACACCATGATTATCGATCTACTCAATTGGGATACGATGACATGCATCATCCAATGATTGACCCCATGATTATCGATTTACACAATTGGGATACGACGACAAGCATCAACCAATGATTGACACCATGATTATCGATCTACTCAATTGGGATATGATGACATGCTTCAAGCAATGATTGACACCATGATTATCGAGTTACACAATTGGAATACGATGACATGCATCAACCAATGATTGACACCATGATTATCGATCTACTCAATTGGGATATGATGACATGCATCAACCTAGTCAGCGAGGCTGGCCCACCATTAGTCACAGCTTACGACAAGCATACTAATTTTTACCAGGATCTTCAAGGAAACTAACTTCAGATAATTTCTCATATAAGATAAAGTATACAAATGAAGAAAAGGGTCTCCAGTCTTACCGGCTTCCTTGCTTTATTTTGCGTTTCTACAACAGATTTCAGGGGTTTACTAATTTCTTCCAGCAATCCAGCAGCTAAATTTCTGCAATGGAAAAGAAAGATTGTTTGAAATAATTGTCATTTACTGTTAGTAGGTACAGAATTTAACCCTCAGTACATTGTCCATCATCAGAATGATGTTTGGGAACATTGGGAACTAAAGACGCATCATATTACAGAGTTCCCGCTGGCTTTTGAAACTGTGTGGTCTGGCAACTCTAAAAATTACCAGTGCCCCCTAATTTTTGCCAGTCCACACTTTCAACAAATAAAAATATGTATGAAAATTATTTGGTTTTAATTCTTTCAACATCATGTTCTGTGCAAAGATGTCATCTCTGAAGTAACTTAGTTAGAACTATACGTCATTTACACAAACTTCAGTCACAATTTTCTCTTTTTTTTTTAAAAATATTTTCAGACGATGTCGCAACAAATGGATGTTTAACCTAGAAATAGACAAGGGTAAACCCTGATGGAAACAAACAAGCTGACTTTGTTAAAAAAATGTACTTATATGAATATCACCGATGTTTCATTCAACAACAAAGATTTATATGGTACTTTATTATAGGTCCATATGAACTGGTAGTCACATGAATTACCGGTCCAAGCCTAATTTTACCGGTAAAAAACTGGTAATTACCGGTGAACGGGAACACTGTATTATTAGGCATGGATAATTCGGAAGAGAGAATACAGGCTATATGACGTCTCTATGTCATGTCACATGACTGCAGTACACTTGGAGTTTAAATAGTAGCCCTACTAATCTGAAAGACTTTAGCCAAAAACTAGACTTGCTAAAGTGTGACATTTAAGTTTGTTCAAACAGACAGTGAGTGAGTGAGTGAGTGAGTGAGTGAGTGAGTGAGTGAGTGAGTGAGTGAGTGAGTGAGTGAGTGAGTGAGTGAGTGAGTGAGTATGGTTTTACGCCGCTTTTAGCAATATTCCAGCAATATCATGGCGGGGGACACCAGAAATGGGCTTCACACATTGTACCCATGTCGGGAATCGAACCCGGGTCTTCGGCGTGACGTCAAACAGACAGGCACTATACACAGTTCTATCACATATTTCCTTCTCATACGTCAATACGTCAATAAATAAGGGTGATACACCCCCTGTAACAGTGAGTTAGTGAGTGAGTGGGTGGGTGGGTGGGTGGGTGGGTGAGTGAGTGAGTGAGTGAGTGAGTGAGTGAGTGAGTGAGTGAGTGAGTGAGTGAGTGAGTGAGTGAGTGAGTGAGTGAGTGAGTGAGTGAGATGGGTTTTTAACACTGATTTTAACAGTATTCCAGCTACATCACAGTGTGTCAACTTAATGTGGGAGAAAAGCCTGAAGTGGTCCATGTCTCAGATGTTGACCACATTGGTGAAACCCACGAGCACGGGAAAGGTGCTGACAAACAAGAAACATAATCAAGGCGGACCTGATTCGAAACCCACGCCTCGACAGGGCAAACTATGCCCCCAGAAACAGAGACACATGCAGTATGCTATCATGGGAAACCAACAGTTTGGAAGCTACATACTTATGTAACTCCGCCTCCTGTTCCATGGCCGCAGCTGCCGTCTTCCATCCATCAGATAAACTCCTGAAATAACAATGTTGATATTAGATGATGGAGACAGATACTGTGGGTTCTACACACCTGTCAGGCACAGACACTGACAAAATAAAGTTATTCCCAGGTAGGAAATCAGCTCCAACAGAGGCGCTCAAAAAGTTCTAACATCATCATATAAAATAATGAGTGCAGTAATTGTCACAGCGAGTGACCACTAAAGTGACCGAGCTCTGTGAATCAAAGGCAGTCTGCCACTTTAGCCACTAAAGTACTCACGGAAATGAAAAAAAACTGTTTTTGATCTCAGATTTTAAATAAATGCAGTTAATATACAAAATATATAAATATTCAAACAACTCAATTAGTACTAATTGGGCCTTGGCACAAATACAGCGTATCGAAGATTTTTATGTCTTTTTACACGTAAAAGTGTGTAAAAATATGAACAAAACAGACTATTGTGAAACTGAGCATAACCAGGTGTTAGTAGATCAAGGTGAATGTCCATGACGACAAGTGAAAACAGGTGCTTGAAACCCACGTGCATGTGATGTGTCAGTGGTGTGGTGATTTGTGAGTGGCCTTGTGGGATAGTGAATCATCGTCAGAATATCAGAACGTAAAAGTAACATATTCCCTTCTCAAACAACAACTTACATGTCATTATTATTATGTACATAAACATAGCTGTTATTTTTATTGTTGTTTTGATAACTTTTTTCCAGGCTAATTTGCATAATGCCTATAGCCTGTTTCTGCCATGTCAATTTGGACTTAGTTTTATTTTTGAATGTTGAAAGTGCCTACAAATTACCTCCTGGAAAGTACATTTTGTATTGAGCACTGAGATAAAACTAGCAAATCCAGACTAGTACTTTTCCAGTTGTTTTGTTATTTCGTATTTACATCTACGTAATGCTTTGTGTCGATTATTAAATCCAGCAAAACAGGGTTTTTTCATTTCCATGAGTACTTTAGTCCAAAGCTTGTGACTAAAAACATTCGGCTAGTATATAAGCTTAACTACTAGAGTGCATATGATAACACTAAAATGTACAAAACATTATGCTTCAAGGTCTGGCTAGTAGATCACAAAAGGTTTGTGCACAGACTGCAACGTCATCTTACTTACGACAGAAATCTTAGCTGAGACAGTGAGCTCTTTTGTAAATAGTGTAAAATATAAAGACACATATTTAGTGTTGTATACGCTTTTGAGATTTTGTTCACAGCAAGTTATTTCCTGAAACTTTGCTTTCAAGGTCAGGTTTTGATATAATTTCTTTCCACTTTTTCTTGTTTAGCAACAGGACATGAGCACAATAACCTGACCTTGTCTCATTATATTTTTACATAATGTCTTTAGCGTGAAACTCAAATAATTCAGGTTCACAAATACTGATTTATTTAAAAGTATTGTTTTTCAAACGTATTCACCATTTCATACGAACAGCGGTAGTAAAATCTTATGTTAGTTTCATTTCACCAAATTGTAAAACACACTCAAGCAAATATTTTTCCTTCAGAAGTCATATAATTTTATTATTCTGAGACCCGTGAAGATCCAGGGTAGAATAGATCTTCAGCAACCCGTGCTTGCCGTAAAAGGCAACTATACGTGTCGTAAGAGGCAACTAACGGGATCGGGTGGTCAGGCTCGCTGACTTGGGTGAAGCATGTCATAGATCCCAATTGCATGGATCGATGCTCATGATGTCAATCACTGGATTGTCTGGTCCAAGACGATGGAACAGACGATCCAGCGATTGTGAGAAATGATCCACACTGTCGGGGTACAATGACAAGACATCACCCAAGTCCCCGAGCCGGATCCATTAACTCATCTCTCACAACCAGCATCAGTTGCTAGGGACAAATTCAAACCTGGAATTCCCACTGGTTCCAAACTTAGCTGCCTCTTATGACTAGCAATGGGGTGCTGGGGACACCTTCTCCGAGTACCCAAAATTCATGCTAGTTCGCTAGTCCGAGACTGCTTACTTGTGCTGGGGACACCTTCTCCCAGCCCCCAAAATTCATGCTAGCCCGCTAGTCCGAGACTGCTAACTTGTGCTGGGGACACCTTCTCCCAGCCCCCAAAATTCATGCTAGCACGCTAGTCCGAGACCGCTAACCTGTGCTGGGGACATCTTCTCCCAGCCCCCAAAATTCATGCTAGTCCGCTAGTCTGAGACTGCTGACTTGTGCTGGGGACAAGTAAAGTAAGTAACATATTCTGTGTACCTAAGTATCGATGATATTGTAGGTATCGATGAATCGTTACAGCCCTCATGTATAGTGTTACATCCTTTGCACCTGTGATGATACAGCAATACCTGGTTGGGTATACTGCTTGTTATAACACAACAACCAGGTTCAAGTAAAACACACTTACCCCAACCCAGTGCCGGCAGCCTTAGCTAGCTTAATGCCAATTCTTGCCAACCCCTTGGCGTACGTGCCTTCAATATCCGCCCTGAAATTAAACAGACACAAACGATGAACCAACAAAGCATTGTTATTATGATTATTATACAGATTTTATGCAGTTTCATTTTCAAGAGAACAGCTTGGAGTCATCATGGTCAAACAGCATGAATAGTGATGGCTACATCACAACCGATGGACACAAAAAAGGGGATTCACTGAGAATTGAATTAGGCTTTTTGGCATGACGAGACACCAGTTTATGCACTCAGATACCCCATGGTATATAAATCTGTTCTAAAACATGCCATACTTTTGCAGCAATTACTTTTTAATTATATATATTCAAACCATCATTAAAACTCACAAACGGGACATAACACAGTGGGAACAATACTCATAAAAGTTGGGAAAGGATGAATAGATATGTTGTTTGAATCATTTGTCTAATTTAGTCTAAATATGCACATTAAATCTACATTATACATCTATTCTGATGAGAAATACAGTAAAGGTTCGCACGACTGAACAAGGAAATCACAATAATAGCACATATAATTGACATTTGGCTTCAGAGCTTGCACATTGTTATGACATCGTTGTAGGCACAGGACTTTTTAGCAAGTTCATGCATATATTCATGGACCAAACCACCCTTTGAAGCCTCAAATGATGGTTCAGTTCATGAATATGCTTCCCATGCTTCAGGTCACAGAGATCCATGAATTAATCCTTGTTAGAAGTGGTCTTCAGCAACCCATGCTTGACATAAGAGGCGACTAAATAGGATAGAGTGGTCAGGCTTCCTGATTTGGTTGATGCATGTCAGTTGTATAGATCGATGCTTATGATGTGCTGGGTGTGACATTAAACAGCAAAAAAAATAAAATAAAATAAAATAAAATAAAAAAAATATCAGGTCACAGTGGTCGTCCTGGGTTTCCCACTTTCATGCCTGGTACCCCCCAACTGCCCTGAGGGTCCCATCCACACCCATTCCAAGGCAGACCCAAATACCTGATAAATTAATTTTTCTTTACAGAGTGTGGTTTACCTTCTGTAGGATAACTACTGACAAGATACCACGGATGAACAAATTCTGAATAAAGAATTTAATCAGCCATACCATGTTGTCACTGGTGATCAATCTAACCTGTAACTCTTCCATTGAGTACGCTGAGCTAGATGTCCTTATGCAATGATAAAGTCTGAGGTAATTACACGCCTTGATTTATACCTTCAACATGCCATACATCTAATGTAATTACACTCTACATTCCCTGAATTCCTTGATTAATACATTTTGCCAGGGCTATGGTCAAACCTTCCCAATCTGACAATTTGTACCTATCTCTTGAGACCTACAGCGGGTACCCGGGTAGGGTCAGGTAATAGGGGGCGGGTACCCGGGTAGTAAACTTGGACTTGTCCCAGGCATAGTGTGGGGTAGTTAAATACTCTTACCCTAAAAAAATTATTTTCTTTGTTTGTCAATTTGAATTTCTATTTCATTCCAACTATCATTATCATGTGATAGTAAGAATGTAAGGGGGAAGTTAAGTGATTTTCCGTTAGTCTGCAATCTCAATCCAATCTGATTATACAAACAAAAAAGTAAATCCATCTGGAAAACATGGTCAGTTGTAAACCTTTTTAAAATGAACTATGATGGCATTCCCAAAGACATAAACAAAAGTAAAAACGTAACTACATTGGGGTTAGAGGGCAAATTTCAAGATTCTTGTAATGGCCGCACCCACTGGTGGCAGCGATGTTACCGAGAGTGTAACGAAGGCGTCACGCGCTGGGAAGGAGCTTGGGTTTGTTATCATACAGAGAGGTAACTCTTCCTGTAATAGTCATTTGAGTTACAGGTTCTACTACACCAACTCAGAATCAGTTGTTCGGACAGCAGCTTTCATAGAGAAGATAGAGTGTGAAGTGAGAATCCTGGCAGCTGTGATTGGATGATATTGTGTAAGATTTATATCTTTTTTATATGTACATCCATTCAGTAATTAAGACTGACCATTATTTTGTGCTGTCAGAGACCATAGCATGATGACTTATGCTGAATGTGACCACAGATATTTCCAAGCTGGTGACATTTGATGCAGAACTGGGGCAGGCGTGTTTAGATTCCTGTACTGGGAAAAGGAGCTTGCTAAGCTAGCCACAATTGTGTTTTTATTACAGCTTAAAAGGCCAGACTGTGCATACGCATACATGACAATGGCTGTTGAACGCCGAATTATTTCTTTAAAAAATATATATCATTACTATAGAAGTAAGTAGGAAAACATTTTGTTGTGTGTAACCTAAAGCACAGAGAAACACATATCACTAGCAATAACAAAACAACGAAGGAAAATAAAATGCAATCACAAAAGAATTATTCCACCCCTTTGACTCCTCAAGTGTTTCATCAGACAATACAGGAGGAGCAATGGTGATTAGTATACTGGTGTTCAACCATCAAGGCACAATGACACACCAAGGCGCTCACAAACCAAGGATCGTAATTAGTACTTTTGTCAGATTCAAACCAAAGGTCAGCAGATCCTTGCTTGACTAAGGGAAACAACTCTGCATAATGCATTCCAGGGCCTCACACAACTGGGCCACCCATGACCCTAGTAACATCGTTTCTACCTGAACAAAGACAATTACAAGCAAGAGTGACAAGGGTATTCCCAAGTAATTGCATCAATTTACCACATCATTAACTCTCAATTGACTCTGTTGACAGTACTAGGGATTTAGCCATTATTGAAGCCAGCAGGACAGTGTTAATGGTGTGAGGAGGACCATCAATACACTTCAGAGGAAGAACCAGGACGCTAAGAGGGGGAGGGTAGGGAGAGGGAGAGAGAGGGAGGTGATAGGTGAGCGTGTTAGATATCTGAAGAAGAAAACAAGTGGTGGGGATTTGGGGTTTCACATCTCTTGTGCCTCTTCTGGATCTAGCTGCTGGGTTTTACGCGATGCAGAAATGAGCATCTTGAACACTCAAATGCATAAATGGACAAAGAAACGTGCGTCTAGTACACTTAAATGTATAAAATGGATGCAGAAATGTGCATCTTGTACACTCAAATGCATAAATGGACGCAGAAACGTGCATCGAGTACACTCAAATGTATAAAATGGTCACCGAAAAAAATTACATATTGCGTCCCTAAGGATGCACTATAATATGTATTGTACCAAATTCTTGACAAGAGACCTAAAGTTCCTTTACTTAAAGTAATTAATTTCATTAATTCACTATTATTTCCTGTAAGGGCCCTTGAAATTAGGAATTGGGGGTCCTCTAGTTTTGTAGGTCAAGGTAAAACCTGTACCAGTGAACTGTCTAGACAACAAGGACGTTTTTTTTTTTTATGAGGGACTCTGGAAATCTTATAGGGATGAAGGATGAGTTTTTGATCCTACAAGTTGTAACACGCCATGCCCATTCCAAAAAGACATGACTCTTGAGATGTTTTCCTGGTGATCATGAATAATATTTCATACACAGTCCCCAGTAATGTCAAGTCAAAAGTGTTACTCAGAAAATCATTCTCGGTGATTCACAGGCAACTTGGTGGGCACGTCACCTAAGGCCCCACAAATTCTCTGCACAGAGTTGCGTCCCTTAGGCGTGCCACAAACCTATGATTGTGGGTTCGAATCTGAGATCATGTTACGGTTCAGATTATTTTTGTTTATAATTAATTACATCGAAATTTGCTAATTTTTAGAAATTAAGGAACTTAAGTGTTTTCCTTTCGTCAACAAGCAATAAATTATGATCGAATGTGAAAAATGATAACATTATACAGAAAATATCGGACTGCATGCCGCTCAACGTGAAGTGCCAAAAGTCAACAATGGCCGTTTCTGGTAGTTGTGTGCCGAGAAGTTTGGCCGAAACTTTTTAAACTCGCAATATTTTCTTTTTGAGGTAAATAAACTACTGAAAGTTTTAATATTGAGCAAGCTGAACATTTATGCATGTCATACACAATTTAATGTTACACAAAGCCTTCTTGGTAAATAGATATGGCGAGTTTTGTTTGTGGACGTCCTTATGCTGGTTTGAGAGCTTTAAACGTGCCACAAACCTATGATCGTGAATTTTGTCTGATCATATTTCTAGGTTTGTCAGCGCCACATCCTGTTCATCGGTTTCATACAAGGGGACATCACTTCAGGATCTTCCTACATCAAGCTGACATGCTGTGGCTTTACTGAAATACTGTTTAAAGCAGCTTTAAACCCAACTCTCTCTGTGACACTCTCACAGTGAATCCATAGCAGATCAAAGATGTCCAGGCACCATCCACAAAAATGGGTAACGATAATCATTGATATATTTATTAATCAAGACACATTTCTGCCAACTTTTGTTGTCACACTGTCATATGACTTTTAATCAACTTTGACAACACCTTTACAATTCCTGGATCCACCCTGTCTCAAGGCTTGTATCAACATGCTGTCTGGGGCCAGAAACCTGCCAGAAACTGTTCCACATGCAGTGTAGCAATAAATACTCTTCCCAAGTTTATTTTTGTACCAAATCTCAAAAAAGAATATCCATGGAGATGGCGGAAATATGTAGAATTCCATTCTTTTAAAAAAACCACAGAAACTAGGGCAGCAGGAAACTAAAACAAAATATATAAAAATTGATGCTGAAAACGTTTAGTTGTTATTCGTAGAAGACGATTTAAAAGGTTACAGAAAACTTGATCTAAAGTTGAAGACTGCAAAAAAAGCAAGAGACATTACTTCCTTGTTTATTGTGATACAATCCTCTGTGTTGAAGTAAAGACATTCATGACAATGTTGGTTGGCCGGTTGGTTTGTTGTTTAACGCCGCACTCAGCAATATTCCAGCTATATGACGGCGGTCTGTAAATAATCGAGTCCCGGACCAGACAATCCAGTGATTGATATCATGAGCATAGATCCACGCAATTGGGATCGATGACATGCATCAACCAAGTCAGCGAGCCTGACCGCCCGATCCTGTTAGTCGCCTTTTATGACAAGCATAGTCACCTTTTACGGCAAGCATGGGTTGCTGAAGACCTAATCTACCCCGGAATCTTCAAGGGTCCTTCGTGATAAGGTCTAGGCTTTTCAAAGTAAACACAGCACTGACATGTTGAAGTGTCTGCCTTCATCTGATTCAGTGACTTGGAATGAATTATTACGTTGATTCTTTGCATTACCTTTTCCCTGATACAAAGTTTGACAATAATACACCACTCAATGAAGTTAGGACCACCCAAATACTTCATATTACAGGGCTGACTCTAGGAATTTTCTGACATGAGTCCTTATGTGAATTTTTAAAAATATTCCAGAGTGAGTGAGTGAGTATGGTTTTACCCCGCTTTTAGCAATATTCTAGCAATATCACGGCGGGGAACACAAGAAATGGGCTTCACACATTGTACCCATGTCGGGAATTGAACCCGGGTCTTCTACGTGACGAGCGAACGCTTTAATCACTAAGCTACCACGACCGCCCTTAAATATTCCAGAGGTACCCCCCATACAGCACAATGTTAAAATGCCCCATTGTATTTGAAAATTTAGGGGCTAAAAGCACAAGGACCCACCCTAGAATTATCCCTGATATTACTTTAGTTCATCTGCCATGCTATGGTTAATCTGTCATGACAGATTATCTGTAGAAATATGAAAGAATCGGTGGTCCTTAAATTCATTTAAGTAGTATATACACACAGGGTTAACATTGGTTGTTGAAAATTCCTCACAAAACATGCACAACAAGCTATACAATACCTCTATATAATCCAGTCAGGCAAGACATTTTTTAACTATTGGTGTCACCTTCTGCTGACCCTAGCATAAAGAACAGCAGAGAGAAAAATCAGCCTAAAAGCTTGATATATTTATTCCACTGACTGCAAACAAAAGAATTGCACCTCTGAGTAACTGCAACAGGTTTAATGGTGAGACAAGCTATACTCACACTGCAGACTAGGCAAAACAGGGTTAGAAATTGACACTAGTCCTGTAGTCCTTGCCAAACTGCCCCTAGTGACTAGTCGAAATTTGCCCTTTTTAAGGGTTCTGCTATAGTATATGTTATCATTATAATAACTAGTAGTCTTAAAATGTTCTATCACTGTAAAATAGTAAGATAACTTTTCAAAGAGCATGAAAAATAATCTAAAACGTCCTCTGATTATTGTTTTCAGCACCTACTGTTCCGGATTTTAACAAAAAAATCTGTTAACAAGGGAATTAAAAAACCTGTCAGACCTTACATGAGATATGATGCAGATTTGGAGTGTCTCAACAATAAGTCTGCATCCCTGAGATGCCATGCCACAGTTTACCATGGACACCCCACTGAGATATAGTATTTCGACTCCGAGCCGACCAGTCATGGTTTTATACCCTTAATGCCAAGCAGCAGGCATGGTAACAAGAAATACCATCTTTTTTAATGTCTTTTGTCATGACGCGGACATGGATTGAACCACTGACCTTCAACTCTCCGGGCAGACACTCTATCCACTAGACCATGGTTGGTTGGTTGGTTTGTTGTTTAACGCCGCACTCAGCAATATTCCAGCTATATGACGGCGGTCTGTAAATAATCGAGTCTGGACCAGACAATCCAGTGATCAATATCATGAGCATCGATCCACGCAATTGGGATCGATGACATGCATCAGCCAAGTCAGCGAGCCTGACCACCTGATCCCGTTGGTCGCCTTTTACGGCAAGCATGGGTTGCTGATACACTAGACCATGGAGGCGGTCTCCTTGTGGCAGGGAAACAACACTTTCAGACAATAACTAACAATCTACGGTTTTACGGAGGAATTACGAATTATCTGTCAGCGTTAGAAATTGGCACTAGTCCTGTAGTCCTTGCCAAACTGCCCAATAGTTAAGGTATAATAAGGACTAGTAGAAATTTGCCATTTGTAAGGGTTTTGCTACATGTTATCATTATAAGAACAAGTGGACTAAAACTGTTAGTTTCTACCCCTGTCTGTCCCGAGTAAATTAATATTGTAAGTGCCAAGCCCACATCACCATTTCCCAAAGGCTTTTAATGTCATAAAATATCACCATGCACTTTGAACCAGTCCAAAACATTACTTTCAGACCTTGACCTTAAGCCAAATATCCTGACTGAACAAGTGAAAGTGCAACAGTAAATAGCAGTGAATGAAACAACAATGTTTCATAACGACCTGAGGGATGACCTTAACCTTTGACATCTGACCAACATTAGATGTGGCTGGATTCGTAACATAAACACACAACTACATAAATACAGTTTACATAGCCCTGAATGCTGACTTTGATGATTTGATTTAGTTTGAGTGAGTGAGTGAGTTCTGTTTAATGCCGCGTTTAACAGTATTCCAGTTATATCACAGCGTGTCAGCTTAATGTGGGAAGAAAGCCTGAAGTGATGCAGGTCTTTGACGTTTACCACTTTGGGGAAACCCACAAGGACGGGTATGGTGCTGACAAACCTGGAAACATAATCGGGGCGAACCAGGATTCAAACCCACGATCATAGGTTTCTGGCGCGCCCAAGGGACGGAACTCTGCACAGGGAATCAAGTCCATCCCAATGGAGGCAGGATTATATTCATAGTACTTTCAGCACCTCAAGAGCAGTTATGTGTGTCTGTTATTTCATCCATCAATCATGACAACTGTCGACATGATAACTGATTCATTCCAGGCTCTATAGTAATTATCAAAATGTACAGTACACCACAGCATTTCCTTTCTTTACAGGGGCGGTCGGGTAGCCTAATGGTTAAAGCGTTTGCTCGTCAAGCCAAAAATCGGGGTTCGATTCCCGACATGGGTACAATGTATGAAGCCCATTTCTAGTGTCCCCCAACGTGATATTGCTGGAATATTGCTAAAAGCGACATAAAACCATACTCACTCACTCACTCCTTTCTTTACATATTGCCTGTAAGGACCCTTAAAATTAATTATTGGGTGTCCCCTGAACCCCTACTTTTGTAAATCAAGGCAAAACCCTGCCTAGGGATTCCGGGAAGAGCATAAATCTATCTATGATATTCTAACACACATCCCTATTTGTCTGCCTAACCCAGACACGTTCAATCACATGTCTGTTACCATACCAGTGTTACCCAGACATTGAAAGGTTTTGGGAACCATTATCAGTTTGCTGTGGTATTTACAGCTGACTGAAGCAGATACTCACCACTCAAGCTGCCTCATAGGTACAGCCTGAGTGTGAGAGGTAATGTTATTCTACCCACAATCACCAATATCCGGATCTAATCACGACAGCCTGTAAATAATCACGTCAGGCCGGGCAGAGCTGATAGCAATAATTCCATGCAATGGGGTACGATGAAACAGAATCAGTTAGACCACACACTGTAACCAAAGCTCCTGATAAACTGTGCATTTTTGTAAAATACACGTAATAAATCATACAAATACGCATGAAAGATTTAACCCAATAATATAACAATACAGTGCAAGATTACCCATCGTAGCTTTTCAGGTTCCGTACCCGCATATCTTTACTCATCGTATTTACTGATCGCATGCAGGCATTATCTATACATGAATGCACAAAAGTATTGCAGCTGACACTTGTCCCCCGTTGTGAGCTTATGCGACATCTGACATATATTGGGCAGCACATAAACAGAAGAAAATTAGAAGTTATCTGAAACATCATTTTAAGCTGAATTATTAAAAATATGTCAAATCAGTGGTTTAAAAATACCCACCAGATTGGATCAATGCTCAATGTAAATGATAACAAATGAGCAAATACTCATTGGTTAAAAATATTGTCTTGAGCACTGGAAACATTCACCTCGGCTCCTCCACACAGTCGTAGTGCTATGCCCATGGTAACATCAGCTTCACGGTAACATCAGCTACACACTGACTTGCGACAGTCGTGAGTGTGTGTGCCTGCCCTGCCCTGCCCTGCCCTGCCCTGCCCTGCCCTGCCCTGCCCTGCCCTGCCCTGCCCTGCCCTGCCCTGCCCTGCCCTGCCCTGCCCTGCCCTGCCCTGTCCTGTCCTGTCCTGTCCTGTCCTGTCCTGTCCTGTCCTGTCCTGTCCTGTCCTGTCCTGTCCTGTCCTCAACAAAGTCACTGAGTCTGACCACCTGATCCATTAAGTCGTCTGGGGACCTATTCTAAGACATAGATCTTCTGCTTAGTAAACCCATCACCTCTGTGTCTCACAAGCAGAACGACCCACCCACAAGGTTTAGTTATACCCATCGCCCCTCTGACAAGCAGGATGACCCACCCACAAGGTTTAGTAAACCCATCACCTCTGTCTCTGTCTCACATGCTGAACAGATAGATGATGGGAGAACATCTGGCCTTCCTTGATTTAGTAAATCTGTTGATTGAGACAGCCCTACTAGGGATGGCAGAATATCAAAACCTACCTCTCTTGTAAGATGACAGCCACCTCTTTGGTGAACTCACTGCCATGTTTGATGTATTTGCGTAGTTCCTCAAATCCGTCATGGCCCTGAAAAAGAGAGAAATGTGTCAGATCGGAGAAATCCATATTTTGGGGTCGAACATCTAAAAATACAACTCCAATACCTGTTCTTCTTCTGTCACACCTGTTGGGTTTCCTCAAAAAACATTTTAAGTTTGCCATGTGTTTCAAATTAATCCCCTATTGAAACCTTCAAAATGATGACAGAATGGACAGTGCAGAGAACTTCTTCACAGATCCGTAGATCTTGGATTAGTCAGAGATATTTGGATTGTCATCAATGTGCCTAAGCTTGAGTTTCATTGAAGTGATAAGCACCTGAAACTTCATTTTCCTAATGGGGGCATGGGTGGCCCAGTCGTCTTAGGTGCCGCGATTCACTGTGCAGATTTGCGTCCCTTGGGCGCGCCAGAAACCTATGATTGTGGGTTCGAATCCCGGTTCGCCCCGATTATGTTTCTAGGTTTGTCAGTACCATACCCGTGCTCGTGGGTTTCACCGAAGTGGTAAACGTCTGAGACCTGCATCACTTTGGGCTTTCCTCCCACATTGAGCTGACACGCCGTGATATAACTGGAATAATGTTAAAAGCGGCATTAAACCCAACTCACTCACTCACTCACTCATTTTCCTAATTCCTCCCATATGAGCTTGACATGCCATGACACAACTGACTCTTTGCTGTTTACCGCCACACTCAGCATAATCCAGTCATATGACAGCAGCCTGTATCTAACCAAGTCTGGACCAGACAATCCAGTGATTCATATTGTTAACAATGATCCACGCCTTCATTGTATGATGACACACTATCAACCAAGTCACCGAGTCTGATCACCGAGTCTGACCACCCAATCCTTACAACCCACATCAATTGCTTGCAGGACCATCTCTAACCCAGAATCGCCACTTGATATGACATGATACAGTTAAACTGATCCTACTTACTTGGTCATAACTTCATCCAGCACCATCGTTAAATTACTAAAAACAGAATCGTCCCATGCTACCTTAGTTCCCAATGGTAGAGTGTTCCCTCATTATTGCGCCCTTCAATATAGCATTAACTCGGTTATAGCGAGGTAAAGCATGACTCCCAAAATTTACTAACATTTTCAATAAACTCAAATTTACCAATGACACGATGTTTTCCCCCATCTCAGAAAACATTATCAGCTGATCACCGCAATCATCTAACACAGGAAATACCTGTCAACAAATCCGAACTGAAGTAGGCAATTTAATCCTCTTATTATAATATCTGGTAATAATAATAAAAAATAATTCGTTGTTTATCTGGACTAATGTTTGCAATATATTTTAATCATCTTAAAATTTCATTCAAAAATTATAATAATTTTAACAAGAATTTCGGCATTAAGAAATAATAAAAGTAGGCTAAATATTGAGTATTAACGCATAAAAAAAATGTTCTTAATGTTCTTAATGTTCTTAATCATTGCGTAACTCAAATGTGAAAGACGAGAGTCCATTCCCAGCCTTGTCACCATGACAGCCAAAAGAGTGTGAAACACTGAACCATTAACCTCCTTATATACTTTTCTTTAAGAATTATTACTTGCTCATTATCTATCTGTTCTATACTTAAAGGATCTGACACATTATTAACAGCCTTAGAATTTCGTCTTTTTTTAGACATGTTCAGAGGATTAGTGGAAATGCTATTTCACTTGTCCTCTGAGTTAGTAATTAGTCCTGTTTGAAAAAGACAGAATGGTTTACAAGTTTACATATACTTTTTTCAGTCAGTTTCACTTAGTTCCATTTCGTAGAAAAACTGAAGCATTGAGAACTGGTTCAGAATTATAATGCTACTAGTCAATGAGGACTACCATCATTGGATGCAGACTAGTGTGAATTACAAAGGCTGCACTAGATGTCTACTAAACACAGTTGCACAGTTCCTGATGCAATCATTTTAAACATTGTCTGTCAAGTGCAGCAACAGTTTCCTTCTTGTTTTATGTATAACTATGTATCTTTGTTTGCCTTTTCTTCTATGATTCTAAACGTTATCACCTCGTATCATTTGGTTGGTTGGATTGTTGTTTAACGCCACACTCAGCAATATTCCACCTATATGACGGCGGTCTGTAAATAATCGAGTCTGGACCAGACAATCCAGTGATTGATATCATGAGCATCAATCCATGCATTTGGGATCGATGACATGCATCAACGAAGTCAGCGAGCCTGACAACCAAATTGCTGTTAGTCGCCTTTTACGACAAGCATAGTCGCCTTGTACGGCAAGCATGGGTTGCTGAAGACCTATTCTACCCTGGATCTTCACGGGTCCCTAATATAAGCGATAGATTTATTCCTGTCATTAGAACAGTTCCATAAACAACAGTTCAAATTTTGCAGTGATACAGAATTCTACCCGCAGACACAGGAGATCTTCTATGGGCATTATTCAGACATATATTCTGAAACTACTGAACATCTTTCTTATCAAAGACTACAGGATCAGGAATAAGGCCACAATGTTTTTAATTTTCTGCCGCCCCACCAAGAAATCAATTAAACACAAAAATATTTATTTTTATTTTGTCTCCTGCAAGTAATATAGATCCTCTTATACAATAAATAAATAAATAAATAAATAAATAAATAAATAAATAAATAAATAAATGACATAGCTATTTATTTTTATTTTGAACGGCCTTGTGTGGAAGAGCTGGAATAAATCCGTGAAACATACAATTAAAAAAGTGTGGCCTAAGACACATGGACCTCAGTCTGTGAGCTAATGTCCACATGCACTGCATTGTTGTGACTAGCACCTTCAGGTGACCCTACTTATGTCCTTTGTTTACAAGGCTCGGTGACAGTGAATCAAGTTTATATACCTCCTTCATCACAGCCAGCCATTCATATCTAGCATATGGACACATTTACACACAAAGTACACTAAAGCTGCCACAGCATGGGCTATATGACCATGTATCACTGTCAGGAAGAATATGTGAAATATTATGAACTTTGTTTGCATTCTTATCAATATTATGTTATATAACTGAACCTTCTACTACAAACCAAAATGGTGGTCGTTTGGGTTGGTTGGTTGTTTAATGCCGCACTGTAAATAATCGAGTCTGGACCAGACAATCCAGTGATTGATATCATGAGCATCGATCCACGCCATTGGGATCGATGACATGCATTAACCAAGTCAGCGAGCCTGACCACCCGATCCCGTAAGTCGCCTTTTACGACAAGCATAGTCACCTTTTACGGCAAGCATGGGTTGCTGAAGACCTATTCTACCCCGGAATCTTCACGGGTCTGGTCGTTTGGGGACTGTTCTTAGTAAAGACATTTCAATAGACCCTGGCTTCAGACAAGTGGCACATTTAGTTTCAGACAGGAACTATAGACATTAAACCCGCGTTAGAAATTGGAACTTGTCCTATGGTCACGAACACACAGTGCCATGTAGTCCTATGGTCCTTGCAACACTGCCCTATAGTTAAGGTATCAAAGGACTTGTAGAAATTTACCCTTTTTAAGGGTTTTGCTATATGTTATCATTATAAGGACATGTGGGCTAAAACTGTTAGTAACAGCACAGCAATAGTGCGCGAAATGAAAATGTCTGTGACACAGAGCGATATGTTACCCACTTGAACACAACAATATCTAAGTAGTGAAAGAATGAGAGCGTGAGTGACATAGTGAGTGAGAAATATTTCGCCTATCCCCCATGTCATATACATGTGTTATTGTGTCAAATCCAGCATTCGAAATTCACACTATGGTAGTCCTCTAGCCCGAGACTTCTAAATTGTGTTGAGTACATTTTAAATCCAATGATAATCGTCCTCAGTGACTAGTAGCTTTTGAGGGGTGTAACTTTGAAACAGTTCTCAATGCTTCCATTTTGCTAGTAACAAACTAGAAGTGAATAAAACTGACAGAAAATGTAAAAAGTAAACATTTGGTTTCGTTCAAGCAGGAGTGATTGAGTCGGGTTTAACACTGCTTTAAAAAGTATTCCAGTTATGCCAGCTTTAAATGTGGGAGGAAAGCCCGAAGTGATGCAGGTCTTAGACGTTTACCACTTCGGTGAAACCCACGAGCATGGGTATGGTGTTGACAAACCTAGAAACATAATCGGGGCGAACTGGGATTCGAAACCCCAAATATTAGGTTTCTGGCGCGCCAAAGGGATGCAACTCTGCAAAGCGAATCACGGCACCTTAGACGACTTGGCCACCCGTTCCCCCATTCAAGCAGGACTATCTACAAACTCTGATGACTAAAGTAAGGTCTCCAAGAAGAAACAATTTTCTAAGCCTGCACATCTATCAATGGATGTAGTTTCAGCAGACTAGCTGACTTGTGGAGTGTTGGTGAAGGGTTCTCAAGAAGGCAAACTGTTCTTGAATCATAGTGAATGTGATGTCATTATTGTGGCAATACCATCAATGTATATAATTCCTCTTCAACAATAATGTGAGTCTGGGAAAGAATTCCGCATGTTTCATGCCACTGATTCAAGATACAAAGTGGATAGCAATTCTATTATTTTCACCTTGAATGTTTGCACCAGACCACTGTGACCTCAACAAACATGCATGTGCTCGAGCCACACTGTGCTCACACAACTAAACCCTCAGGCAGAGTACACCCAATTAAGTTCTCACACTAGTCTACTTATAATAAGCTGTATTCACTGCCTGACTGGAATAATCCCCCAGGCTGGGTCACAATGTAAATGATCTTGTCGATTCAATAGTATCCTGCCCTAGGGAGAAATAGGTATTTGGCTCTTTAATGGTTGTTAGAGATGCAATACTGTTTCATTTAATATTTCATGTTTTTGTTGTCATCAGTATGTTTCTGTGAATTACATGTCGCTAAGTATGTCTCTGAACGTATATATTATTTACTTACACACTTTCACTTGTAAGAAAAACTCCATTGTGGGTAATAAAGTTTTAAGTCCTTGTCATGACAACATTAGAAGACTAGCTAATGAGGTGTATTAAATAGATGCTGGAAGTCTTATCAACTGTTGAATACCGGGGCTGTCACGATTCAAGATGTACTGATGCGGCACCAAGTTTACGGCTGATGACCCAATACACAATACGCCTACATCGTGTCATATCTTACGTCCGCATCTATTATCAAAGCTAACATTTACGAAGAAGCAACCCGGGTTAGATCTAACTTACCGCGCATCATGAAACATTAGACATTGATCCATTAGAATAATCTGACTACTATCAGAACAAGCCTCAAATCACCAACTATGTGAGATAAACACAAACTTGCTGGTCTTGTCAGACGAACATCAACAGTTTCACACAAAATAGACCCCGGGATGCTGGATTAGAATTGGTCCCCTGCAACCCATGTTGGTTGTAAAAGACGACTTAAGGGATCGAGGGGTCAGACTCTGTGACTTGGTTGATTGTGTGTCAACGTACCCTGATGTCATTGGTCGTTGCTCACAATATCGATCACTGGATTGTCTGGTCAAGAATCAATTAACAACAGACCGCTGTCATATCATTGGAATATTGCTGAGTGCGGCATTAGACAACAAGCAAACACATAAAATGGCGAACATGAAGGATTGTGATACATATCAGATTGTGGCTCAAATATTCCTATATCATGACATCAGAATAACAGGCTCATCAGTTAGATCGATGCCACACACACTCTAACAAAATTATTTGCGCTAAAATAAATCAATTTCAAGTCTATTATTACACATCCAGACAAAGAAACGTTGATTAGACACGTCTCCTGTAACTTCAGACCAATGTTGTGCTGCTGGGGCAAACCAAACTCACTGACGCCAGGCTTTCTGACTTGGTTGGTGCATGTCATCGTATTGCGTGGATCGATGCTCATGATATCAATCACTGGATTGTCTGGTCCAGACTCGATTATTTACAGACCGTTGTCATATAGCTGGAATATTGCTGAGTGTGGCGTTAAACAACAAACCAACAAACAAATGCTGCTTATCCCTGATCTGAGCCAGCATGTTTCGGAAAGACATCGCAAACTGTTTATATGTTTATAAGGCTAGACTGCGGCTCAGGATGCAAGATCGGCAGTTGTGTCAGCTCCACACAGTGCACACAAGCAGCAGCAACAGCAGCGTTGACAAACACGACAATGTCACCGGTGCAAGGGCACAGTAAGCCTAGAATCAACCACCGCTTTTAGAAGCCTGCAGTGGGATTAAATATCGCTCCAACCACTTTTTCTCACATGCAACATTTGGCAAACTTTACTTCGGCAAATGAAATCTTTTTTGAAGCATTTCGACAGGTAATCTCCAGACATGACAAGCTGGGAGGACTGGTTGTTGAATTGGACGAACAATCAAATTTAGATAATTGAAAAGTAAATGATTGATAGGCAAAAAGCTGCAATTGAAGCGAAGGGTTTCAGCATTATGACTCCAGTTCTGTTTGCAATTTATCTGGTTTAGTTTGAGAGGGTGTTGAGAACATCTATGTTGGGCTGTGAGGTTGTCGGGCTCCAGCCATCAAAATGTTACAGAGGTCATGCAGTGGTAACATTCAATATACAAGTTTGCCATGGCTCTACTACAACAGATACTTGTAATTTATCGCTGTCCTGGGGAGAACAGTAGCTGGCCCTCTCCTGGCTGCTGGTACATGTACACGGCTGAGGCTACTGGGTGCCTGTTGAACTGTGTGGGTGTCTGTTGAACTGTGTGGGTGTCTGTTGAACTGTGTGGGTGCCTGTTGAACTGTGCTGGTGTCTGTTGAACTGTGTGGGTGTCTGTTGAACTGTGTGGGTGTCTGTTGAACTGTGTGGGTGTCTGTTGAACTGTGTGGGTGCCTGTTGAACTGTGTGGGTGCCTGTTGAACTGTATGGGTGTCTGTTGAACTGTGTGGGTGCCTGTTGAACTGTGTTGGTGTCTGTTGAACTGTGTTGGTGCCTGTTGAACTGTGTGGGTGTCTGTTGAACTGTGTGGGTGTCTGTTGAACTGTGTGGGTGCCTGTTGAACTGTGTGGGTGCCTGTTGAACTGTGTGGGTGCTTGTTGAACTGTGTGGGTGCCTGTTGAACTGTGTGGGTGCCTGTTGAACTGTGTGGGTGCTTGTTGAACTGTGTGGGTGCTTGTTGAACTGAGTGGGTGCCTGTTGAACTACGCAGCCCTATGAGTGAGTGAGTGAGTGAGTGAGTGAGTGAGTGAGTGAGTGAGTGAGTGAGTGAGTGATTATGGTTTTATGCCGCTTTAGCAATATTCCATCACGGCGGGGGACACCAGAAATAGGCTTCACACATTGTGCCCATGTAGGGAATCAAACCAAGATCTTCAGCGTAACGAGCGAATTCTTTAACCACTAAGCTCAGTAGCCCCATCGCCATGGCTGAGATGATGAGTGAGGGTCAGTTGGGTTAAGTGGGTGGGTTACTTGAGTGAAGTGAGTTGATGGTATTACTGATGGTGCTGTATTCCTTGAAATGGCGTAAAGCTCATCTTATTCAACAACCCATCCAATCAAAGACACCACTGCTTGGTGAATGGATGGGAATTGAGTGAGAGTTTGAGAGCGTGGGTGAGAGTTTGAGTGCGTGGGTGAGAGTTTGAGTGCGTGGGTGAGAGTTTGAGTGCGTGGGTAAGAGTTTGAGAGCATGGGTGAGAGTTTGAGTGCCAGGGCTTGTTGGAGTGGAGTGTTTGATGGGTAAGGGTATGGTTGACTTGACGTCACTGTGCTTCATTGTTTAGAAAACTACAAAATGATGTCATGCATTCTTCATGACGTCAAAAATGGATTACATCACACAGTCTGAACAATAGGCAGCCTTTAGCGACATTTCTCTGTACAATTCATATGTTTTTACGTCATTAAAATGTCAATAAATAATATCTCAAATAACCTACTTAAAACTCAGTGTTACGGATTATCTGTCCCTTGTGAATTAATGCTGTAAGTCCCTCGCCAAAGTCTCGGGATTAACACCAGGGAAAGATAATCCATAATTCCTCATAGTTTGTTAGTTATTTTCTAAATCTGCAAATTTTTGTCTTCCCCAATAGTCATCAGCAAGTAACAACGATAGAAACTAGCAGTTTCAGTCCACTAGTCCTAATAATGATAACAAATAGCAAATCCCTTGAACACATGTTAAAAATTGCAAATTTTCTAGTGCCAGTGTCTAAAACTGAAGTAAATGTGCAGGCACAAAGAACTTCAAACAAACTTTGCCATGGTAACACATAAGATACTCACCAAATCAAATGATGTATGATCTATAATAGCACTTTTTCTTCTGCTCCCAAAATGCTTCATCATTCAAAGTTTGGAGTGCATCGAGTTAACACTTCTAATTATGGAAGCAGACTTGAAAAGCAGCATGACACAAGCATCTGTTGACGTCAACTGCCGTCGACAAAACCACAAACATGGCCACTTTCAGTGTCAGTCAAGATCAAAATATTGACATGGTTGTCAGATGAAGTTTAAGATTTCCTTTAATGTTGTACAAATCCAGACTCCGATATTTCTTTGTTTGGTATCCAGATGAATGTATCCGCGCGACTCCGACAACAGCTGAATAGCAAGACACGGTTCGTGACATGAAGGAGATATGTACATTGAAATAACTACCACTTAGTCTCATCACTAACCTCTACCCAGCAACAGCCTCAACAGACCAATTATTGAACTGATTTTGTATGTAAAACTACCTCACATGTTTTCTTTAATGATCATTTTAGGAAATGCTGACGACAAATAACAAATATCACGTAAATGTGTTTACTGTGATAATAAAAGATGGTTTGATTAGCCTAAGTAAGGAACTGAAATCAATGATTGCATTAATCACATTAATCTCAAATTCTAATTTCGTATGGATAAAGATATAACTATTAAATAATCAGTACATTTCCAAAAATCGTTATAACGAACAAGACTGTGCAACATTTCAAGAGTACATTACCTACTTAGACAGAACGTGCAGAACGGTTCATTAAATAAAATTTTATCAAAATACATCTCATCAGCAACTCTTGATAATTCACTGCCTGAACAATCTATCCCCGAACATGTATACCTGAATTATTCAACAGACGAATCCACAAGATACCAAAGAATCCACAAATTCACTTTTTCGTCAAATCCAATTTCTGAATATCTTCTGAGTATCACAAAACTCCAACTTGAATATTCTTGAATAAACAGTCCCAGTGTTAGAAATAAATACCTCCAAACTCCCACCGACTCACAATCACGACTTTCTACTTCAGGTACAACACAGCTACTGCCGACTCCAGCCGAGTGCTCAACATCCCACACAGGTAACAAAGCCAATCCACTGCTCAGGTAAACAGTTACCTGTTGGGACCCGGACAGGTAAATATACACGTCCCCATCATCAGCTGTCAGATAGGCTATTAATTGCAGATGTGTCGGGAAGCGGAAGGTGGTACACTGTAGGGAATGTCCATCTCGCCAACTATGGCCATCTTGGATCTTTCAAGTGCAAAACTTGTCCAAATCGCCTGATCAGTGTCAACTTGAAAGAAACATGCCTTGTGGCGAATTTAGATTGAGTTTGTTGGCCTTCAAACCAACTTGTGATTCTGTTAGCAGACTTGGAAAAAAATTGATATTGGAACACTCAACAGCGGAATAACGCCTGACTTTCCATAATTCAATTTCCATCAATGTAATTTCTGACTTATCTTCATGAATACGGAATTTAAATTGCATTCTTTGGTGTTAAAGCTAATGCGTAATTCAGTGAGCAGACATGTTTAAAATGTAGGCTTGATTGATTATGCAAATACATTCCTGACTGCTATTTAATGAAGCTGATCGGGTTATGCTAATTTGCTGGCCACAATGGGGAGGAGATTATACTTTAGTAGTTAATTTGATGTTTGTTTGTTTCTTTGTCAGCAATATTCCAGCTATATGATGGCAGTCTGCAAATAATCAAGTCTGAACCAGACAATCCAGTGATTGACATCATGAGCATCGATCTACCCAGTTTGGATCAGATGACATGCATCAACCAAGTCAGTGACCACCCAATCCTGTTAGTCGCCTCTAACGACAAGTACAATTGCCTTTTAAGGCAAGCATTGGTTGCTGAAGACCTATTCTACCCCGGATCTTCACGGGTCAATGTCTATTTGAAGCCAAGCTCTGTGATGTGGCTGTGTACCGGGTAACTATTTCTAATGACGATGGGCATGATACAAAGCTTGTGGGGAAACTGGCAGTTCCGGTTTTTCTGCTTGAAATTTTAAATTAAATTAATCACATATTTTCAAAGCTGTAAATCTGAATTTTCTATTTGAACTGTTAGAAACATGTAAAAAAAAAACAATTCCGTATTAGACTAATTAAGGATGTAATAAACAAACTATGACACAGGCTCTTTTATACCTCCATTAAGACATGTCACAGTGATGCAGGACAATAACACTGACAATCTAAAGAATTCCACCTTGACGTGAGTATATGTTTTGGGCTTTGAATCTTCGCCACATGCGCAGCATTGAAAAGATGAAAGGTGTCAAAAGGTTTCATCACTAAGCAATGTTAAGACACAATAGACTATTCAAACAAAAATTCTTTCCAAGAAAACAAAACCATCTACAAAAACCTATCCCTTTTTTTCACAAAAAACACACAACTTGTTTCATTACCTAAGTACTCAAACATTACCCTGGGAATCAAAACAAAGCTGAGTAGCTGTCCTCTCTCAATATTTGTCTTAGACAATACGTTTTTAACTAGAACACGCATATTTTTTGCGTCCATGTTTAGAATGAGAGGAGTGTTTCGGTGACGCTAGTAACTTGGAGATGAGGCGTGCCCCACGTGAGATGGATGCCTCATGATGGTAAACAACGGAGTTGAGCTACGTACAGGTACCGTATTCGACCCAATAAGCGCCCTGGGCTTAAAATAAAGACAGAAAGGGTGGGCGCTTATTGGGACCAATTCAGAGTCAAATTGGCGTAAATTCATCAGTAAGCCTATCGATATTCTTCTGTTGCTGGGGTGCTAGAGATAAACTGTTACTTACGTTTTACTGGTGAACATCTCCTCATTAACCGACTACAAAAGATTCTTGACCGTATGTAAAAAACAGGTGAGTAAATCTTACTTGGGCATCCGGGAAAAGGAGGGGGGGTGCTTATTGGGACATGGGCGCTTATTGGGTCGAATACGGTATTTTAGTTTAGTAAGAGAAGCAGGTAGTCTCACTTACTCTGCTACAGACTGCATGTAAATCTGAGGTAGATCGTCACTCCCTAGCTACTTAGGGGTGGCACACTGCTCACACAGTCGATGATAGGAGGTTTTGTCGACAAAACACACAAGGGTTTCCGGGTATGAGAGTCTACAAAACACACCCTACTTCACGGAAATCAAGTTTTTCTTGAGCAGACATTGTTCATGTGAATTTTTAACATAGCGAGTTAGACATTTTGGTAGTTGGGTAGGACATGGTGAGATTCTCCTACATATAGTGGAGCTGAGGTGGTTGTTCAGTACACACTGATCCAGTAACATGGGTAATAATAGCGCTTTGAGCACGCTTAGACTTACATCTAGTCTATGAAAGGAACATATTTTACAGAAAAAAACAGTTGTTAAATTATAGTTATAAAATATAACAAAAAGGAGCCCATTTTCCTGTTACTGCAATAATCTAGACTTGCCAAACATTATAGACTTGCATGGGCTGTATCGGATATATTTGTAACAGGGGCTGTGTGACAGAATCAGCATGCCCTAGTGTGGTGTGGAAAAATGCGCAATATAAATGGCCTATTATTTATCATTAGTAGTAAAATTACATGATAGTTGCCATAACAGGGCATCATACAGAATTATTAATCTAATGTTGCCATAACATAAAATTCTGTTGGGGGTAGTAAGTTCAGCAAGTATTACTACACATAATAACACAAAATTCCACTGAAAATGATGCCAAGTTCAGGCTATTACTAATTAGTCTCGGAAGTTTTTGCCAGAGACTATATATAATGAATCTTATTAACACTGGTTTTCTTCTAACATTGCATCTTTAATGAGGTCTCGCTGAGTCTCCTCAACCATCGTTTAATATTTGACACTTCTACAGAGACAATTTATACTTCTCATTACATTTATATAAAGCATCTATTTGGGTTTATATTTTTATATTTTTATGATCAGTTTATCATGTTTATGAGTTTATACTGTCACATATACTAGAGTAAAATGAACAAAATCTAACAAATATATATCTCCAAACTTTTCGAACAACTGAACCTACTTCAAAAGCATTGACCAATCAAACAATTTCCTACTTCACATAAACAACAAACGGGGAAATAGCTGCATGTACATAAGACAAGATACTGAAAACAAGGATCTCAAATCTTAAATTTTGTCATTCTGAGCACAAAAACATAACCCTAGGAAACAGCTGAATGCGCACAAGATAAGACACAGAGAAGGATCTCAAATCTTAAACTTCATCTTCCTGACCACATCAACAGAATCATAAACAATCCATCATTAAAAACAGCACGACACTCTACTCATGTATAAGTACCGTTTGCACTTTCCTCAGCACAAGGATTTCAAATTTTATACTCCATCCTTCTGACCACATCAACCGAGCTATAAACTGCCAGCCACTGTCATCGTAAACAGCACACTTTACCTACGTCACACTACCACACTTCCGTGACTTGTCCTCCACACAACGAAGCACCTGTATCACATGAACACCTCACGTCCAGGGAGCAGGTCTTGGCTGTCTGTCCTGGCTGACCGGACTGGCGTACTGGACTGACAGTCTGCCCTGGGGTTGTAATCCCCTGACTAGTAATCTTATTACGTACATAACCCTGTGGCTGCACTCTGCTAATTAAGTCATTCATCACAGATGATGACTGCGAATATTAGTAAGTTACGCATACTGAATACCACTCAACTTTTGATAGGGATCGATATTCCTATTATTCCATGTAGGGACTGATTCCTAGGAGATGTTGTTATACGAATAGTATTCAATATTGCCATGGAAATGATTTTGTGCATGCTTGATTTCAAGTTAAAATTAACATAAGCAGTCCTTGCCAAAACGTTTTAAGTCTTCTTGCCTGAATATGGCTTTTGGCATTCTTTTCAGAAAATTTTACAGTTATGTATGGATGAGCTTACAAGACTGAACCAAATTTTGCTAGACTCGGGCTTCGGACTGGTGGCTAAAGTCGCACACTGTATACAAAATCATTTCCACAAGTTGGGCCTTTTTAGATTTTAGATTTATAACATTTTCAGTCAACTAGTCCTTATAATGATAACATATAGAAAACCCCTAAAAAATGGCACATTTCTACTGGTCCTTATGATAGCTTAACTACTGGGCAGTTTGGCAAGGACTACAGGACTGCTGCCAATTTCTAACACTGATGTGGGGACCATGTCAAGTGTTCAGTCAAGGCTAACATAATAACATATCCAAACAGACCCCGATATCAGACTCATGATTCAATAACTACAGAATAATATCAACATGACAGTTGCCAAGCTTTTACTTCATCCATACCTGAAGTAGATGTGTTAACTGATAAAAAAATGCAAATATTTACACTTCTTCAATGGAAAGCAGATTAGAAATTCAATTGTTTTTAAGACCAGTCCACAGGACTAGCGTTAACATCAATTCACTAGTGCGCATGGTTTGTAGCTAGTCCTGCTTGAACAACATAAAATTGTTTAGTTTGAATTTGTAACAAAACTGAAGCAATGAGAACTGGTTCATAATCTTAGACATCAAATGCTACCAGTCAATGAGGACAGCATCAGATTTTTACTTGTCTTGAGCACAACCTAGTTGTCTCGGGCCAGCAGACTAGCATGAATTTCGAAGACTGGTATGTGTTCCTCTACCTCTATTAACAAGCATGAAATACTTGGTTGCTATGGAAGCTCCAAACAATACACTTTTCAAAAATCCTAAACAATCAAAAGGTACTAGTTTACCACTAGTCCTATCTATGTGCAAAGTTTGGTGAAGAAATATTGTAGAATTTTCAAGATCTGCTCCAAAAGGAGCACTGCCATTTAAGTCTAAGTCAAAGTCATTGCCATGGAAACTCAGAAAAAATAGATTTTAAAAAATCCCAACCTATCAAAAGGCACCAGCTCACCACTAGACCTATCTACGTTCCAAGTTTGGTTAAGATATCCCTCATGGTTTTTTAGTTCTGCTCCGGAAACGAAACGTGACAGACAGACGGAAGGACAGCACCCATATCTACATCCCCCTTCCACTTCGTGGTGGGGGATAATAATATGAATGGTTCTATTTTCACTGCACTATATCAAGAGTATCTTGTCAACAACGTCTCCCCCAACCCACCATTTTACGTATGTAAGTCAGCCCCCTGCCCTCTTTAATCCCCATGTATAACACATGTCTGTGAACACACGATCACTGTGACACGAGGCCTGGGTCACCACCTCTCAGGTAAATGTAGGTCTATTGTTATGTCACCCTACATAGACAGAAAGAGGTAATAAGCCGGCGTCACACTTCCTTGTCTAATACTGTCGATCACATCTCACTGG